TCCTCAGTTGGCTCATGACTTTTTACGACAAGCTCAAAATTGGTTGGACAGCTATATACTTCATCACCGAGAATGGTTCCCGCCTCACCATCTACCGCGATACACCATTACCGAGAGAAAGGCCCCTACACTCGGTCAAACCTTGTTCAACCACCACGCATGGTTGCGACAGTGGGACCCAGAGAAACCCTTTCTTTGCTGTTGTCAACAACTTCCAGGACAACGCACACCCTCAGATCATGTGGCAGCCCCGGCCGATGTCGTCCTGAACGAATCCATCTATCGGGAGAACATGAGCGACGGCCGATGGTTGACCAAATCACAATTTCGCAGGTACACAGTGGCCCCTATGAGCCGATGGTTCAAGCTGTGGCGACAACCTGACCAATCCCTACTTCGCTGGCAAGTTTTTGTCTCACACCAATGGCGACTACACGGACAAACTCTACGGATGCGACCTGACGGCAGACAGTTACGTGAACTCAAGAACTTACGGGAAAGCTCTGAGCACATCGTGATTTCCCCCATTGATCATGGCCCGCATTTGGCGTATGGATTTTGTCCTCAACAATATTTCGACATCTTGACCAAGACCTTTCTGGATCCGGCAGTTTTCTGGCGACGAGACACCAACCCGATGCAGCTGTCGGAACATATACAACGAGCCATCAAACGACACGTTCCTACACGCTATCACTGGGCCCTGGCACCCAAAGAATCTTTGCCGTACGCCTACGTGCTCCCCAAGCCCTCCAAACAATTTTTGAAGGGTCGCCCGATTGTCAGCTATTCCAACACGTGGTGTGCCACGCTCGCGAAATTTCTTTCCACCGCAGTCCTACAGATGCTACAGACGGTCGTTCCACCTCAGTTCGTTTCCCCTACTGTCCACTCCATCATCCAGACGTTCATACATGCCTTCCGCAACAACCCGGTCACGGTGGAACTTCAGCTACTTCAACAAGATCTTTCTGGTTTCTTCACTTCGGTTCCACATGATCGCATTTACCACTCGATCTCGTCGTTGACAGACATGTTCGCTCGCCACCAACAGATTCCCTTGGACTCTGACATACAGATCACGATGCGGGACCGCAATTCACTTGGACGCCTATTTCGAGGCCGATATCGAAAAGCCGCTTCACATTACAAACCTCTATGCCTTCGTGATTTACCTTCGTTGGTTATGTTCTTGCTACGTCACTCCTTTTTCACAGTTGGCACGGAAATTTTGGTGCAACATCGCGGTGCCTCCATGGGCTCACCCATGGCCCCCTCAATGTGCGGAGCGACCGCAGCCCTGTGGGAAGCCACTTTCCACCAACTCATCCGCGATCAGTTGCTGACTTCTCGCTATTTCTGCTCCTCACGCTATGTGGACAATCGTTGCCTCCTTCGGATTTGGGATGGGGAGCTGGAATCACTGGACGACTGCCAACGACACCACTCCCGCCGAGGTTACGATCCTTTCTCTTCATCCTCTACGTCATCTTCTGGTTGGTTTCAAGAGGTATACCTACATCCTCATTTCTATGGCTTTCCCTTGGAATTGGAGCACGTTCCGGGACAAGAACTGTTGGGCACCGTCGTGGACACCGCACAACGTTCCATCCGACTTGTCCTCCCACGGAACAGTATCTCTTTGCGCTCTCCGTGTTCAGTCTCTTCGACACGCAGGAACACTCAGGGACTCACCACGCGGATTTATTTCATTTGCAGATTATCCTGGCCCAAAGCCGTCATTGCACCTCAAGTTCGTGAACTTATTCATCTATATCGTGAACGAGGTTTCTCTGAACGCTCACTGGAAGACGCATCCCGATCCGTACTTCGTCGCTTTGGACTACGTTGGCGACAGGTCAGTGAACCCCCGGAAAACTTGCTCCCTTGCGTTTATTGAATCTGCACCACTTCATTCCGTTGATTTAATCGCAGGCATTTTAGGTCAAGTTACCACCAGAGCCCCTAGTCATGGCCGGTTCTTCACCCGACTCCTATCTCTTGGACGACGTCACCTGGACACCAGACCCGGACATGGACTCAGACCTGGAAGCCTCCTCCGCACACGATGCTGGTCTACTTCCCACAGGTTCAGATGTTGACGGGGACCCCACGCCTCATCGCACCCTTCCACTTTCTCCCTCTCCTCTCCCCGGACGACGACCCAGCAAACGTTGTCGACGACATCGCCACCATACCGCATCCTCTTCTTCCACATCGTCTCGACCTTCCAAAACCACGTCAACCTCGTCGTCGACATCCTCATCGTCCTCATCCTCTTCTTCGTGCTCCACTACGGAACTACAAGCAATGGACCCGCCTACCTCCTCGTCCCGTCCAAAGAAACGTTCACGGAAGACACCTTCGGGGACGAGCACTACCACACCAGCGACGGGACCTTCACTCACCACGAATAATCGTCCCTCAGCAACAGTGGACGCTCCCCCTCGCATCCGAATCCCTCCCCGAGGACATGGTTATACATTACATCAAGTACGCCGCAGCAAGTCGGGCACTACACATTCCACCGTTTCATTTCATGGAGATGCCGCAGAACGTCGCAGACAACAGTGGCTCCGACAATGGTGCCAGTGCACTCCTGCCTCACCGTACTATCAGGATGTGCAGAACTGCATCAGACATCGCGCCCGCATTATGTTGGACATCATAGCTCATGAACGAGGAGGACCCACTGCTGCTACAGACAATTTACGGATACGACGTCGCTATGACCTACCCGAAGACCAACTCATTCCTTTGGCACTCATCTACCGGGAATGCAACACTCGCAGACGACGGTCTGTCCGCGAAATTCTGATTACCTGATTCCAACGAGAACCCGCTCTGGAAAACATGCCCTGGCATCTCCGTTTCGTCAGTTCCACACCCGCAGCCTTTTTACTGTAGCTTTTCTGTCCAAACGCAGTTGTTTCCTTCCCTCACCCACGAATGGCTTCCTTCTCTGACATCCTCCCCATGATCCTCTCCTATTTTGAGATGCAGACTATGATACAATTGGATCCCCGTCATTGCCAACGTCCACACACTGATGACCGCCACACCACCCGCTCTGCCTTCTCCATCTTGACCGCACATCATGCTGATTGTTCCTGGCATCAATTTGGCGTTTGGCAACAGTTCCTCGCCGCCCTCCAAGATCACAAGATGAGCGCCCACAATTTCTTTGGCTTCCACCACGACAACACGGTGTTCACGATCTATCATTATCAGCCCTCGGTCATCGTATACTGCAATCGACTGTGTTGGCGAGCCCACGTCCAGCTACGTTCTGCATCACGACTTTGCCTACGTGTCCGCATTCGAGATCCTACTCTAGCACAGTGGCGACCTACTTCGTCCGGACCCTGGATTACCACATGCTGGTGTTCAGCGCATTGCCTTTCCTTTTCCAAATGGACATCTACGACTTCTCGCCGTCACTCGCCTCCTCCACCCATCACAACGGACAATCCTTATTGGCAACAGGAACAACAACGACATGGTCTTCTCCCAGCTCTGAGACGGTGAAGCTTCGGAGGACACTGACGGAATTTTTGAGACAAAGAACCTCGCTTGTGCATCTTGGCCGTGGTCCATTTGATCTACCGCAGCCTTTTCAGCACTATTTGGTTAGTCCTCCGCCTCTCCTTTCCTTCCTTTCTTCGCCCCTGCACTCCGCAACTACTCGATATTCCGTTGGAATGGTGGCTTGACTTCTTGGTGGAGCTCCGAGTATGGCAAGTTCGTCCAATGACCTCACCCGATCTCCAGATCCCCAGTACCCTCCTTGATCCACGCTTTGTCATATCACAGCACCGATTCACGACCTCTCAGAACCGCTTCTACCTCGACACCCTTCATGGACTTTGTCAACTCAATCCTTCCTTCCAACGACTGGATTACTATGACCCGAACATCTGCGGTTACCAGTACAGCATGTTCACAACCGCACCGTCTCCACGCGTACTTCACGCGCTACTTCTCGCTGATCGTCGGCTACATTACACACTGAGCCAGATGATACTTCGTCATCGTTGGCAACTTTGCCTTGGTCTACTGGCACCTAAAGTCTACGCTCGTCACGTTGATCGACGTCAATATCAAAGGCATGAATTGCCAACTCCTCTCCGAGAGGTTCTCCACCGACTTTCCTTGCACCGCTGCCAGATCCTCCAAGTTCACCCGACGGCTCTACCTGCTCTACATGCTCACCGTCTTCGTCTGATTAACTCACCCCGCTACGGCGGGGTGTGTGTGTGTGTGACAACCCTGTATCCAAGGGCCTTCTCCTCACGCTCTGCAGCCGTTTCCTACTTGCGCTTTACATATAACCGAACTTGAGTACAGAGTACACAGCAGGGGGGCAGCGAGCATTTCTGGATTGCGCTGCCTAACAAAGACCGTCCAGATTTGCCGTGATATGAAGAAGGGACGCCTTCTTCACGTACCTGCACAATTGTTTGTGACATCCTGGTCTTCGCGGTATATGGTTCGTCATCGTATTGGTGCATATTCCTTGTCTGGATGGCCTGGGGCTAAGCCGAGGACCCCGCACAGAACCTTGTCAGTGCGAGTGAAGCCATTCTTCAGTGCGAGCGTTTGCAATCGTCGGTCCTGGTCTTGTCCTTCGGCACGTTGGGGTTCAGGCTGGCGTTGTGGTTTAGCCAGGCAGGTTGAGGTGTCAGCTACAGACTTTCTGCACTTCCTCTTTGCAGCTGTTGTCCATGAAGCTACCTGTCCAAAGTCTCTGATGTGTGGTCGCTTGAGACCTGGACATCAGGTGGTCCGTCGCATACCGAAACCTTCCTTAGCATTCAGTGTGTGAGTCTGACATGGTTTTGTGAACCCTGGCGAATTCGAGTTCCCTGTACCCCTGAAGTTCACCCTCGCCGTAGAACCTTGAAACCCTCAGCAGGACACCACGAATTTTTGCCCAAAGCATCCCCGAAACCGAGTTTCAGAGCCCGAAGCTGCAAGTGGACAGAAATAGCTGGGCCCAGATGATGATGACGGATTTGTCTGCGAATGCCTCGCCACCTTCTACGGAGACAACTGCGCCGGGGGCCGTGGTTTGCAATGGTTTCGAAGCCTGAGACTTTCGAAGCCGCTGTTTGAGCCCAGCGTTGGATAGATGAGAAGAGCTCTGTGCCATGGCGGAGAGTTCGGGGTGAAGGTGTTGTGCATGCAGTGCATGCAATCGTGTAGTCCGATCTCATGGAGGAGAAAGCCTTGGTACGACAAGCAGCAACGAGTCTAGAAGCAGCAGTCTGTGCCATCGAACTTCTGCGGAAACTATGCCAATACCGGCCGAGGAACGAACGTGCAGTGACTGCCTTGCGGACAACACAATGTCGGCTGCTCAGTTCGGTTTGTGCGGAACACTGCTACGGACAGCTTCACGACAGACTTAGACTCCGAATACTTGAGCAGCCCCCAACCACAACCTGCCCAAAACCGGTACGCATGCTCGCTTCCATCAGGTCCTGCAGCGAGGGCTTCTGCACTTGCAAGCAGGGGCTGCATCCTTATTACCGTGGCATTGAAGGGCGTGGGGGATACCTGACAGTAGAAGTTTCACATCGAGACACATGCTCCCCTAGAATGTTCACTCTCGCTCTCGCTCTCTCTGTCTCTCGCCTCTCTTTGCCCATCTTCCTCTCCCCTGTCTTTTTCGCGGATGCCACCAGGTTCTGGGGCCCACATTGTGAGAACACTTGTTCTTGCAGTTCTCTTGGGACCAGCTACTGCGCTGGACCCAGTTGCGTCGATGAGGCCTTTGCCAAGCTGTCGAAAAAGTAGTTGCAAGATCAGTACCCTGGCCAGAACACAGGTAGACAAAGAGATGCGGGTGTGACATGGGGCCGCAACGGACAGAGAAGTCCTAACAAGGGTCGACGAACTTAAGCACATCCGTGGCCAAGGTGATCCTTCGGACGGAACCTGCAGTAGTCCGACTTGTTTATGCGAGTCATCGGAGTGGTCTGGGTTTCTAATTCTGGTCCGTCTTGCCAATAGCAAGAGCGAAGCTGCCCAAGCGCATTCTGCCAGGCTGCAGCCGTGGATGGCAGGGCACCACCTGCAGCGAGTGTGCGGGGTGTCCGAGGGGGATGGATTCTACCTTTTACGACGGAGCGATAGCATTTATGATTGTTTCCCTCGTGACTGCCAAGGCACCGAAGTACTATCCCAGTGGCAGCTGCCATACCTTCTGCCCATGGCCCAGATCCATTTTGATCCACTGCTTGGCCCGGACTGTTCTGACACTGCGCAGAACCGTACTCTCAGCAAATGCACATGTCGGTAACAGGTGATGGTGCAACGACCTGCAATGGATTTGGCGAGCCATGCGCCCAGCAATGCTTGATAGACTTAGCTTTTGATTAAAAGCGTTCGTTGCTATTCGCTTCATTGTGTGAAAAAGCAAGCTGGCCAATGGAAAACTAACATCGCTCCAAACGAAGCTGCATCCACGGCCAGACTATAGCAAGTGGACCAAGGTGCAGCGACGCCGGAGAGTGTGTCTGTCGCGGTCCTCAGGCTTAAGCACCTTCGCTCTCGCTGAGTATGCCGCTACTCTCCCTGGCGTTCTAGTTTGTGCTAACGTTGGACCGCCGTCGTTTTCATTATCAGCATCGTCATTTCCGAGATGGTCTCATCGTCATCATCAGCATCATCACCTTCTTCCTCTTCTCATGGTCATTGTCGCCCCTCTCGTGGTCTCGTCGTGGTCATCATCGTCGCCGCCATGAAATTTAACGTCGCTATCTCCAGCGTCATTGTCATCGTCTCGCGCCGCCGCTGCCACTTCCCGCCGCCACCAGCCGCAGTGGTGGCAGCAGCAACAGCAGTCCTTCAGAATATGAGAAGACGAGCTCTGCACTTGCACGAACCCTAGGCCCTAGGGAGTGACTCGGCAAGAGCGCGAAGAGCTCAAGGCATTGGAGCACGTTCCGTGGAGTCCTCCTGCAGTCAGTGCCTGCCTCACTACTATCCCGCCGAGGCGCCAAGTGCAGCGGATTTTTGTAATCTATGGTGTCGGTAGCATTATTTTGCACTCCTACAGGACGAGCGGATCATCCTCGGCTACCCGGATCCGCCGGCACGGTTCGCACAGGATCGAAAAGCTAAGCTAAATGGCTGAAGCTGCAAATTCTGTTCAGCTCCCCATGATGGAGGCGAGGTTGCATGCTTTGCTTCAAGTTCATGTGCTGTCGTACTGGCATCCTGGCGCGACGGGGGTCGCACTTTTTCACGGTTGTTCAAGCGTGTACGGAGCGACGTGGGGCAGGAGTGGCAGATCGTGGAGATTGATTGTCCGAGCGCGATGCCTCAGCAGTGTTTGTTGCATGCGTGCATAAGCATTCCGAGATGCTGGCGAAAGACACGATCAGAGAGTCATCTGTAGACAGACTTCAAACCTGGCAAACACGAAGACTTTTGGTGCAGCTTGGGACAGTCGACTTGGCAGGGCATTCTGACGGGGCTTGCTGGGCTAAGGCGAAGATGACGAAAACACGTCGGAAGAGAATGACTCAAACGACACAATGTCGCCCATCGGCATGCTAAATGAATCCGACGACAGCGTCAACGCCGCCAACATGTCCAATGTGACGCCCTGAGCCATGTTCACCACGCAATAGCAGAACCGAAGTTCTTCGTAGGCTTCAGTGTGTAGGGCTCTCTCTTGGCTCGGGTTTGGCTTGGGCTTGCATACATCGCTCCTCGCAGATGTTTTCCTTCATGCAATTCGCAGTCACGTCTGGTATATACTGATGAGGTGCCCTTGGAAGACCCGTCAGGACCTGCTTTACGGTTTCGGCTTCTGCAGTGTCCTGAAGAGCACCTCGTTTCTCCCGAATGTGTTTTGCTCAGGGTGGGAATGTAATGGGGCTGGCCAAGAAGGCTTGTTCCTCGAGCTTCACAGAATCCGCCTGAAGGAGAGGACAAGCGCTGCTTCGCTAACGTCTCCGTCAATGTCTCCTTGAACGTATCAGGCAGGAGTCGAGAGAGCCTGATGCCTTCCTCCCTTTTCACAAATTTCGCTGGCCCAGGCGATGTTGAGCCTTTTGTGTCCGGGACTTGGCAGCGAGAGCGTGGTCAGTAGGTTTCTCAGATTGCCCCATCCAGAGTGTCTCAGGATGGTCATTGAAGCGTGCTCTCGAGAAACCGCCGCGATTGCTCAGAGCCTTTACTATCGTTTTTTGTCGCAGATTCGTCAAACCTTGGTAGGATACAAATTCCCTTGCTTGTTTTGCACTCCTGCCCCTGCAAGGAGAGCTGCTCCCAACACAAATAACCAACATGCCGCTAGAATTGTATGATTGTATCGTTTGTTTAGCTGTTTGCGTTGTTCTAATGCTGATGTCATCCTCAAGCCTGAGTCTTGTGCAGTGGTTTTGAACGTTGCTGCTACTTTTCGTTTCGTGTTTGCTTGTGCTGCTTGCAGTTGCCTTCCTCCATGTTCTTTAGCTACTACCGTCCGCGAGCAGCAATACTACTCACATCATCGCGTTAATTTGCATCATTGATGTTTTGGCTGCGCTTGCAAAGCTTGCCGCAAAGCTGCAGAGCACTGGTGCCAGGCTTCTGCAATCCAGCCACGACCTGCTCCGGCTTCGGAGCTTGCGACCCCATCAGTCATTATCTCAGAACTCGGGCCATTGGGACGGTCTTGGGTTGAGAGCTTCGTTGTTCAGGTGTCGGGGGGGGCCCATGACCACAAGTGTTGTTCAGCAGCTTGAGGCTCTTCCTGTCGGTGTCTGAACGACAAAGGCATCGAATTGCCGAATCTCCGCATCTCACTTCCGTCTTAGTCCGAGAGCCTTCACTTATTCTGTTTACTGTAGCTGGAGCACTCAGAAGAGCTAGACCGTGTGAAAATGCACCGAGTCCTTTCGTCCCTCGCCGAGGTGCCGAGTGTCAATGCGACAGCGAGCATTTCAGCTCCGACTGCAGTGGCGTCTGTGCTTCTCTTGGTTTTTGAATCGAAGTCGCGGAGGCTTGTCTCAGGTGTGGCAGCATCTGCCGCTCGACACTGGCAAGGACATACAAGCACGTGGTACTTGTAGCTGGATGTTGTTGTTGATGATGATGACGTCTGATGATGATGTAGCTCATCGTGGCAAATATGCTCAGGTGCAGACTACTGCGAGACGCCCGGTGTGGGCCCCGTTGGCAAATTAGGATGGCTAGGTTTCAGGACCCAAACCTAGACGCAGCCGATCTGATGCAAGTGCCGGTGTTGAGACTACTATGGTGCATGAGGGATTGCAGGCGCAACGTAAAGCAGTGTCCGTAATGCCCAGGGATAGACCAAGACTAGGCCGTTTCATTCCAGTCTGACCCTGACTATTCAGTGGCAATTCCATCGTTGTCACCACATCCACATATTTATCGGTCCTTCAAAGGGGGTATTCTCGAAATCTAACGCCGTCGCTTGCATCAACGACCTACGAAGTGTACACTGGTAAGCGGTAAGCCTCAAAGCTCCTGGTCAAGGCACCGAGAAGTGTGCGCTGGAAACTCCCGAAGCTTCCACGCCAACGTGCACATGCAAGCGCCGGTCTCAGATACGGGTTTTCATGTGGAGAGAGTCGTGAGGTTTGTTGGTCTTGGGGATTCAGGGCTTGCTCGGTCAGCACCAGCTTTCAAAGTGGATCTTGCGATTTCGCCATGAGCCGGCGCCAGATCAGGGCATGGGATCTTAAAGGTGTCTGCGTGCTCGTCTCGCGGTATGTAGCATGCTTCTCTCTCCTCGCATTGGTTGCATCGCATTTCCTCGCAGATTCCTCTGCCTACGAATTGCTGGCAGGTCTGGGTACTGGGACTCCGACTGTCGACCGCCCAGAGTGGCAAGGCGGAGAGGTAAACTCACATTCGCGATGTGCTCATGACTTCGCTTCAGGAGTTCAAGTGTCCTTTACTCTGTGCTGTGGCGCGCCGCTATGCCGCTAACTCCGATATCTGCTACGGGGGAGCCTGGAAGCGATGCCTTTGTTACTCTGACCCATTGTCTTTTTTCATGCAGCAGAGCCTGCAACTCTACTTCTCAAGGTCGCTGGAGCTGCACTTGCTTCGAAGCCGGAACGGTGCCTCTGCTGACACTGGTCTGAACACGGGTCATCCAAGTTTTCATCTTGCTGCGGCAAGGCTTCATTGTCGTGATTGACAATGATTTACCATAACTCCCAGTCTGAATGCCCAAGCCTGGCCTCAAAGCTTGCAAGACCCAACGCCTGTCTCCACCAGCCGCCAGCTTCGATGCATCGATGGGTCCACGGGCGACGGCAGCTGCGTTTGCAAGCGGGGGGCCTTAGGGCCTCAGCAAACTTCGGCTCCTAAGTTTTTTCGCCGGTTGAATCGTGGACTCTCCAGGGCTTGAGTCCAGGCCCGAGGATGCGGGGTTTCTCAAGGTTAGCGTGTTCGCAGTCAGATCAGCCAGGAGCCCTGATGGCTTACTCTCTGAACCCTGAACTACAAAAGGTAAACCTGTGTGGAACAGGTGGAAACCATGCTTCAAGCTGAGAGCTTGACATAGCCAGCTCAAAACCCTCAACGCCAACCTGTCGCGGAAGTTTCAACAGCCGACCCTCTTGAGTCCTGGCTTCATTGGCTTCGCTTGCGACAGCTGCGCCGCCTACATGCCTGCGCCTAAGGTCTCGAATATCAGCTGCACACGCATGCACACCCGGCATGACAACAGCTTGTCGGGGAGTGCTTTACCTTCTGATACAATGAAGGGTTAGATTGGAGCTGTCACAGCACGTTTCAAACTAAAAGTCATCAGAGTTGAAGAGCAGCAAGCAGCAACATGCAACAGTGCGACCTTTTGCCGCCTGTCAGGTATCCACCCGGAGAGTGCTTCCGGCGGTGTGAGGAGAACGTGGACTGCTTCGAAGGGTCCTGCGTCGGGCCGGCGCTCGATTGTTGTGCTTGTGCTGCTGCTGCTGCTGCTGCTGCATGCATGCCTGGAGCATGTTGGGACGGCACTGGGCTGCAGCTAAATTTTCATCCTATGCTGCATGCTCCTTCAATTCGTCAGTTGTTGCTTCCATGCAGCTCGAAAGCCTCCGAGCAGTACCGTTGATCCACTGTACGGGGTCTGGACGCCAGACGCCCTTCACGGGAATCTGTGCTTGCGAGCCTGGAGCTCAGACCTGCGCTGGGAGGTCGGATTCGTGGCGTCGGAGTGTGACTTCAGGATTCTCAGTCGAGGGTCGCTTCGGGCCTAGCGGCTTGGGTCGTAGGGATGCGAGCTTAGAGCCTGGCTGCATTTCGAGAGCTTGAAGATGCGGGATGTTGGTTGTTGAACGCATGTATCTGTTGTCCTCGAGAGAACGATCCGCTGCCAGTCTTGACTCTGACCGGGGAAGACGAGGAGACAATGCAGTACATCAGCAGGAGAGGGTTTCAGACCATGAGCAATGCTTTCTGAACTGCTAAGGGCAGGTTGGGAAGGATCAAACTGTGGCTGCTCGGTGGACATGAGTCTGGCACTCAGCCAGTTGGCTTCTCGAAGTTGCAGTGCGCAAGCTTCCTCGAGTAGCTTGATGGGCTTCGCCTCCAGGGTAAAGAGCTGAAAGGGTTGTTGATTATCTAGAAAATGCCATGCTGGTGTCTGCTCCCGCAGAATCTGATGTCCAGCCAATATCTGGCTCAGGTCCCACGGACAGCTGCGGCGGGAAAGGCTTTTGCGCGGACGATGGCAGTTGCCTCTGTGACATCAGGCCAGCCTTGCCTGACGTGTGAGACACCACAAAATTGGAGCATTTCGCGCGTAGGTGACAGTTTTTCCACGAACGCTGGATTTCGTGTGGCCATGTGGGCAACGCTGCGCGAGTAAGAGCATTCGAACAACAATCCGGGTGTGGATACCGAAAACAGTCTGTGGTACCGCTCTCCAGGAACACCGGAGCGGAATGTGCTGAAAGCACGTCTTACGAGCTTGCAGAGCTTCAGTGCCCCATGGCCGATTGTTCGGGGTTTCAGTTCGAGTTGGCGATCAGCTCATGCTGACAGGAAGCTGAATGTTGATGCTGAGCCCCTTCCTGCCCTTGATAATAGCGACATGTTTTGCACTTTCGCTTTGCCTCGAGTCACCACGTGACACGAGCAGAGCAGCTCTAGTGGCGATTGTGACAAAAATGGCGGCGACTAGCATCAGCAGCATCCGGTGCACATCAAGAGCCATCGCCGTAGCCACTTGACGACAGCACATGCAAGGCAATGCAGAACAAGATCCGAACTGAGCCTCATGCCACCGGATTCAGCAGACCCTTTCTGCCTGATCTCTCTCTCTCTCTCTCTCTCTTTTGCTCTCTCTGCATGGTTTTTTCCTCACTCTCGTTACGCACGGCGAAGTCGGTGATGTGCCGAGTTGTTTACGTCAAGCGGCACAGGCCATACAAGCATGGAGAGAACGCCCCGCCACTTAACAAAAGTATCTCAAAAGGGAAGAGGAGCCATGGATACATCTCGAGAGTAGCGTTGCAAGCTTCAGGCTTCACAGATACGCTCTTGATACCGCAGTGACGATGATCCTGATGACGCTGTCTTCAACCTCCTCTCTGATCCCAGGCCCCTACTGCAGCAACACTGGCATTTGTGTCGAGGACCGGGGCAACCCTTGCACCGTGCGGGGGGGCGGGAAGCCCTAAATGTCCGACAGGAAAACGGCGACTTCGTGGCGACCTGAGCGATGTTGTCCGCGGAATCTTGGAATTCTTCGACCGAAAGAGGAATTCGCAGTGAGCACTGCGCAAAGGCATGCAGCTGTGCCAAGAAGCTGGGCTACTACGGGGACAACTGTGAGGCGGTCCCCAGTTTGGGATCGGAGCTCCTGGAGCTTAAGCGGTTCGAGTCAGCTAAAGAGTCCCGAATCCAAGTGTGTGTGGGTTACCGTTGCGAGGAGCAGTCGCATCGCATTTTTGGCTATTGGCGATAATTGTCATACAAGTTGTGCTGCTCTGGTCGGGACTGTCGTGTCCGCTGCTGAACGTGGACCCACAAGCAAGAATCGCATGGGAATGAATGGCATAAAGGGAACAAAGACGATTCTGCAGAACTCCATAAGCCCCCATTTACTGGCACACTGCTGTCTTTTAGTTGAGTCGCAGGTATGCAACCATGTTGATGGTTGATAGGTCCTGAAAATGAGCTGCCCTACGCCGCAGGTGTACTGCACCACCTGCAACCCGGACAACACAAGGACGTGCCGCAGAGATGCTGGGTGGTGGATGTCTTCCATTTCGTGTTACAGTAGCTGCAAGCTCGCCTGCGCGGTGGGATCTGCCTCGTGGCAGGACTTGCGCCATTACCGCTGGTGCGGAGCAGTGCTTCTGCGGCTTGACTGCGTAGTTCCGCTATGTCGCACTCTGCAGCGTGGGGGTGAAGGTCGAGCGCAACGTGTCTGCGTAGTCTCACAGTGAGACCGCTGCTGTTGTTTTCGTTGTCGGCCACATCGTGACGGTTTCCGTTATCTCGTGCGAACTTTGCAACGTTGCTGCGTGGCTTTTTGTTGCTTTATTAGTAGAAGTAATAGCAGAAGAACCGTTTGTTAGCCTTCACTCATGTTCATTGGCACGACTGCGACAGCTCAACATTACCGTCATCTGTGAAGATGCTACTGCACTTCCTGTGCAAGGTGAGGAGTGGTGGTGGGGCCTAGTGCTCAGCTCCCGTACTTCTCCGCTTTGTGCTCTGGCCTTCCGGAGGTCGAGTGCGACTTCCCCCATCGTCTGCCTACTTTACTCGAGGGCAAGAGCTTTAGGTCTAATGCTTGAAACCATGAGAATATGATTGCTTGAACAGGCCTTTCTTATTCCTGCAGTCTTCCACTAAACTTCTCTGAGCTCTCCATCCATGCCTGCTCCCTGCTGCGCTGAGGTCCCGACTGCAGCCTGCCGTGTGCCTGCATCCGGGCCGGAACAGAGCGCGCTTGGCTGAAGTTAATCGAAGCAACAGCCAAAGCCTGTGTGTGTTGTCATGGAACTTGAGGCTTCAGATTCTAGATATTCTTGATGCTGCTAACAATGCCAGCACGAATGCTAGAAGTTTGAACTTTGATTCTGTGCCATGCCGTCGCCTTCAGCACACGGTTTTCGGTTTGGGAGCGTTCTAGGGTTGACCTTCAAGAGTGCGAGGCACAACATTCTTGATGCTGAAGCTTAGGGTCTTGTTCAGGTTGTCTAGAGTGGCTGCAATTTTATGGCTGTGGCATAACTTGTCCTGTGCCAGTGAGCTCCTGCACTGGCAGGCAGTGCCTTATGCAAACCGGGCAGTGTGTTGCCGACATGTTTGGGGCTTGTTCTTGGTCGTGCGGTTTCCGTTCTGGATTCCTCTTTCTAGCATCCTCTTCGTTACTTCGTATTTAGGTGGGCAGGAGCACCTGCAGCTGCAGTCTTGTCGCAACTGTGCAGGTGCCTGCAAAACAGGATGGGCTGGCCTGTTCTGCGAGCAGTGTTCTCCAGGCGATGAGCACCGTGCTGTTCATCTCTGATTGCAGCCTTTCGCCTCGTCGACATGTTATAGACTCATAGATCCAACTCGCAACATCATGGCTCTTCACAGCTGTCCGGAGAACCTTCGTCGAGGCTATTATCCGGAAGGGAGCTGCGACGTGCAGTGCGATGTGCTTGCCCCGGCAGTCCAAGTCCTGCCAAGGTCGTCCTTTCGTCAGAACCACCCTGCTGCGGAAGTCCGGATGAAGTCATGAACACTTGTGTCTTAACAAGCAGCCAAAATGTCTTCAGGATAGCCGGGACCACAAAGATCAGGATTCAGAGCCCTGCATCTGCGCTTATCTTGAACTCCCTGACATCACAGCCACCTTGAAGCCACAGAAAGCACAGTGAGACAAGCGTGTTCATCGAGGCTGGTTTCAGCTGCAATCTGAACGGCTACTGTGGGCTCGGAACTTGGAGTGCTGGTGAAAAAGAAAAGAAACGTTCCAGCCCAAAACCTTCGAAACCCTTGGAGGCAGGCTCCACGTACTTTCCGTAGCCTTTTTTCAGAAGCAAAGCCTGACCGAGGCCTCTCGGCACTTGCGTCTGCAACGACCTTTGGGAGGGTCGCCCTCACAGCTTCTTTTAGAAGTGAAGCTGGGAGCTGGGGACTCCTGTGCCTCAAGGCCTCTGCTTCTGGCCCCCCTATCAGGTGAAGGCTGCACCTACTGCACCTTTGACGGCCGGCCGCTTGCTCTTTGGCCGCACATACGGGCTGTTACGATGCTACACCTCTGGACTCCTCCTGTCTGCATCGCCCCAGGCTCACGATAACTCCACGGACCTGCCGTCCTGCTCCACCCGCTGTGCGGTGGAGGGCTCGGCTGGGGCTGGGCCTGCAGTCTCCGAGATGGGCGGGGGTGAAGGTTTGATTCCAGGCTCGAAGTCCGGAGGGTCAGAAGTCTGTTTCAGACGAGGTCTGGCCAGGTCCCAAAAACGGTTAGCTGGACGCTGGTGCTCGACCTTCGGGCCAATTTTGTTTGGGGTGGAGGGTGGGGTTTACTCACAGCCTGATCTGCGAGACTGAAGTCCTGCCAGATGGCTAGTCTGGCCGAGCAACGTTCAGAATTCACGCCTTCTGTTGTGCCGTGGAAAGCGTCTGCAGGAAAGTTCTGTTGAGACATGTCTTCTGCTACAGTGTCTACACACAAGGCTCCCAAGGCTCCCAAGGCTCCCAAGCCCAAGCTCTAAGTTGCGGCAAAGGATGAAACGATTTGCAGCGGCCATGGAGCCTGCACCAACGCAAGAAGCCCAGTGGGGGCATGCAGGGCAATGCAGGGTGCATGTTCTTGAGCCTTGAGCGCTTCGGACGCGACGAAGTGCAGGTCGGGCTGTGCGACTGCGATCCTGGATGGTATGGTGGGCATTGGCCTTGTCGAAGCGGGCTAGCTGTCGAAGGGGAAGCTTTACAGAGTTGCATGTGGTGTTTGTGCCAGGGCACCATCCACCTACTGTAAAAGCAATGACTCTTCGTAGAGGCATGTGCCTTCGTGATGGTTTGGACAAGAGTTTTGCAATCGGGGACTTGTGTTGGCCCCAAGCAGGCCCTCGGCCCAAAAAAGAAGAGTCTATTCAGGAGCGGTCTTGGCGAATGCAGTTTGCCGAGCTGGCCAGTTGCTGCACGCCTTTCTTTTGCTTTTCATAGTTCGGGCATTCCTAAATGTTCAGCGACAGATCGCACACTGTCAACCCATGACCCTCTGTCTCCCACGATTAGGCCCCCAGACTCTGAGACTTTGCGATCGAAACATTCCACACCCTGAGCCCCAACCAAAACCCTCACTTAAACGCTCTGAGGCCCGTTGCTTGCTGGGACGGAGGCCGATTCGGATTTGCATGTATTCCGCCAGATGCTGAAAGGCTCGGCTAGACTTCGAGAATGACTTGATTTTGCAGCCTCACAGTCACGAGCAGATTTTGGATCGCAACTAGAGGCACATCTTAGCATATTTGTTTTTGCAGTTACGGTTGGCACTTCCTCAAGACAAGAAGAGTGTCTCCTCGCCAGAACTGGCAGCAGCGAGGGGCTGGTATCGCACGGATGGACTGCCAGGCGACCGCAGAATGTTTTTCGATCTGTAGGTGCAATTTTTTCCGGTTAGCCTTCTTTGATGTTCATCTCTCTTCAAGCGACGCCATGATGTGTCGAACCAACGCACCAAGTCTCGCAACGGCCAGATTGTGATATTCAGCTGCCGCTGGGACCCGCCGTCCGCATGGAGTGCCACCAGCGGTGCCTTGGCATCGCACACCGGTTGCTGCAGTAGCATGGGATTCCGAAAGCTGTATCATACACTCCTTGATTCCATGAGTGAAGCTACCAAGAGCAATAACTTGCCGTCACAGTTTGAAGCTCGTTTTCGAAGGGTTCACAGGTTCGAGCTGAGTGAGACATCGGAGTGCTGCCACCTGGTGCAGGTGCACGTGCAGTTATCCCGGAACTGACTTCTGCCGCGAAGGGTGCCTTGTCTTGCCCATGCGGGGGACGGGCCACAGTGTGATATTCTGATGTCGAGCATCATCCCCACCCTGACTCATGGCTCGGCTTCTGTCCACGCTTACAGGTATCCAGGCGCTTCTCGGTGAGGGCTTTCAAGATGTACAGCACAGGGCTCCTTAGCCGCCCTGGACAGGCGAACAGGAGATGGCCTATGCGTGTGCCACTATGGCTGGGGTGGCAACGACTGTGAGCGATGTGCAGAAGGCCGAAGTCCAACAACTTGCGTTTGCTACATGTGCTCTGCGGAGTGGGAAGCAAGTTTGCAGGCTTCTTCCCTGCACCTGAAACGCAGTCTCCTTCTTGCACGACCTTTTGCTGGGCCCTCTGTCATCAGCATGAATTGTGAACCTATTGCTGCCGATTCTCGTCGAAGCCGAAGTGATTACTGATCGCACCTTACTGCTGATTGCCGCTATGGGCAACGCTGATCATCCCCGGTCTCACAGCCTTGTCGGTGCCACTACATGGCACGCTTTGCTGTTCGAGCTTCAGGTTCATCGCCTGTGACGTGCAGCGGCCATGGGATTTGCAACGTCTTCGGAATTTGCGAATGCGACGAAGGCGGGATGTGCGAGAATGTTGGACATTGCACCTGAACCTCAAGTCTCAAGCGCCTGCCCCTGGACTTGGGAAGGTTGGGCCGGCGTGAATTGTGATCGCTGCGCCGACAACTGGTACCCACTAGGCTGGTGGAGTCGTGGAGGTGGATGCTTCGAGCATTTTCCGCTGACGCTGTGAGAGGCAGCTGCAACGTCTACTGCACCTTCGAAGAGACGTGCTCATACCACGGGAGGTCCTCTTCGAAAGAGTCTCGAGATAGGGGTCCTTGTCTGTTTCCATGGCAGGTGCAATTCCGATGGCATCTGCCTGTGTGATGATGGCTGGATGACGGGGACCAGGCCGAGACCAACCTCCGTTGCGTCTACGTAGGAGAAGCAGCCTGCATCTTCAGGGGCTTGCTGACATCCTATCAGACCATCGGTAAGTCTTCAAGCGCAAGTCTTTATGCCAAGCGCACACATACATCCGAAGTCCGACTCTGCCGCAGGTCCCGGTATCAGTACTTGGAGGACATGCTCAGCCTGGATGACCTCTTTCCCCAAGGAGCACCTGCAGGGATTTTCTCAATATAAGAGAAGCTGGGAAGAAGTAGTGAGCCTAAGATGCTAACACATGTTTAGATCGGGGGGTCTGGGTCACTTGTAGATACCCCTCGGAATGAACCTAAATTCAACCGTAAGCCGTTTCGGAGGCAGCTCCGCAGGTGAATGCCTACTGTCAGGGATATGGCTATGGACAGTTATGCAAGGTCAAAGATGCAGCAAACCTTACTGGACAATCGACTTTGAATTCCGGTAAATGTGATACAACGGATAAGTTCTTGTGTCGGGCCTGTGCTCACACACGTGCTACTTACTTACTGTAACTGGTTTCGGCAAGGACGCTCTGCTGGGAGAGACGGGAAAACAAGAACAACCGGCTCACCAAGCAATCGTTCAAATTACACTACTTGTTGTGTATGAGTAGAAAGACTACAATCGCTCTTGAGCAATATCGCAAGTTCAGGAACCACCGGAGTAACTGCGTTCAGTTTGTCGGAACACCGTTGGTTCATGATTCTGTTTCAGCTTTCATGCCTTCTGGTTTAGCTTGCCGGCAGTCCGTGAGAAAGACGGCCTGTGTTCACGAGATGCTGGCTCAGAGCGAGAGTGATGGATATTATGCTAGATATATTGTTGAAGTATGCAGTTAGACATTCTGTTGGGAGCACATGGGGAACCGAACTCTGCTGCAACTTCGGCTTGACGAGGGCACACTGATGACATAAGTTGGGAGCTTCAACGTGATCGTCATTGGTGTTATGGAGATAACCTGAGTCGTCTTGTGCCATGCCACTTGCCATACTTCTTGAACAATTATGTTGGACATGTGTTGGGACAAGTTGTTCGTGGCCTCGCCTCAGAAGTCATGAGCCAAACTGATTGGGGCAACTGGTTCTGAGCCAGGCAATTCAACGGACGGCGACGTGGACTGGTGACTCGTCTGGGACCATCCCAGGTTTAGACTGCCGCGTATGGGTCTCTGGGGCTTCCCACAGAAGAGGAAAGCAACAGCCGTACACCACGTCCGCACCACGTCCGCGTCTCTCCAAGGCAGTGCTTGAGTTCCTGCATCCAGAGGTCCATGCCTCGGGGTCTCAGGTCTCGGCAGCGCCCAGCGTATCGAAGCTAAGACGGTCAACGAGGTATGGCCTTGACGCAGTCGAGACCGACAGTTGCATGGAGGAATGCATGGTGGTGCCCTGAGATTCAAGTTGAGGTTGCCCAAAGACGTCCGAAAGACGCTGTGGCTGATCATTCGAGAATCAAGGAGAAGACATGCTCATGACTCACGCTTGTTCGTGCGGTTACCGCAGCTTTCCAGATCCATGGTTCCAGCAGAGTCATGAGTCAGATGTCAGCACAAGAGCCGACGAAGCTCAGGCTTCTGCTAGCATACCTTGTTTCCCCATGACACAAGGAGTTGCCACAACAACTCACACAACCTAGAAACAAAGAACTTCAGCCGTAGCTTGATTTGGTTGTCACTTTATGCCATAGCCCAGAGGCATGTCTGCAAACATCAATGGTGAGAAGAAGAAGACGAGTTTTGAGTTTCCGTTCGAGCTACGTCGCAGTGCGGACGAGACAGTTGCTTAGCTGGAGTAGGGGCGTCATCAGGGTCAATGACGATACCAAGGATGCGAATGACAACTCTAATCATGGTCTCGAGATAGCAGAGAGAGCAAGATCAAAAACTTCATAGTCAACAAGCAACAACAGTAGTAATAGTAACGCCAGTAATCCAAGAGTTTAGTATTATGTTGTGCTTATGGTTACGAATGTTGCTGTTATGCCTCTTCTGATCTACCTGTGTGCATATGTATGTATGTACAAATGTATGTATCTATACACACACACACACACGCACAGACGCGCATACGTGTATACGGGCACGCCTATAAAAACCAATGTAAGCCGACTTTCGCTGATGATGAGGCCAGTGTTGTCATCATGTCTGGAGGAAAATAGATCGATGACAGCAGCAATGCCATGTACTTGTACATTTGCCATGCGATATCACAAAAACATAGCAGCACATGGTCACATTAGGTCATAGACAAACTCGCATGTTTCAGTACGTTCATGTGTTGCTTCTGAGCTTTCCAAGGTCGGACTACATTACAGACCAATCTGCCACACCGATAATTCCTTCGGCGGTTTCGAGGTGACGGATGTCCTGTACAGCGCCCAGCGTCAGAACGAGGTCATAGTCATGAAGAAAAAGGCTTTCCACTCCTATACTTCTAATTCTAATGCTAGTGTTTGCACTCACTATAATTCTGTAGTTTCAGTACACTTAAGATTAGAACGAAAGTTTCCTTTGATGTCAGGTGCTCCGCAGATATTGTGTCGCGGCGATACAAGAACAAACCCTGCAAAAGGGAGACATCATCTTGGCGATCAATGGAAAGAACACCCAGTCTGCTATGTTGCTCACATGAATCTGAGGCAGAGCAGAGTCTTGTTTCCGGAGACTGCGGCATGCCCGACAATCCTAGGACTCACGAGTTGCAAGCGTCGCTCGAGCTCTACATGAGGGTCTGGAGGGACACGGTGGAGGACAAGGATGACCCTACACCCCTGATGTATGTTATCTCAGAGCATCTTGGCACAGTTCATTCGCTTTCATGAAGCACTCGACTTAAGCGTGCTGCCAGCGGTGGACATCGTCAGGTACGCCGGAACAGTGGAAAAAGAGGGTGGCTACCTGACAGTAACAAAGAGGACGCAGATCTATGTTCAACGAGACAGCCGCGCCCCGCCAGAGGTGCGACATTGCTTTGCTGTTCTTTCATATGGAGTCTTAGGGTTGGAAGTCATCAAAAGCATCTCCAGGAACGTGCGCAATAGCTGAAAGCCGAACTGTCCGAGAAACGGCCCAAGTTCCAGATGAAGCCACGACATCGCTTCTCCAGTATCTTGTTCAGTGAGGGGCTCTCGACTTAAACCTCTCAACGAAGTATGTGCCACCAGAGTTCGGTTGATTAGGTTTTCCTGACCCACCTGCGGACACTTGATGGGGGCATGGTCAGGAGATCAATGCCTATCGCTGCGACTACATCTGGGGCCTACCGGCAGCATGTGAGTGAACATTCTTCTTTGCTTTTAGCACATGCACCAATAATATCGTTGCCACGACAATGTGCAAAAACCAATGGCTAGTGACTTCAACTGAAGCTCTGTCCCAACTACATCCAACTATGATCGTGTTCATCTTGCCAGAAGATGCAAGCAACATGAATAAGGCACATGCATGGTGTGTATGCATGCCCCGCACCTGTTGCTGTGTGCGTTTCCTAAGTACGGCCTCGGCAGCACAGGCTGGCATCGGGGAAAATCCAAGCACGAGGGCGGCTGGCTGCCCATGGATGTTCTGGCTGCTGGGTAGGTTTGATTGTGCACGAGCCCGCGCCGACCGGACAGGCTTGTAGCTCTGTGATCACCAGCATTGCTTGTCCAGCATTCTGGGGGACCTGGCGTGCCCAGTCCACAATGAAGAATGCTGTAGCAACACAATCAGCTGAGCTGATCGTCACTATGGGTGTTCCAGTTATGTGGATGCTCCAGCCGGAGAGTTTGATTTGCTCGTGGGTGAAGGCACTGGTGGATCCAGATTGTGGCATACGGCATACGCTATTTTGCAGCAGAGGCCTTGAGGCAGCTGGGTCCTGCACTGCTTGATGCCTACCCAGAAGCTGCCAAAGAAAATCGGCTCATGTCATGTCAGGACACAACCAGACGCAAGGCGTTGCAATTCTCAAGTCATCCGTCCGTTGTACGAAGAAGTAGACAGTCAGTTGTTCAAAGGTCAGGTTTCTCTTCCGATTTTTTTGGTGGAGAGAAGAGTTCTCTCACAGCAGAGCTGTTCTGTTTCTAAGAAGTATGAGATTAGTTTTTCACAAACCCGATCGGTTTTCGTCTGTTTGATGTGCCGAGTCTGCTTCCAAGGCTGCGCAAACAACCACCTTGCCAGCTACTCAGAAGCGCCCACGACTTGCTCTTGTCAGAACTATCGCACTATTACACTATTGCTGTGGGCACGACATGCATTTTCCGATCACTAATAGTCCCAAAGGGCTATGCGGAGGTCCCAAAACGGCAATTTGGATCCAAGCGCCCGCCGCCAGGACAACCAGCACCTCTGGAGAGCCAACTCCCGTTGAGGCAAAGTATGGGAGTCGGGGGAGGCTGCATTTCAGTGTAGACGCTTCTGGAACTGGCAATCTGAACCAATCTTGCTTTGAATGTTCGGGGAATGTTGAACAGGCCATGCTCAATGTCTCCAATGCCTCCAATGCCTCGGAGGACTTGGGCATGCCAGTTTTCATTCACAGGTTGGCATGGTTGCATCACTTACAATGAGGTCTAGGGTCCCGCAGGGATGTCCAGGGTCCCGCACCATGAGAAGCGGCACTTGCCTCAGTTTCGGAGAGCTCTCGGCCTTGTAGCGGCCAGAACTGGATGAAGTTCCCGTGGCCTGGGATCCTAAGAACCCCAAGCTGTGAACCCGCTGGTACTTCCACATACGGTAGGGTCGCTGAGACAGGAAGACGCCATGGACAGCAACGGCACCGACTCGGATATGCTTGTTCCTGAGAGCTTGCGTGCGGGCACTCTCGGATGCCGGGTGGGGTTGCACTTGTTTTGTTGCTTCAGCTGCTGCGAAACTTCTTCGAGGAGGAGGAGGATTGGGAATAGCTTTGTTCCAGTTTGGCGCTCCTCGTCATTGACCGCGGTTGCAATAGGATCTTTGGGAAAGTCGTGAAGGTTTCGAGTCATAGAGTTCGTCTTTGTAGCCTGGTCCTTGCTGCTGGACCATTTTCTTGTCTACATCTGTCCAGACTATGAGACTGCACAAAGCTGACAGATACGGCGATTCAGGAAGTGCTGTGTAGTCGGTTGAATCCCTCCTCGTGCTTGCCGATTGTCGCCTTTGCGATTGCATCCTCTGCCAGGGAGATGGACGACTCAGGCAAGCCCCCGATGCACTTCGCGAGTAGGGTATGCAGTTTGGGGTTCAGAAAAAATCTCCGTGGCCAAAAGTCGAGTATGCTAACTTGCCCACATCCTCCGGCCTCCTCAGGAGCTTAGGAGCTACTCTGCTACTCTGCTACTCTGCTACTCTGCTCTGCTAAGCGAAGTTGGAATCCTAGACGTGGGTGCAGGCCCCAGCAACACCACCACCACCATCACCGTCTCCAGGTGCCGTTCTCAGTCGATCTAGAGTTTATGGTTCACCCCAGTTTACTTAGATTGCCTGGGCCGTACTTGGGCTACGGTTTTCCGTTTTGTGTAGGGGGAGAGCGGTTGGGAATGCAGGCTGGTTTGGGCACTGAAGGGCCTGTGTTCAGCGTCTTGTTTGTCCAAACAGCCAACCTCGCACTACAACGGCACCTCCAGCAAGCAAACATCGTTAGCATCGTCGCAGAAGCATCGTATCGTTTTTGTTACCAATGAATGTGGTTGTGCAGTAAATGACTACTTCAGAGCGCATACTGACAACTAGCAGCAACCATAGCGCATGGCAGTACGAGCAACCGTTACACATGTCATGCAGCAAAATCAGCGTGCATAATATCCCGAGTCAGGACACTACTGACAATCGTTGTACCGCCAAGCATGGTTCTCATAGTACTGGCAGCACTGTGCATACCAGGACAGCTAGACATGACACATCTCTGAGTATAAACAACCGCCGCAAGAATCATACTCATGTGACTCAATGCGAAACGACTGGTAAGCAAACAGCGCGACGAATATTCGTAACACCATTGAAATTTACATTTAAATGCTGCAGACAGGAAAGGCATATCTGAATTGGGGATGGGGCTCCAGAAGTTTCAGACACGTATCGAGACCTACCCAACCAGCACGGTAAAGAAGCCGTAATGCAAGGAAGCATGACACATCGAGCTCCAGTACTGACTACTGGAAGCCCGACTCAGGACAACATACACAACTTCTTCCACTTCCACGTTCACAGCTTCGGCCGCTCCCTCGGCTTGGGAAGGTCTTGATCAGGATGGGGTTCTGACGCAGGAAGACTTGCTCGTCGAATGTGGTGGCAACAGCCTGCCTTTCGAGTCTGAGCATCCGTCCTTGTCATCGCCAGGTCACCACAAGTACCACCTCAACGCACACAGCTTCATCCAGCACGTCGCTAGACTGCACCCGGCAGGGTAAGTGAGCCCAGTCCCTGAAGCCGGGAAGTCTCATCCGAGATGCGTGACCCGAGAGTTGTAGATTCCTTATGAGATTAGCTGCTTGGTGCGTCTCAACAACTGGGCTGCGATCTGCATGGAAGACTCATACTTGCTGCGCTACACGCTACCAATGTGGAAGTGAGCATCCTAGCAGGTCAAGCAAGTCACTCTTATCTGCCACGAGCTCCTCTTCAACATCCTCTACTCAGAGCTGCTTGGATTTTGATACAGTGTGCGGCCAGACAGCATGATGTTGGGAATTGGGAATGGCATTGTCAGGGAATTTTCTTGGCAGAGATCGGAAAAGGCCATGAACATGTGGGCATTATCGAAGCCTGAACACGACATTCGTCCGGCTACTCAATGTTGTAAGTTGTAACTGCTCAAAGCTGCAAGGAGCAGCTATGCCCGGTCAACTTGTCTGCCGACTGTTACTCTGCACTTTGTCCTCAAACGGGCTCATAAGAGCACGTGGGTCGTGACGCGAACCTCAACTCCCCCGCTGCTCCCTTGCCCTCTTCCTTGTCCGCAACTAGGTTATTCGAGCACGAGCTCCACGTCCACTTCCAGCAAAGCAGTTGCAATTCAGTGAGTAAGAAAGGAAGGTTGGGGCAATGACATGTGCGTCTGTTCGCAATGCACGGGTTAAGCGAAGCTTGAAGTGTGCTCTCAGGCACGAGCTCGAGCGAGTCCATCTCCAGCACCGCGACCACCAGCAGCAGTTCGAGCACCAGCACAACCAGTGCGACGTCAACAGTCAGCACAAGCAGCACCAGCTCAAGCAGCTCCACGACGAGCAGCAGCACGACTATTTCCACCAGCACCACATCATCTTCCAGCATCACGAGTTCCACAACTTCGACCTCCAGCACTAGCTCAAGCAGCAAGACCTCAAGCACCAGCTCCTCCACTACCGTCTCCACCACAAGCTCCAGAAGCTCCACAAGTTCGGTCACCAGCACGAGCTCTACAACCACGCATACCCAGACAAGCACCGTCACCACAACCACCAGCAAGGGCCCCAGCTTTGTTTGCACAAGGCCGTACAGGGGTGTACTGTATCTGGATCCACAGAATGTGCCGCTTTGCAGATTCCTCGCTGTCCATGGTGAACATCAGTGACTTGGAGCTCTGTATTGACGCCTGCAAGGCCGCTCCTGTGCAGTAATATGCAGCTCCTGAACACACGACAAGAAGTGTCTCACGGATCTAGCTGTCCGTCCATGTGGCTGTGTATCGTGCCCATGTTTACGTTGTCTTGAGGCGCTGTTCAGTCTTATGCGCACGCATGCAGTGTAGACATCCGTGTAACAAAGCCACTCAGGGTCATCATCATGATCATCATGTTGGTCTACTGCATTTTGACGGCTGCCACTCGCGCCATCATTGTCGCTGGGGCCGCTGCTGCTGCTGCTGTTAATGCTGCTGCTACGAAAAAGCTACCAGTACAAGTACTAGCATAGTAGTAGCAGTAGCAGTAGCAGTAGCAGTAGCAGTGGCAGTGGCAGTAGTAGTAGTAGTAGTAGTAGTAGTAGTAGTAGTAGTAGTAGTAGCAGTGGTAGTTGTAGTTGTAGTAGTAGTAGTAGTAGTAGTAGTAGTAGTAGTAGTAGTAGTAGTAGTAGTGGTAGTAGTAGTAGTAGTAGTAGTAGTAGTAGTAGTAGTAGTAGTAGTAGTAGTATATAGCAGTTGTGGTGGTGGTGGTGGTGGTGGTGGTGCTAGCAGCAGTAGTAGCAGTACTCCTCCTGCTGCTGCTGCTGCTACTGCTACTGCTATTGCTACTGCTACTGCTACTGCTACTGCTACCGGCTGCTCCTACTACTGCTACTGCTACTGCTGCTGCTGCTTCTACTGCTACTGCTACTACTGTCACCACGGCAAGCCAAGGTGGCTTTTGCGCAGTAACTGCGTTCGCTGCACAGGTGCTTCGATTAACATTTGAGGCATTTGTCATGTCTGCATGCCTGTATGCATGTCACAAAAGATGATTGCACGTTGCTCCAAGTTGCACACTTGCAGTCATTGTCCTGCGCAGGATGCATTGGTGGCTTTCTGGCAGAATGCCTCCGGATCCCAAAACATCAGCGCTGTGCTCGGCACTCTTGAACACTTGAAATAGATTGAGGAAATATCGTGCAAAACGTTGCGCATTACAAAACGACTTTGAATAGATAAACTAACGTGGGAGGGGAGCAGGGATGAGCACATGCACAACCATTGGAAGAAGGCCTAAACCAAACTCAAGGTTCCACAGGGAAGGAGGACGGGGCATGTCTATATGTATATGTATACATACATATATATATATATATATATATATATAATTACACACACATACATGCATACATACATACCTGCGTGCATACAAACATACAGACATACATACATACACACACACATACACACACATGCACATTTATGCAAACGAGCATACACATACTTACGTACCGATGCATTTCACATCTGCATAGCCCTTGCGAGATATGTCTATCTGTCCATCCAGCTGGCTTTCTACTTTTCTGTCTATCTGTCTCTGTGTCTATCCCTGCCTCAATCCCTATCTGAATTAGTCTCTGTAAATGTCTTTTTCCCTACCTCTGTATATCTATCTGTATCTATATCTATGCCTGTGCCTCTTATATCTAGCACACAATCTAAACTATATCTGTATCCACATTAAATCTACATCTATACTTCAATCTCTGTGCATGCCAATACTTATTCCAAGGCTTGTAGATCTATATCATTCTTCCAAGGTAAGTCTATTTCTGTGTCTGTACCCATATCCTTATTTGTATCTTTACCTTCGTTTGTTTGCTCATCTACAGCATCACTCATGCATATGCGTGTGGATATACAACTCTCTCTCTCTCTCTCTCTATATATACGTATATATACATATGTATATATATATATATATATAGATATATAAATTTCTACATATGTCCGAGGCACGCACATGCATCTGCATTTGCGTTTACAAACATGCGACTATGCATACATGCATGCTAGTTTACATACTCATATTTATGCATACAGATAATACTGTCTAAGTATATCTTCTTCGGAGAGACTTTTCCTTGCCCTTGCCGCCATATCATCCGGACGTTGTCGTCAGGTGCCAACCTGACTGCGACGCTGGCGGCCACCTGCCTCAGGCAATGCTTGGCGGGAGCCTTAGGATGTTTTTCGACGAGACTTCAAGACTCTCATGTTTAGCGCTGAAGGCTAGTGAAGGGTCGGCACAGCTAATTCGAATGTCGTTGTCGCCTTCCCCAGCTAGGATTGTGTAGAGGTCATGCAGATATAATCTGCTAGTGCCAAATTTGACCTACACCTGCCTTCGGAGCGAAGTCTCGAGGTTTTGGACCTCTTAATCCCAAGCCTGAAACCCTCCTCCTGCCCACGAAAGACTGGAGTCCAAGTCAACATGACAAGCTCTTCTTCGACTGAACTTCACGTAAACAGCTTTAAGTGAGGCCAATGGGACGGCCACCGTCAGGCCGGAGGAGCAACCCACCCGGCTACTCGGTCTGAAGATGAAGAAGTGATTGGCTTTGGAAGTCAAGTCTTTCTCGGACTACTTGCTTCTGCTGCTTCTAATTACCGGGTCCCAGCCTTCTGTCCGATTCGTATTGGTCCAAGTCTACTGGATCTGAGGGTTCCCGTATGTCTCAGGCTTTACCGGAGTTATCTAGTCTAGTTTGAGCGTAGGGGGTTTTGGAGGTCTTCGTTCTGCTTGACGTTTTGGGACCTGTGTAGTTCCTTATCAGAGCCACACGACGAAATACCTAGGCTCTCCAAAATCCACAACCCTACCGAAGAGCCCTCATCCCAAGCTTCAAGCTGCAGACGTGGCCGCGGCAGAGCAGAAGCCCAGGTTCTGCTCCGTGCTGGACGTCACGCTCTTTCGTGTCAACTCGTGCCTCGAGAGAGAGAGAGCATTGAATTTGGGGAAAGGGCAAGCCACACGCATGCAGTAGCAAAAGAGGAAGATGACACTTGGACGTCCGACAGTTTGTGATGACGAGTATATGTTAATAATATTTATACATATATACACACACGCACACACCCGTCTCCCAGAGCAAGGGCCATCAGTACAACACTAGGTCTTGTGCCTACGCCAGGAACACTTGCCTTTGCCATGGTGAGAATTCGGAGAAGCATGGTTTATGAGGTTGTCTTGGGTTCCGGGACCGCGAGGATGTTGGAGTACTACGTTGCCTTTCTTTTGTGGCATTTCGAGTCCGATGTCCCAAAACCCGTTTAAGCCTCCGAAGCAACATTATCATCATTGCCAACAGCAGCGGCAAGATCAGAACCGACCTAGTGAGAGCTTCAACCTCCACCAGTTCTAGGGCCTCTACCATTCAGTATTCACCATGTTGTATCGTTGGCTCTACTACGCTGTCATGGTACTCGGCGAAATTAGCGAAATTAGCATGTCGCAAGGTGCCCGGTTCCTGGTGGCAAGCACAGCATAGCTGTCAAGCCCACGCCTGGTGGGTTCGCCAGTCGGGCCTCACTGATGCTTCACCGCAATCAAGGTATTTGGGGTGGGGTCATCGGCCTGAGGGTACCCTAGACACTGCTGCCCTGCACTTCAATCAAGAGACCCCTGCCATTTGTATGAGGAGCGAAGCAGACTACGATCTGGAGCTGCTCGGACCATGTGTGTCAGGGTTTAGAACGGTTGCAATAGTTGCAAAGCAGGGCTCGGGGCATCAGAGAGGGTGGAGTTTGTGCATGAGGCCTTGGAGGCCTCGAGATCTTGGGATGTGTCAGGTTCTGGGTTTCGGCGCACGGGTTGTCTTTTGCATGGTGCTTCCGGACAGTTGCATGGGAACGTGAAGCATGACGTGCATCCTTGCTTTTAATACTGCATCTAGTCATATAGTGTAGTCCGATAAGCCCAGAACTTGTAGTCATGCATAGGTTGCAGCTTCAACCGAATATTTGAATCTTACAGTCTTACAGCTTTGAGCAGCGGTTCCCAAGTTGTCAGGTTGTTGTCGGGGCGGGTTCGTTCAGGCAGCAGCTGACTGTCGTGAACATGGACCCCTTTGGCAGTCCGGTGGCTGGTGGCAAGGTAAGGGCCTCCCCCGTGATCAAAACTGCCAGCTGTCCTTTTCTTGGGCACGAAGAGGTGATCAGTCTTACTACGCGATCTGTGTAGTTGCATTCAGCCGGCATTTTCCATATACATATGCCTGCATATGTAGATATTTCATATGTAGTGAATATGTACATATATATAGATATATATAGATATAGATATAGATATAGAGATAGATATAGATATAGATATAGATATAGAGATAGATATAGATATAGATATAGATATAGATATAGAGATAGATAGATAGACATAATGCAGTGTGCAATGCGCTTTGCAATATGTGGTAAGTAAGACGATGTGCATAATATGCATGATGTAAGACACAGAAGTGCAGGTAGTATGCAATTTGCAGTATCTGTTTGTGTATGTTTTGCATCTGCATCGGTGTTTGTATATGCATATGTACACGTGTATGTAGATGCATGTGTCTATGCATACACATACGTACAGCAAGAGCGCTGCAATGCAGTCTCAGTTGTGGCGGCAGTTGCCAGAAGCAGCCCCAACAGTCACAAAAATCAAAACACCTGTGCTGGAGGTGATCACAGTGCATGGTGTTGGCTTTCCGCAGGATGTGGACAAGGCTTCGGACGTAAAATCAGAGCTTCCCTGGTTCTGTTTCGCAGGTTGGCCGGCCACGTCCAACCTGAAGCCCCTGCTGACCCTCAGCTTTGAAGCCTCAAAGCCAGAAACAGGGGCTGGAACACTGGTTTTCCGCAGGCGCACATCGTGCTGGATCAGATCGGGCCCTGTGAGGTCCCGGACGGGAGGGATGGCTTCGGGGAATGTTGTGCATCTTCAAGGTCTAGAGTCTAGAGTCGGAAGATCAGGGATCAGCGGTCTCAGGCAGCTTGAGAGTTCAGAGTTCGTCTGTGGGTCACTGTTTTTGCCCCGGCTTAGCTTGCTTAAGGCTTAAAGGGCAGCCGGGCTCAGTCTTGCCGAGGCTCCGTCAGGAAGACCCTGTGAGACTTCATCTGTATGCCTTCGAATTTCGGGGCGGTTGGGGCCGCCAAGATGATGACAAGATCTCATCTCATTCTCGACTTCGCTCGGTTCTGGGCTTAGGGTTGGGGTTGTCCCGTGATCATGATGAAACAAGCCGCAGTTCCATTCTCAAGCTTCACAGAGACAGTGGCACCCGACTCCGCAAGATCGAAGATGCGAAGCTCCAACTCCCGAAGTTCCCGGGCCGACGCTCAATCCGACCGAGGTGCTTCAAAGTACTCAGCGCGAGCTGACCTGCATCACGCGGGGGCCCTCGGAGGGCCATGGTTCGCATATGTTCGCATGTTGTGGGCCAGGTGTAGTCGGACGCTGTGAGTTCCGGACCTATTGATCAAGAGTAGAGAACTCCAAACCGAGCCCTACCATGATTATCAGTGCTATTCTCGGCTCTCGTTTTGCGCCCTGCAACAAACGCCTTCCGAGCCTCGTCAAGGCTTCACCTGGAGGTTCCCATCTGAAGCCCTTCGCAGTTCGAAAGGGGGGTGCGGTAATGTGGCGTAGGCTCTCGAGAGTAGCTTCGAAGAGTGATAAGCCAGGTAAAGGATGTGATGGAAATCACGGTCCCACTTCCCTGATCATCCAGCGCCCCCCTTCCTAGGGAACTCATGCCACGCAGTGTGGACGCCTGACACAGGCCCTACATCAGCCCCCAGCGCTTCGCGCTACTCTGGAACACGTCTGGCAATGCTTTCTTCCATAGCCGCGTCCTCAAAAATGCAGAGCACGCTTCACTCGGGATTGTGCCAGACGAGCTTTCAGGCTTCCTAGAGGTTGTGGTCAGAGCCGGAATCGGAACCTGATGCACTTTGCGGTGAGGGCTGTTGGCGAACTTGGACGACCGGACTTTTACATGCCGATGGCCTTGACACCGAGGTGATGGCAGCATGGTGTTACCTGTACCTGTCTACATGTCCGCAGCTCGCCCAGTCAACATGCAAGTTGCGGGCCCAATGCAGAAACATCCCGATCGAAGCTGTTGGTGTCAATGACCCTTTCAGGTTGGCAGACTGGTGCCACGACTGCTGCGGCAATTTTCGAGATGCGTCAGCGAAGAAATGGAGGTGCGGTCAAGGGATTCCAGTGTGGACGTTCTCCCACTAGATGATGCAGGCTGAGGACACCATCCGCGGTCTGACGCTCCAGGAATGCGCGAAGCTCTGCGTGAAACTCAGCATGGCCTCCTGTTCAAACCTAACGAAGGCTTTCGTCGGGCTCTGCAAGGCGGGACGAGGTCATATCATGTTCAGCCGGTCTCAGAGATCTGGACCTAGGACCTAGGAAGTCTCAGGAAACTAAGATGTGTTGCGCTCGAGGTACATCCAGATATACAAGCAGACGCTGCACTTCTTTCTCACACGGTTATCGTGGCAGCGCCGCGGCTTCCATAGTTAGCAGTCAGCACAGTAGAGCGCAGCTCCGGGCCTTTGCCGAACTGGAGCAAAGCAAAGGTGCCGTCCATACCTGCTCCATCTTGTCGGATCCACTGGGGTGTCATCGCATGGCATCTTGCTTGCAGGAGCAGTTCCCGGTTTCTGACCCGTCGGCCGTAGGAGTAGGAGTAGGAGTAGGAGGAGGAGCAGGAGTAAGAGTCTGAGTAGGAGTAGGAGCAGGAGTAGGAGTTGGAGTAGGGGTGGGGTAGGGGTAGGAGTAGGAGGAGTAGGAGGAGTAGGAGGAGTAGGAGGAGCAGGAGGAGTAGGAGGAGCAGGAGGAGTAGAAGGAGTAGTAGGAGTAGTAGGGGTAGTAGGAGTAGGCGGAGTAGGAGGGGTAGGAGCAGTAGTAGGAGTAGCAGGAGTAGCAGGAGTAGCAGCAGAAGCGGCAGCAGCAGCAGTCCCAGTTGCAGTCGCCAGCAGCAGCAGCAGCAGCAGCAGGAGCAGTACCAGTAGCAGTCGCAGCAGTAGCCGTAGCAATATTTCTGCACGCACAACTTTGTAGTGGCAGGAACATGAACAGCAGCAGTAACCACGACATGCGTCATGATACACATATACATATATATATATATATAGATATATAGATATAGATATATATGTCTCATTTCATTTTTGATTTTTTTATAATTTGAAGAGCCGCCATAGCTGTGATGCTATAAAGTGGAAACGGTAACCGAAAACTGAGCCATTGTATTAATTCCATTGCAGTCCTGCTACTGATAGTAGGTGCACCTGCGCAGTACGTTATCACATCATGTTTCGGCAACACTCGCACCATGCAGAAACACATCGTCAAACCCGAGCTTTTTGTGTTGTTGGCTTGCAGGGGGCCCTTGGGGTTGCATACGGACATTAGTTGAAGCTCTGCACTGCAGCCTGGGGATGCTGTTGCCAGGTTCATGATGTGGAGTTCCATGCGTATGACATCACGGATGCGGACAGCAACGGGACAGTGGCGACTTGGAGTTGCAGTGGTGTCAGACCTCAATGCCCCCAGAGCGTACCACGGTCTTCGAAAGCTGGAAGCTGCGGCTTTGGGCCAAGTCCTGTGAGAGGGAAGCTCGAAAGCTGCAAAAACACTCTCGTGCAGGGCCCCCTCTAGTTGGCAAAGACTTTACGGTGACAAGCACCTGCAGAGCTCTTGCCGTGAAGCGCGTGCGGACACTTGCAACGCACGAGCCCCTGTGAACCAGGCATCGTGGCCGGCCCTGATTCTGACCACAACAGTCGTTTCGGCAGGGGCGCCAAGATTCATGATGATCCGTACTCGCTCGCGAGTTTGTGGTGCGTGGGCGTTGAGACTTGAGAAGCAGATCAGTATGGTGCTCCTCAGTTCAGGTCCCGATCATTATGCCAAGAACAAGTGAACAATAGGCTCTTTGCAGCTGCTGGATTGGATGATTCGGCTTTGGCTCTGGTGAGGTCACGAGCACCACGGTCACGCACACTGCCGGTCCAGGTACCACGGTTGCAAGCAGAAGAGCTCAGTCGTCGAGGGCTAGAGCTTGTCGGGTGCCCCCCCAAACAAATCACATCTCAAGATGGGTTGGTCCGCCCTTTGTTTCAAAGTGTTCTGCGCTGACATTGTCCCCGAAGGAAACACTACAGTGACCGAAACGTCGACATCTTCGATCGCATCTCTTCTGCGCTTAGATCACATGCATGAGGGGGGTTGAACCTGTCACTGCATAACACATACCGAGGCTGCAATTTCAAAGGGTTCGATGGGTGTGAGGGTGTAGCCTTCAACTTGTACACAGCTCCCTCGCAACTATTCCAAATCTGGTTGTGTCTTCACATGGTCATAGAGCAGATTCGAACTTGCTCTCTGGCTTTGTCTTTGTTGATTACATTGCATACACTACATCTGCTGCATACAGTACATACAGTAGTTACAGTCGTTACCTGCATTATTGACGCTACATACAGTACATACGTTACATAATGTCTGGTACCTATATGACAATCACGCAATTAAGCCTGCCAGCATACCTGCCTGCCTGCTCGCCTGCCCACCTGCAACCATGCATGTATGCTCTCGGGTCCCGGGCCGCCATCCCCACCCCAATGGTATCCCCCCCCACCCCCCGCTGCTGCACGCCCACTCACACTGCACCCCGGCCCGCCCCCCGCACCTTGCCCGCCCCTTGACCTTGTGCGTGGATCGGGAGTGTCGCACTATGCCTTGCCGTGTGCGGAAAGCGGCAATCGGCTCAGTAGTTTCCAGCATCTGACATGAATTGCAATGCTGAATTATGAGGGTTGTATGGCGATGGTGATGGTGGCAGATAGTCTTTTGAAGCTATTAATGGTGAAGATGACGACGACAAGGATGATGTTGAGCATGGTCTGATAGTCGACTCATGTCCCGGTCTAGAGCAGCACAACATCTTGAGCAGTATCACCGGCGCCACAGCAAGAGAGAAGACAAGGAGTAACACATAAGAACGTCGCGGCAAAAAGAGTACCACCGCAGGCCCCACACCACAGGGGGGGCGGGGAGGAAGGGGGGAGAATACCATGGGGTGGGGGGGGAGGGGGGGTGTGGCAGCCCTGCATCATATATGATATACGCATTTCTGTGTGGCATCAATCTCTGGGCGAATCATTGTTGGCTTCTGCGCTCGTTGCCCCTGCTGCAGTCCACCACCAGCACCAAAAGCACGACTTCCTCGAGGACTACAACCTCAAGCACATCAACAGCGCCCATTCCTGTTTAGAGTTAGAGTTCTTTGTGTTTCCTTTTTTCGCCAGGGTAACGGGGAATGTGCGCTTCTAGGTTGGGTGGATGTCTAGAAGTCGCTTGTAGGATGGGTGGATATATAGAAGTACCTGCTCGTGTCACGAAGGCATCACAAACGACCTCGACAAGCACATCGAAAACTCAGTCCTCAACCACGACGACAAGTGTAACGACAACAAGCATGACAACCACAAGTCTGACGGCCACTTCCTCGTCAATCACGGCCACCAGCAGCACATCATCTTCTGCGACCCAGACTTCATCGACGGAGACGTCTAGCACAAGGAGCTGTCTGCCGAGGTATATCTGTGCACATCCTCAGAAAGGGCACCCGTTTCGGGAGCCGCGCAACCCTCCACAAGAAGACTGTCCCTGCATCGACCGCAAACAATGCGCTGCTTTGCTTGTCAGCTCCTATCAATGAGCGAGTTCTTGGAGTTGTGTGGGTTCGCTCTCGTGCTAAGACAGGACTACGAGCACCAGCAGCACTCACACAGGGACTTCAACGCAGACCAGCACAACGACCACGGAGAGGACTCCTTACCGCCAGGATTTCTGCATATCTTGATCTTATGAGTCAGCCACCGCTAATGCCAGGAACCTGCAGAGGGTGTAGGAACGACAGTTTGCAGCTTCTCGAGGACGTCTACAACAACAAAGACGGGAACGAGCACATCAACCAGCAGCACAGACGCTGAGCAGCATGGGCTCTGCAGCATGAAGTTTTTGACAACTTTCAACAACTGCAAGATTCGCTTAAACTGTAAACCAATTCCCGGGTAATTAGGTCACGACGGTCACCATCACTGTCACGTCCGTCACCACAAGCACCACCAGCACTACTTCGCGGACCAGTAGCGAGCTCAGAATTTGTGGCTGAGGAGGCATGGGCTCTGCCAGGATTCCTGCTTCCTTGCTTCGGTCTTCAGATGTCGAGTAGCGGGCCCTACAGAGATATCGGGATCAGCAAAGCGCAGAACACCAAGGTACAACCACTACCACGACCACAACCACCACATCATTGGATCCAGAGGCAACTGCCTGACTTCAGACTGCCAGTTCTGCTGTCGAGAGGCTTAAAGTCTTGAAAAGCACAACGAGTGACAAGTGAGCAAAACCGAATGCAACCAAGCACAGATCCATTCCTTGTCCTGCTGAGCAGGTACCAGTCAGGATGGATGACACTTGAGTTGCTGTGCAAAGCGTTGATGTGCTAGTCAGTAGTCGTATCAGTCGTAGCTTGCATTTTTTTTTGGGTTGCCAGGCTTGTTGCCCTTCTCGCCTTTGCAAGGCCTTGTCCTTCTTGGTTGAGGATCACGGGCCACAGGCCTTCAGCTTTGAGCCGCAGCTGTTCACGTTCTTTGCTGAACGGAGCGGCAGCTTAAGCCACCCCAACCCTCCTCGCACCTGAGAGGCGACATCCATGGCCCCAACCACTGGCCCGGAAAACACCACGCTTGCCGGGAGCTCAAAAGACTAACTAGCCTGGGAACAGCTCCGAACTCTACGGAGGCAGAGGTTCATACGCGAGGGAAGTCCTGGCCTGGACCTCTGCAGTAGGAGGGAAGGCCGCGACCTGTTTTGGCAGCTGGAAGCCTACACGCGGCTTACCCTCCCCGTCGGCGCAAGTTCCTGTAATGGTTGCAAGGCATGGTAGCTACTTCTAGTTCCGCATCAGTACCCTCATCATGCAATCATTGCTCCTTCGACTTGTGCGCAGACGTGATTTCCTCCGCGCGAGGTCATCCATGGACACGGCCTGGGAATGCACTGGGGTGCGGTCTACTTCGTGAAGCCGGGCTCTGCCTATGCGTCCTGACTGTCGGTTTCTGGAGAGTCGGGAGTCGGAATCTCAAAAGGCCGAAGGCACAGTGCTCGGAAGCCAAGGCGAGCCAAGTCCTGCTGTGCCACCTTTATTCAAGAGCTCAGCTATCTAGAATCTGGCTAAACCTCACCTCTAGCCACCTTGGCTTCGACGCCTCTTGACAACATTGTCGGCTTTTCCAGCGTCTGAGCTGAGGCAACCTCAGGTGATGCCAGCAGTTGTGATGTGCAACCTGGTGTGGGCTTAGTGGGTTTTGGCAGTTTTCGTCTTTCGTCTACCCCAGCCCTCCTAAATCAACTAGACCTTCAATTCCAAACAAACCCCGAACACCTGAACCAGAACACCTCCCACCCTATGCCCTGAATTCTACAACACAGATCGAAGCCCCAGCGGCTGTCCAGCTTGTCGGTCTGACTCCTAGGCCCTACGACAGAACTACAATAAGAACGTGGAGATGTTCTCAAAGTTGGGGTCGCTATTTCCATCAGAGCAATACCAGGTTCGGCACTGGTTTTGTGAAGCAGCGCATGCCATGTAGCATGTGTAACCCCGGATGCTGGCAGCTCGTGGGTTTGGCTCTTGGAGTTGTTGCCACCACCACCACCGCCACCACGCTGCTGCTCCCCCCCACTACTATACTACTACTACTACTACTACTACTACTACTACTACTACTACTACTACTACTACTACTACTACTACTACTACTCCTACTGCTACCTCTACCGCTACTGCTACCGCTACCGCTACCGCTACGGCTACCGCTACCCCTACCGCTGCTGCTGCTGCCACTGCTACTACTCCGCTGCTTCCCCCTCCTCCTGCTGCTACTTACATTATCGGAGGTTTTCCTGTTGATGTGTGGCCAGCTCACAGATGGGAGCTTTGGGCGTTTGGCAGCTCAGGACGTCCTGGCAGTCGTCCGAGGTGCCACAGCAGTGAAGAGCAAATCCTTGGTATTGTCATTTCGCGTTCTTGACGATGCTGAGCACAAATCTTGCAGAGAAAGAAACTCTCAGCTAGCCCACGAAGCCGTGTAAGGCCTACTGGTAAGACAATACAAGACATTTGCGTGGATTCTCCTCTGTTCCGTTAAAGGGATATCTCTCGCTGTGAGCTCCTATAGAAGAGCATTGTGGCGCCTGGGTGGTCGGTACATATGACGAAAGACTGTTGCCGTACTGTTAGCATGCTTGTGAATTCGACTGCTGCTGCTTCTTCGTGTAACCTGCCAGCCCTTTGCTCCAGCTATTTTGTGCCTGCCTCTGTATATGTATATGAGCATAGATATATCTGTTGTGTGAGTGTGTTCTGAAGCTTGGTCTGTAGCTTAGGTGGTTTCTTAAGACTCGTCAGGGTTGTCAGAAATCTGTGGGATGACCCGCACAAATCAGACTGCCAGGTCGAGTGCCTAGTGCCGCCACTTGCAGCAGGCGCTTACCAGGACCGCCAGAACAGAACTGGAAGTAGGGTTTGGGTTTCCACATGTTTGTCTCTTAGGCCGAACGTTGCGCACTCTTAAAACAGGTGCTGTCCAAAATGCGCGCCAACGCCAGTCGAGTTGCGAATGCATTTTTTCGTGGCCTGCTTGACTTTGCAGCTTTGGGAGTTGACTTGGAACGACAACACTTTGAACCGTGCAGGTTCACGTCAGAGTGCCGTACATCGGGGATGCCGTGCCTTGGCCCAGATCCGACTTTTCAGAAGGCGCAAGCGGGAACTGCGCATGAATGACGAACTGTGCAATGCTACGACAACAACAGCAACAGAAGGAGCAACAGCAACGGCACCAGCAGCTGCTCCTGCCGCTGCCACTGCTGCCAGAGCCACCGCCACCGCCGTCGCACTGCTCCTCGTCGTGCTTTTTCTGCGACATATTCCTGGCCCTATCCCGATGCCACCCCTACCCGTACTCCTTCCCTACCCGGCCCTGCCTATACCCCTGGCCCCACCCCTACTAGTACTAGTACTACTAGTGCTAGTACTAGTACTAGTACTAGTACTACTACTCCTACTCCTACTCCTACTACTCCTACTACTCCTACTACTCCTACTACTTCTACTAGTACTACTACTACTACTACTACTGCTGCTGCTGCTACTACTACTACAATTACTACAACGACTACTACTACTAACTACTACTACTGCTACTAGTACTACTAGTAGTACTACTACTACTACTAGGCCGTCCCCCCCTGGTGCGACGCCGGTCGCACAGTTCTTGGATGAACATCATGTCCCATGACAGGATGCTCTCCAAACCCAAATGCGCTAGACCATGGACGTCATTAGGTTTTGGACATGGATGCTCTCCAAACCCAAATGCGCTAGACCATGGACGTCATTAGGTTTTGGACATGGATGCTCTCAAAACCCAAATGCGCTAGACCATGGACGTCATTAGGTTTTGGACATGGATGCTCTCCAAACCCAAATGCGCTAGACCATGGACGTCATTAGGTTTTGGACATGGATGCTCTCCAAACCCAAATGCGCTAGACCATGGACGTCATTAGGTTTTGGACATGGATGCTCTCCAAACCCAAATGCGCTAGACCATGGACGTCATTAGGTTTTGGACATGGATGCTCTCCAAACCCAAATGCGCTAGACCATGGACGTCATTAGGTTTTGGACATGGATGCTCTCCAAACCCAAATGCGCTAGACCATGGACGTCATTAGGTTTTGGACATGGATGCTCTCCAAACCCAAATGCGCTAGACCATGGACGTCATTAGGTTTTGGACATGGATGCTCTCCAAACCCAAATGCGCTAGACCATGGACGTCATTAGGTTTTGGACATGGATGCTCTCCAAACCCAAATGCGCTAGACCATGGACGTCATTAGGTTTTGGACATGGATGCTCTCCAAACAAACGATTTGAATCAAAATCATGATCAAAATGAGGCCCAAAAAACATTGATTCTGATCGCTAGGTTTTGGGCACGAAAATCGAGACACCCAAAAACAGTAAAACAACATGAAATTCGCAAAGACAAGTGCTGTAAATACCAGCATTTTCGTGTGCGACATTGATGAACAATGTTAGAAAATATGATAAAAATACACACGAAACCAGGAACAGTTGTCACTTTCAATAACTGCGGAAAAAAGTGCTGTAAAACACAGCATTTTCGACCACAGCAAGTCCCAAAAATAAGAGGTTTGGGCGTCGCACCGGGGGGGGCAACCCTACTACTACTACTACTACTACTACTACTACTCCTGCTACTACTACTACTACTACTACTACTACTACTACTACTACTACTACTACTACTACTACTACTACTACTACTACTACTACTACTACTACTACTACTACTACTACTACTACTACTACTACTACTACTACTACTACTACTACTACTACTACTACTACTACTACTACTACTACTACTACTACTACTACTACTACTACTACTACTACTACTACTACTACTACTACTACTACTACTACTACTACTACTACTACTACTACTACTACTACTACTACTACTACTACTACTACTACTACTACTGCTACTGCTACTGCTACTGCTACTGGTACTACTACTACTACTACTACTACTACTACTACTACTACTACTACTACTACTACTACTACTACTACTACTACTACTACTACTACTACTACTGTATCCTACTACTGCTACTCCTTCTCTCCTTGTTGCTACCGGCCCTGTGACTGCTGCACTCGGACTACGGCTATGTCGCAAGGATGTCGACAGCAGCTAAGTGTTCTGATACTGGTGGCATCAAGTCAGAATAACGCAACCCCACTAGAACGGTTGTTGAACCTCAACCAGCGGCCTTGACATAAGATGGGAATAGACACGGAGAGAGACTGCAGTAGTACTTCGGCAAATGCTTACTCATCGCAGTCAGGTTGCCCCTGAGCCCTTCATCGCACCTCTGCTGCTTTCGGCTGTCGGCCCCGTGACAGAGCCTCCTGGTCTCGAATTGGGTGGCTGGGGTCAAGTGCGAGATCCCGATCCCTGAAACCTCTGCCGATATTCTGCCGATGCCAAGAAGGCCCCACCTCAGATGCGCTGTCCATGCTTGGAGGTCCCTGACCGGGGAGGGGCTTGAATGAAGGGGTGCAGCGGTCTAGCACAAGAACGAGGTCTCAGGAAGCGCAGGATGAAAGGAATGAGGACAGCAACGACGACGACAAAGGCAGGGAGCGTTTCCGTTTATGCCATAGGGGGGATTGGCCAAGAAATAGCCTAATCTGCATCTATCGTCTACAGCGAACGCACATGCTTGCTGACTTCCGCAAGGGACAGGACCCAACACCCCATTTAGCACGAAACAGCTTGAAAGCGAGCAAGCAAAGGTTGGAGATGCTGCTTGGATCGAACGGCACAGATCATCCGGAGGTGCAGCTGCTTAGTTTCAAGATGACTGAGTCGTCAGCCGCTAGTCGCAAGCGCAACTGCGGCCTGTGCTCCTTCAGGTCCTCCGATTAAGCTGGTACCGCTGTAGGAGCTTTGGAGAGAGACGCCAGCCATGGCCGCAGTGGGAGCGCGAGTCACCTACCGCTTCACGTTCATTGACGTGGAGGATGATAACGCGACGGATGGTGCACGTCGTGTCCAGGCGCGGAGCCTTTCCCCACTCCGGACATCCGTGGTAGACTCGGAGGCTCTTGTCGTGGACGCATGGGCGCAGCGCCATGTTCGCACTCTCCGGCAGGGGCAGGATGCCACAGTCTTCGATCCACTTGCACCAAACCGGGGCAGTGTGGGTCACCCAATGCTGTGCGGCCGCCCATGCATCTACTTTGCAAAGCAAGGGCGATGCCCGCATGGTAACTCCTGTGGTTTCTGCCATCATCACCACTCCACTGCCTCAAAACCTGACAAACATCAGCGTGAGAGGATGAGGACGATGCCCAGGGCACAGCTACTGTCTTTGCTTGCAGAGCTTCTTCGAGAGCGTGCCGAGCAAGACGGACTCCAGGGTGCAGGCTTCGTTGTGGCTGTCCCTCGGTTCTGATTTCGTGTGCAAGAGCCGTGATACTTGTAACAACTAGCAAATTCGCCTTATTGTTTCAAGATGTTTCAAGTCTGTAAGTCGAGGTGGTGGCTGTCCACGCAGGACTTCGATGTGCCTTAGAGGCTTCCTCGAAGCGAGAGCTTCGAAAGCTTCACCAGCTTCGCCAGGTGCCGTGCAGAGTTTCTTGAGCTTCGCACTTGCAGCAGACCACTTGAGTGCAGAGCCTCAATGCCAGGTGGTTGGGGCCATGAACTTCTCCTCGATGCTTTCGCTGGCTGCACGCTACTGTGAGGGTCGTAGCAGGGCTGTCATACTGCAGGAGGCACAAGCCCTGCGCAACAGCCAGTGAAAGCGAGATTCGGCTGCCGGCTGCACCCAGCACAGTCTACCATGCATGGTTCACAGTCGGGTGAAGACGAGGAGCTCACCGCTGTTGCTTTTTGGGGGTAGGGCATAGAATGGCATAGAAGACAGTGCAGGGGGTGAAGTCGGGGCCCGGGAGCCAACGCACGTCGAATGTGGAAGCACTCTGAGAGCCTGAGACTCCGCCATGTGCTCCCATCTGCCACTCCCCCTCCTCGTGACTTGGACTCTGCCTCTATACAAGTCTGCAGTCACATGCTATGGAGCTGCAGTGAAGATCTCGTGAAGCTTAGACAAGGGTGCATGAGTCGGTGCGGGGCTGAGGGTGCTTCCTGCCGCTGGGCCACTTTGGCAGATCATCCGACTCTGATTAGGTTGGTATTTGCCAGTGGACCTCCTACCAGGGCCTCAGGTTGACTTCGTAGGTCATGACCTTTCCACGACCTACATCGGCGGTCTTTTCAAAAGGGCCGGGTGCCCAATCTGTTCCGGCAGAACGAAGCTAGGGCTGAGAGGCCTCAACTCCTGCCGCCATTTGGATGCTACACTGCTGCAAGTTCCAGCACCTGAAGAAACTACAGGAATAGTTGGCAGGTGTTGCAGGCGCGCAAGCCGTTGGCCGCTCCCAGTCTTGACTTGAAAAGGCACATGGGTTGGTTCTTTGCCAGGTGCCGCGAGCCAAGCCAAGCATGGGTTGGTTCTTTATTCTGATTCAGCTCGTAAGAGCCAGAAGTTTTTCCGACCGGCGTGAGATGGCGCGCGTCTGTGTACACAGAGCGACGCATTTTCCTCCCGCCGCCCAGCGAACTCGAGCTGAGGCCGCTATGGCCGCTCGGGTCTTCCCAGCGCAAGAAATCCAAATAGATTACAAAACCGGCAGCGGCGACATATGGCGACATGTACAGAGGTTTCACGGCGCCGCACTGACAGTGCTTGATAGCGTCTTTTTTGTGATGTGTGCCAGTATACACTCACTTCAATACACGAACTTCGACCGCAGATGCTGAACAGGAGGTCCTGAGTTCGAGCTGGTGAAACCGGGAGTAGACAGCTCAGCCTTTCGAGGCAGAGTAGTTCATTGCCGCTTGATCGAGGTTTTGAGCACCAAGCTGATCTGCATAGTCAATAGTTAGTATCATGACCATGCCCACACACATGACAAGAACGCCAGCCCAAATGATAGCAGCAACATGGCGCACGTGCATCTCAATAGTCAGGGAATCGGAAGAATCGCGATAGTGACGCCAAGAACTGCATCGGCACAACGACTTGTACCATATAGCTGGAAGAGCCACCACAACAACAACAGGCCCCTTAGGTCAAGATGGTGGTGATCAAGAGGATGATTGTGGTGACGGTCATGACTGGGACGATGTTTGTGGAGGTCTTGCGGGCTCCGCTGATGACGGTGATGATGCTGACACTTTTTCGCGGCGATGAAGATGATGGTTTCACGATTAAAGCTAGTCTTGCGATGGTAGAAGTAGCACGGCTAGTTCGAGCACAGATACCTGCAACAGTGTATTACTAGTAGCAGTAAGAAAGAACAATAACGATGCTAGTACTTGTCGTCATAGTTACAAGGCAGTATTCCAACCGCCCACAAGACAAACAAAGGCCATACTTACCGCAAGACAGGACCTTGTCTTCCCAAGGCTCCCGGCAAATGCCTTAGGCGAAAATGTGAACCCTGAGTGGCCGTCCACAGAACACGGCTCTTCCTTGTTTTTTGTCGGAGTCTTGATTTCCCGGTGGGGTTTGAATTGTCACAGGGCTTTGTCATTGCGCGCTAGGGCCTGTGGAAGAAGCAGCTCGAGCGCAGAATCCCTGACCTTGTCTGCCTTTTTGCTCGGGCGGGAGGCTTTGGTGTTTTAAAGAGCTTTGGACACATCTGCGGAGGTGAGTAATGGATACTGTATGGCTCGAAACAAGATCTTCCTCCCAAGCCCAGACTCTCTGTGCGTAGACTACATGGTAGATCTCGCGAAGCATCGGAAATCGACTTCGCACTCCCTCGAGCTGGACGGAAGCAATACTCTTCTAGTGAGGTGTGTGAGACACGGGTAGAAGACAACGCATGTTTACGGAACCGTCCAGTCCTCTCTGTCAGAGCAGAGGATCAGCTCAGAGGCTGCAACCGTTTGACAGCCTCAATTACGCATTCAGGCGCTCTTTGTGACGTGTGCTGTGACGTGTCGCGAGCCGCTCACTCAAATGTATCTATACAGAGCAGCAGGTGATGTGACTGAGCTTCTGAGCTGCCACGGGCGACCATTCGAGTCAGTAGAGGAGATCCACATCGCCTAGGCTAGCAATGCAGCATGTCAATGTGAGGCCCGGTGTTTTCATGAGGAAGCCATGACGGAAGATGCGTCAGTCTGTGAGGTTTATGGGGGCTCTGAGCTTTCCAGTCCCTATGGCCCACGAGGCTTCGACATCTCGTTCGCATTTCATTCTGCACCGCCGTGGCTCTTGAAAGAGGCCGCTCTAGCTCAGCATCGCCTGACGCCTGCCCTGTTGCTCTGTATCCGTACTTTTCGGGGGAGGAGGCTTTGTGGTGTTTTGGATGTTGGGGTACATCTCCCGAGCCGGAGGGTAGTAATCATGGGTATGGTGCAGCTTTAAATCGGCATCTGTCTAGACAAGAGCTTCGCTCCTCCGAGACTCTCTTTGCAAAGACTGCATAGCAGAATTGGCGATGAAGAAGGAAAAAAGGACCGCGCTTCGGCTGCACGCAATCTTCAAGCGAGCACGGCCACGCCGTCTCATGCCAGCCTGTGCAACCGCTGCAAGTCTGTGATTGACGCAGTTTTCACAGGAAGCAACCACGGTGTTGCAGCTTCGCAGTAGTATGGCCGGTGGGCAGGACACTGGGGAAAACTCATTCAAAGTGCATGACAGTGCAATCGACTTGCAAGTTCAATGAACAACTTCTTCATCGCAGGAGCTCGTCCTCATTGGTGCGGGCTTCGGCCATGAAAAAGAGGCTGCATCGATCAATTTGCGCGAACTGTTTGTAGCAGTTCAGAGCAACCCGCCCTTTCTGCTACTTCTTGGTAGGACAGGCATCTTCGTCACTGAGTGCTTTGCAGTTGCATGAGCATCGGTGTTTGCATTGGAATATCCTACACCAAGCACATGGGATCTTACGGGTACTCGCCTTTGACAGAACCTCTCAAACAAGTGGGTCGTTGGTATGGGTCTGACCTGCAAAGTGTTTATCCCGAGACCAGCTGTAAGTGGCTGGGATGTCGCAGGCAACCCATGTGACGGTCTGTGGTGCTGCCTGCGAATCTGGGCTGTCGAGCACATCATGACTAAGTCCGCTTGGTATTGTAGTAGTGATCAGCTGTTATAGGTAGGCAGTTAGGCACGCATGTAGGCAGATTTGTGGTGGGTCGGTCGGTAGGCAGGTGGGTAGGTAGTTAGGCAGGCAAGCAAGTAGGTCGAGACATACTCAGATCACTGGGTGGGTCGATGGAGGTCGCTAGAGAGATAGCGGGGTGTCCGTGTATGTGTGTATGGGTCAATCGGTATTTATCCTGACCGTGCCAAATGATTCCCAGCTCGCTGCATGACATGACTGTACTTTCGTTCCGAGGCACGACTTCTGCGTGTTGCTAGCGAGTAGGTGCTTCTGTATTGTTGAATGCTGCCTTTTTGAATTTTTTTTCATATTAGCAGTTTGCTTTAGTCTGATGCTTTCTGGCTGTGACATTGCTATGATACGGCCTACAGGGTTGCATTCTGGTAATGTTGTGCTGCACCACCACATCAGGCCGTTCGAGTTGCGCAACTTCGTGCCGAGCTTGCAGTGCTACATGCACTGCGCTTTTTCATTACGCGTTGTGTCACTCTCTCAGTCATATTACCACTGTTGCGCTCGTGCGAGTGGATCGTATTCTTGTCATCATGATCTCGATTCATTTTCGTTTTCTGATCGCAAGAAATGACGTCTGGCTCTTGGGCTTGCATGCGGCACCAGTGATCATCAATAGCTGAGGTCATAGTATGCCACAGCCTTGAGCCACCATAGTCGTGTATCCAGGGTAGCACAACATAGAACGCTCCCCACGCTGCATTCGGGATGTGTCTAAGCCAGCTTGTTTCGCGCACATCGGTATTTGAAGCATGATTCAGAAGTTGTCTGAAACACCTGCAGTTTGCAGAGGAAGTGCTGCACTCCAACCACTCGGAGGTCAGGTGTGCCTTGGCTGAGGTCTCGGATTTAGCCACTGCGAACTCGACCCCCGTTTTCTCGATGCTCGGTTTTTGCAAGAAGTAGAATTGAAAGGGAGTAGTCTCAAGAACATCGCTGCAGCAGAACATCACAGAAATTTCGGAACAGCTTTGGAGGCACGGCGGAGCAAGGGTTTATCTCCAAACTCGAATTTTTCGCATGTATAGTCAGAATCAAAACGGTTGGGAACCCGGAGCCATCGGAAACCAGACGTCTTCGAGGCCGAACGCCCCTGCTGCTGACTGACGTCCATGAGGTGCTTGAAGAGCTTCCACTTCAGGACACTGGCTCAACGAATTTCACTTTCTTTCGTTTGTGCTTTAGGGAGCGCCAATACCAGCCAGACTTTGCAGCCTGTTCCAGGATCTCCGGCCCTACTTCGGACTGCAATTGGGCGTGTCTGGTTGGCCTTCCAGGCTGGACCTCACGTCTCCGATCTTGCTCCTGATGCTCGTCCCCGAAGAGTGTGTTAATCCCTCGAAAGGGTGGAGCCGTCATAAGAGTTTTGAGTGTGGAGACCAGGAGTTGCTTCCTAGTTGAGGACCACCCCGCTGGAGTTTAGTCGGACCAGGTCTTTTGTGGTTGCTCACTCGGGAAGACCGTTGCCCTGATACAGGCCGGAGGAGCTGCGTCGGGCCGTGGACACTTGGTCAAAGTATCGAGAAAGCTCGAGACAGACAGCGGTAGCATGGATGGTTTGCGCGCGGAGATGGCGCCAGCGTAATCGTCATCCTCTGACAGCTTCTTGCAGATACCCCTTCTGCCCGCTCGGCATTCGACTATACAGCTCCCTGACGGAACTCTTAGCAAGCAAACTTGAGGCGTGCCAGCTTTACTGCTGCCTGCCTTCCTACATTCAGCTGCGGGTATTTTCGCAGCGACTGCATGAACTTGGCTTGGGAATTCGGGCTGGTTCACGTATGCCACTCAAAGCCTAACTCAGCGTGCGTCGAAACAATTGTCAAGGATGGAGCCGTCGACGAGGACCGGGACGTAGGCTTTCCAAAGGAGGCTATCTTCGGAAGCCTTCAAGCCGAATCACTGTTATCAAGTGCTTGCTAATCGCACAGCCCCCTTACGAGGAGTAACGGAGCTAAATAAGTGAGATTCGTTGATCTCGCAGAGTCTGAGCTCTGTAGTTGCCCTCGGTGGCTCTGAACTTCGAGGACGTGGTTCTCAGCGGGATGGACGCCTGCAGTATTGAGTTCGATGCTGGTCCGGAAGCGCCGAAAACTCAGCCTTCAGGTGATATCTTATACAGGGTTCACCCAAACAGGTAACAGAGCCAGATACTGTACTGGCACAACCTCGTCTAGAGAGAAGCAGAATTAAAGTCTTATCTTCTGACTGGGGCTTCTGCACAACATGCCGGCAGCAGAAATTCTCCTTGAAGATCAAACATAGTGGAGGTGTGTTTCGGGTACTCCTGGGTTTATCGCCGTGGTATTGTCCATCAGAAGCTCTGTCCCTCTGCCTCTACTGAGTACGACAAGTCTTGTGGCTCTAGTGCTTCCCGTCAGTGTTGGGCGAACATGGGCCGGAACTCCCTCAACCTGGGGCGAAGGGTCTGCCGCGAAGCTGTCAAGCCCTTTTGTCGGTTAGGCTGATCATGCTCTCCAGCCTTGCGTTCTATGCGCCGCCGGAGGCAAGGTGGCCGTCGTTTGGAGGTCCTAAAGCAAAGCGAAGCTTGCGGAACTGAGACTCAGACTCGCGCACGGAGGTCTCTCTCCGCATGGACCTCGTCGGGAGCGCCTTCCAGACAGGTGGGGTCCGGGTCAGCTCTTTCCTACATGGGAGGGAAAGCAACGCACCTGTTTGCCATGTCCGTGTCTTGCAAAGAGCGAAGACAACACTCCATTGAAGAATCGCCGGGTTTCTTCGAGGACCACAATTGAAGCTGCAACTTAGCTGGTGCACACGCAAGAATCGAGATCCGCAGCGAACGGGGATCGGCCAGGCTTTTTTGACGTGATGGATGGCAACTACACTCCGGAGGCCACGAAGTGGGACATTCACCCACGACCACTAGTGGCTTCCACTTCGTAGTGCAGCCTATTTGGGAGTGTTAAGTTTCCGGTCTCCATACATGACAGCTTTCCTGGCCCCTGGGAAGGAACCCGAGAAGCCGGAAGACTTCCCTGGCTGCGACGAGGCAAACGACAGCAACGGCAGCAACCAGAGCAATGGAAGCACCGGACTCAGATGTCAGTGAAGTCCGATCCCCGGTTCACGTGCTTGACAGGCTGTAGGGCATTAATTCCTCAGTCCCCTAGTGGACATCATCCTCAACCTCACATCGGATTCTCGTACTTCCGAAGCCATGTGTATCGGCAAGCTTTGGGCCCTCTCTGCACTCAAGGGCTTCGGCTAAAACTGGGGTAGCGACTGGCATTGGATGGTTCAGGAAAGGCAGCGTGTTCAAAGTCATGCCTGCCCGTAAGGATACTGGCATCAAGATAGAAAGCCATAGGGCCATATGGGGAGGTTCTGTTATCGATCAGGACCTCCTTATCAAAGCGCGTATTCCCAATGGCCCGGTCCTTTTATACTGATAGGACCTTGGAACAATTCTCAGCTCGACATGACGTTGATTTTGAGAAATCCCAGATGCTCCTCTCGTTTACGGGCCGACCGAAATAGCGAGTTAGAGTCTCTCTTGTCTTTTGTCTGTTGCCGTGACGACTGTTGCTGCTGTCTGGTTGCCGTATCTGTACTGCTGTGGCGATTAGCACAATCGTCTCGCACTTGAGGTCTATATCAATAATATCTGCAACATGTGCGCGTGTGGATGGACGGATGGCGGGATGGAATGATGGATGCATGGATGATGCATGCATGCATGCATGCAGGTATGCAGGTGTACGTATGTACTATGTATGTATGTATGTATGTATGTAGGTGCTACCTGTCGCATAGTTGCTTAACTACCAGTAGCCTGCCTACTGTTACTTCATTGCTGTGGCTGCTCTTAGAATTTCCCTCCGCCAGACCTTGCGGCCAAGGCGACTGTAACATCACCCTTCCAAGACGAGTGCCGGGCTTAGACGTTGTCGTGGGTTTTTGTCGACTGACATTCTTTACTTCTCCACTGCACCTGGCCAGGACGGAGAGAGTTCTGCACAAAGCAACCATTGCCCCACCGACCACGCGAGATCTAATATCCAACAGAAGCCCTCAGCACCGTTTGCCTCTGACTAGGTCATGCCCGGCTTCACCTCGGACTGGCAGACGGCGCGGTGAGGGGAGCAGGGGCGAAGTCCGCTTTTCTTCATGAACTTATAAACTCATAAGCTCATAAACTATAAGCAATACAGGCCCGTCGCGCAAGGCTGCATAGGCATGATGTTGCCAGGAAGCATCAAAGAGCCGCCTGAGTTCCCAAGTTCGCAGAGCTCCTTAGTCTGAAGCCATCCGAGATGGGTGGAAAAGGTGTCAAGCCCGTGTCGTCGCAGGTGTGGGCCCTGGAGGTCCAGCCTTCTGTGGGGTGGAACCAGCGGACCTTTGATCCCCCACTGCATTTTGAACGGCTGCGGCTGCTGGGCCCGCAGGGCCTGGGTGCAGGAGACCCTTGAATAGTCCTTGTTGCGTGTTTGAGTTTGGGGCCAAGAACTTTGCGGCTCCAGGTTTAGGTTTGTCTTCTGCCGCAGTTCGTATTCTTGGTGATGGTGAAGTGTAGACAGTGAGTTCGGCCATGAACGAGCATGCAGCATGATACTAAAGGAAGCCTGCAGCTCAAGCTTAAGCCTGGCATAGTTGACTCGTAGTGGTAACGATATTGAGAGGCCCCAATAGGAGTACCACAGGATACGAACACAGAAGACGCTCAGAGATACACAGAAGATCACAACACCAAGCGACTCCAGGAGGTACTGTGGAAACAGAAGCCCGACTCCAGGAGGCTGCCGAGTGCGGGAGATCTCCATGAGGGGCCACGTGATCGTGAAGCCGCTCATGGGATGTCCTGTGGAGGCCCCGCTGTGGCAGCTGCGAGCTAGAAGCTCTTGCTCATTTTGCTCAAGCTAGGCGTCTTTGCAGCTCTAGTGTGGCTGCACCGATTCAGCCTGCTTCGAAAAGATTTAATCGTCACGATGTCCATCTCTCCGGCAAGTTTTCTCCTTTCCCACAGGTCAATCTGCCAACTTGCGGCCTTTGCTTCTCATCCCTGCGTGCAGCAGGTCACCGTGTCCAATGCAGCCCCAGCAGTCGCAGTTGCAGACGAGGCCGCACCGTGATGTCCTTTCTTGCAGCAGTTTTAGGCACAGGACTGTTCCATACATGCACGGAGTGTTTCAGGATGGGTCTTCCTCTCTGCTGTTTTGAAGTTCGGCGGTATGAAACCGGGCACCAACCTAGCCAAACAACCAGGGTTGAATGTTCGGGTCAAGGTGTTCACACAAGGCTTGGGTGAACCGACCGATGGTCTGTAAGGGCTTCCCACCGTGACGTCTTTTTATCAGCGTAGCCTTGCGATCAAATGAAAGCATCAGCCTCGTAAGGAAAGGAGAAGGCATCAGCTGAAGATGGAGAAAAAGGGCACGTTTCTTCTGCCGGACAGCTCGCTCGGCTCGCGCTCCTCGATGCGTGGGTCCAACAAGAAGACACACTGAACTGTCTGTCTTTCCGTCCGTCCATCCGTCCGTGTCTTCCAGGTCGCACGCGTCCTGAACAGACCGTTAACAGCATGGCGCGGCCATGCTCCTGATTGTAGGGTTTCTCGGTTCCAGGCACCTCTGGACCATCTCGTGCTGGATGCCAAAGCAGTGGGCGCTGGCCAGCTGCAGCTTTCGCCCAGAGGCGGCTTTCTGTTTTCTGCTGTTAGCCTCCTGGACCCGATTCCCGAAACACAGAGCCCGACTGTTAAGCTACACCTCTTTTGCTCTGAGTTCGCATGCTAGGCACCCTACATAATCTGGGATTTCCAAGCTGGGGTTCAATTTGATTTCTGGTTTCAATTGGACGGTCGGATCCTCCAACGATCGCCACATCGAAGAAGCTTCGTGTAGCCACACAGCCGTGTCTGGTGGTGAGGCTCCGTCAGTTTCTGGCTGAGTGTGGCTGCTGCAGTGACCGACAGCCCGCAGCTTCAGATCGAGGCAACTCTTACAACAGAGTTGGAAGGCTTCGTCAATGAGTAGCACTGTTGCACAGCTTCGAGGGTTCGGGCTTGACATCGCCGAGTCCGCTAGTTAGAACTTTCCCGCCATATGTTGCAGGCAGCGGTCTTGCCGGACGAGCATTGGCCACTACAGTCAGTGACGCTCCAGATCAATTCTTCAATGCTGAGTGCCTTCTCCCGCAGCCAAGACTCGTTTTCGAAAATCTACCTGTTTGCATTGCGAGATATTGGTGGTGTCACCTGCGATGCTCGTGCACGCACTGTCTTGAAAGTCTCGCTGCAAGGTGACATGCCTTCTGTGCCAGATCTGTCGGCCGCTTCGTCTGCAGATGCGCCAGATGTGCCGTGTGAATCTCTGGCGACATCAAGAGATGGCTTATGCTGTTCTGTTCCGTCATGCCCCAGTAAGGACGAGCTGACCTTTCTCAGCGATGGCGAAGCTGCCATGACATGGAGCGACAGCTTCTTGCTGCCTAGCCGAGCGTTCCCAGGGAGTTTACTTGCAGCTCTTTGCCTCTCCCTCTCGGCCGAGTGCTCCGCTAGCTCCGAGACTCCAGGGGCTGAGCCCGAGCCTAGGCCCTAACGGGGGGCCGAATTCTGCCGGTGGCCTTATGCAAGGGGACGTAGCCGTAGCTCGAAACCCGACAGTTGACTGCGCCAGGAGTTCTGTGGCTTCATTGCCACTGCCTCCAGGGCGACTGGACTGCAGACTGTTGTGCGCGCCAGGCTAATTCTTTTGCCGTCAGTAGCAGCCGATTATCCTTTGACATTAAGAGCTTTCCTCCAAAGGGTTGCAAGACCCATAGCAGCAAAGATTGATTGCGACATGCAGCTTCCCGTGTTCTTTTCATACCATCCTGATCCGCTAACACGAACAGTACATCGAGAGGCATGCTCTGCTAGAGAACCTATGCAGCCAGAAACCCCAGAACCCTGACCCTACGCCCCAAAACCCTGAGCGTAAACGCCCTGGACCCTGAATCCCGAACCCGAGCTCTGAAGCCAACACCTCAGGCTTTGGAAGGTGGAGATCTTCTCGCCTGCACCTGTTCCTCTTCAGCTGGGAAGGCTCCGCTCTTTGACTCCAGGCAGGATGGACTGGGAATGACTGCGGCTTCCCCAGATTTTGGGGTTCTTGGGATTTGAAGGCTCCTGTGAAAGTTGCCGCCCAGTCCCGACTAAACACATGTGCAACGCCTGGGAAACTCGTGCGAGCGCGACCTTACGCGTTGAGTCTTGTTGGGTTTTGTTTTGTCTTGGCAACCGGAGGTGTCCAACTCCTTCCGGTGAAGCACCTTGGCAAATCTTGCGGATCATTAAACTCTTCGGGGCTGGGCTACGAATTCCGAAGATGAGCGACTGTCTCACACTCCTATGGAGCAATGGGTTGTCGTTTTCTTGCTCTCCTTCTTCCTGTTCGTCGTTTTGTTCGTGGGTTCGTCGTCTCATTCTTCGCATTATTCTTCTTGTTGCTCTTGTCGTGTTGTTTTTTGGTTCTTGCGACTCTTCCGTTTGTTATTCGCGGCAGCGGTGGTGCTCGTCGTCGTTGTGGTCGTCGTCTTCGTCGTCGTAGTCGTCATGGTCGTGGTGGTGCTGCTGGTGGTGGTGGTTACAGTTGTCGTTGCTGCTCTTGTTGCCGTTGCCGCTGCCGCTGCTCTTGCTCTAGTTGCTCTTGTTGTTGTTGCTGCTGCAGCTGCTGTTACTCTTGTTGCTGTTGTTGCTTTTGTTGGCGTTGCTGCTGCTCTTGCTGTTGTTGCTCTTGTTGCTCTTGGTGCTGTTGTTGTTGTTGTTGTTGTTGCTGCTGCTGCTGTTGCTCTTGTTGGTCTGTTGGTGTTGCTGCTGCTGCTGCTTCGGCGGTTGCTCTTGTTGCTCTTGCAGCTCTTGTTGCTGCTGCTGCTGCTGCTGCTGCTGCTGCTGCTGCTGCTGCTGCTGCTGCTCCTGTTGCTTTTGTTGATGGTGGTGTTGCTGCAGCAGCTTGCTGCTGCTGCTGCTGCTGCTCTTGCCCTTGTTGCTCTTGGTGCTCTTGTTGCTGCTGTTGTTGTTGCTGCTGTTGTTGTTGTTGTTGTTGCTGCTGCTGTTGCTTTTGTTGGTGTTGCTGCTGCTGCCGTTGCTCTTGTTGCTGTTGTTACTCTTTTTGCTGCTGTGGCTGTTGTTGTTGTTGCCGCTGATGCAGCAGCTGTTGTTGTTGTTGTTGTGGTTGTTCGTTGTGGTTGTGCTTGCGGTTGTGCTTGTGGCTGTTGGGTCGTGCTTGTCGTTGTTGTTGAGGTTGCAGTTGTTGTTTCCAGCGTCTGTGAGTGCCATGTGAAGTGTGGCCATTGAAGGTTCTTGTGAATCTAACAGCAGTGTCCTCCACATTTTAGTTCAATGGGCTTTTCGTCTTTTGGTAGCAATGCGATCGGAACGCCGAGGATGCGCACCAAGCAGGCGGTCGTCTCGCCTCGCCTGGATATGACACCTTTGGTGATGTCGGGGCCTTGGATCCAGGTTCGGCAAAAGCACGAAAAGCCAGCACTGATTTCAACATGGTCCGAAGAGTCCGTTCCCGAGCCTCTCTTGCATGGCAGTTGCGAACGTAATGACGGCGGCGATGACGATGATGACGACGACGACAATGGTCATAATGAAGATGAAGCAGAAGAAGAATGTGGTGATTCCGATGAAGAAGAAGATGCTGATGATGTCACTTGTGGTGGCGGTACGGTGGTGGCAGAGGCTGTGTCAGCAGCGCTGTTAGTAGTGTTAATGTTTTCTGCGGGAGCATCATATTGTTGAGAATGGTGCGAGTCTGCGAGTCGTAGCTATCCGTGATAAAGCCGAGCATGGTACTGTACTGATCGTGTTGCATTGCCGTTGGTCCGACAGGCTACCACTTCAGCTTTATTTAGTGGGGATCGGTGACAACAAACTGTGAGCCTAACATGCTCTCTGTACAAGCCACAGTACCAACGACCAGATGCTCCGTCTTGACAAGCCTCGAGTTGCTGGGCTGAGGTCCATTGTGCCTTCACACGGCCCCTTCTCTGGAGGTACTTCTTTGATCCTTGGAGGCCAACAGTGTAGGACCTTCGTAGCACAGGGCGGTCGAGAGTTTAGGTCGACGTGACAGACAGTCCGTGAGTGGCGGGCACGCACTGCAGTTCAGCCGTCATGGGTTCGTTTGGCATCTCGGAGTCGCAGCCAACAGTTACTGATACTACGAAGCATCGCGGTATCGTTGTCGGAAGCTATCTAAACATCGCACACTTCGGACGGTCGTTTCATGATGTGTCATGCAAATCCCAAGAGCTCGACCAGCGCCTTTACCGCGAGGCAGCGGGTTCCTCTGCAACGAGACGAGCGCCATGCAAGACATCTCGGTGGTGCTCAGGGGCACTCGCTGTGCTCCGCGGCGTGAATCTGTGAGTGGTTTGCCTGCCAGCTCGATTGCAATCACGACCAGCAGACAACGATGATAGCATAGTCGTAGCAGTAGCAGTAGCTGTAGCACTAGCACTAGCAGCAGCAGCAACAGCAGCATCATCGGCAAAGTCTGCTGCTGCTGTACCAGTACGACTCGTAGTGCCAGGGGTAGGAGGATTACGTGTACACCTAGGAGTAGGAGTAGCGCAGTGGCAGTGGCAGTAGCAGCCGCAGTTATCATCAACAGGAGTATAGGGTCCCAAAAACTACCTACCCGTGGCATCCGGTGGCACGTGAGGCTGTGAGCTTCGCCACCGATTCGGAGATCCACTGCACCACGGGGGCTGCATCGTCGATGGGAGGGAAGGCGGAGCCAGAAGTGACTGGGCCGACATGGAATCGAGGCCAAGGACCAAACCTATGTGTTCAGCAGAATCGTATCCCTTCAACGAATGCCATACTAGTAACTAGTAGCGGAGTCCACTTCATGTGGTGTGTATGCAGCTTCCGCACAAGCGGCTCCCTATACTAAACGTGAGAACTGCACGGCCATGCTCTTGTCTGGATTCCGAGCTGCTGCCTTCTTGCCAGAGGTCATCGTTGCGGGATGTGGCAAATCCATGAGTGCAACCTGGCCTTGGAAAGCTGCCCACTGCCTTGCAGTTTAGGCAAGATGGGCGGTTTGCGGAACGCTATCCGATCCCAGTTTGATCAGGGCACTTGTGTTGGGGTATCTGTTCTGTCACAGCCGAAGCCGAAGCATGAGTTCGGAGGTTTCGGGCTCCTTCTTGCGATGCCATTCGGGTCACCCAGGGCAATTCGCAAGGCACAATGTGGCTGATGTTCACATCGTTGAGGACCATACGTTCTTTCTATCTTCACCATGTGACTCAGGCAGCTACGGCCACCTTTACCTATGTGAGCAGATGGTCCGATCCAACCGACTGGCCTTTCAATGAGCCCCCGATATCGACGGACCAGACTTGGATTCCACCAGGCCGGCTCGGAATTCGGACTGCAAAGTTCGTGGCGTCAGTGATCGGCTATGGATTTTGTGTGGCAGCGTCGGCTGAGGCCTCAACGGGCTTGATGTGAAGGACAATGAAGGTATCTAGGAGATGACAATGTGAGGGTCGTGATGATAATTATGATGAAGGAGATGTTGGTGATCATGGGCGGTTCTTATACACGCATCATGATGATATTCTTGCAGGGAGCCACGTCATCCTCGATGTGCCCACCGAGCCGCTGGGGCTTTTGCGACTCGAGGGACACCTTCAGATGGACCTGCAAGCGGAGGCAGGGTTGTGGTAGCAGAAACACCAACATCGGCACCACCAGAAAGCAGCCACCCAAGCCACCGCATGCTGAGGCAGTGTTGTAGTAGCAGAACCACTAACATCGTCACCATCAGAAAGCACTCCCCCCGAACCACCGCCACCGCCACTACTACTACTGCTGCTGCTGCTACTACTACTACTACTACAACTACTACCACTCCTCCTGCTGCTGCTGCTGCTACCACTACCCTACAACTAACCTGCTGCTTTTTCTACTACTCCTCGCCGCTGGTCACGACCACCACGACCACCACGACCACCACGACCACCACGACCACCACGACCACCACGACCACCACGACCACCACGACCACCACGACCACCACGACCACCACGAGCACCACGACCACCACGACCACCACGACCACCACGACCACCACGACCACCACGACCACCACGACCACCACGACCACCACGACCACGACGACCACGACGACCACCATGACCACCACGACCACCACGACCACCACGACCACCACGACCACCACGACCACCATGACCACCATGACCACCAGCACCTGCATCATCGTCACCGCCACCACAGCCAACATCACCACCCTCACCACCATCAACATCAACATTGTCGTCACCATCCCCAGCAATCTCACCGCCATGATCCCCACCTATCGCCATCAGCATCTCAGCATCACCGCTACGACCATCGCCCTAGCGGTGTTCAATTCGAAGAGCAGGACCTCAGCCTGCGGGCCGAACGGATCTGGGTTCGCGGAGGCCAGCGGGAGAGCAGGGGATCACGCGAAGAGATGCCTTGGTCTATACAGTCCAGTCTTGGTTATCGTTTTTCAGAGCCCATGAGATTGTTTAAATAGAGTAAGGACATACGCATTACCGGTCCATCCTTTTCTGCACGAAGCATGAAGGGTTTAGGGCTTTTGCAAGCCGCTACAGTAGTGCCAAGGAAGACATCCAGTGGCCATGCTATGCCATGCTTAGTCCATCCATCTGCATTTCTGCATTGCCCCAACTTTCGCAAGAGGTGGCTCCGACTTTGTGCATGATCTTGATTCTTGTCATTTGCGTCGATGTTGCTGATTGCTCGTTGGTGGTGTACTGTTGCTTTGCTGCTATGCCGATGTTGTTGCCCTTGCAGTTCATGGTGGTGGTGGTGCTGGTGGTGGCCATGGCAGTGGCCTGTTGGGTTTTGGGTTCTGGTACTCTTACTGCTTTGCCGATTGAGAACTGTAGCTCTTATTGCCAGCTGCCATTGCGACATGCTCAGGAGCCCTCATGGCAGAGCCCTCTGGGGAAGAAGAGTCAAACATGACCAGGTGCGGGTGAGGAAGAGCTGGGTTTTTGACTGACACCGTGGGAACTACTCGTAGGTGCCTTGAGAAGTTTGTTGATCCTTCCACAACCTCCCGCAACACAGTTGGACCGCTCCAGTCGGCTGGGGGTTCAGGTTTCTAAGAGGCTGCAGCGGGAACTTCACAAGTGTTGTCTTGGTGGTTCCTGCAAAGGCTCAAGCCCAGCCATGTTTTGGCGGATTCCTGGGCAATGCAGCTGTCACACTGACAAGTCATGTATTCCGTGCAGACCTCTCCTGTTGAACTAGTCGCCGGTGGTAAGGGCTTCCCCCAACCCCCCTAAGCCTAACAGTGGCCCAGACAAGACGCACGCGGATAACTTCGTTGTTCAAGTCGGTGTTGGCAAATGCGCAAGCTTCAGAGCAGACAGGCTTGAACGGCAGTCGGCGAACTTCTCGATCGTCATGACTCCGGCGCGGATCATGAACCAGGCCAGTACTTACGGAGGCTCTTTGTTTTTCCGATCTTTACCTTATGTCTAGTGTCCGTCACTTTCAATCTATACCTCTGCTTGGGTTTCGAAATATGAAGAAAAGTGGAATGACAAGAAGGATGCGAGTAAGTCTTTGAAATCACCCATTTGGGCCAGGTCACATCAGTTCCTGTGGAAGTTCCGGGCAACTCGGCAGAGTAGCGTCTTGTCTCCACACACCGAGGCTCTGTGAGTCTGGACTCAACCTGTCTTTGTTTTGCTGCTTGGTGTCGCCTACCACGTTCGACGAGATGCTCTCTGTGGTGGAGACGCTTTTGTTGTGCTCGTGCGTCGTAAGAAGTTCCTGGACTGTCGGTCGGAGATTGTAGCCAAAGGACTGTGCAGGTGAAAAGCTGGGCACTCGGGTAAGAAGCAACAGTGCTTCGTGGCTTCATACCAACTGAATGCTCAAACTGTACAGCCGTGCAAAGATGCCAATCCTCCTACACAATTCAAAAGAGCTACAAAGAGCAGCCAAGCAAAGGCAAACCACTGCCCTGCATGCTTCTGTATGTGGTCTGGGTTCGGATGTGACATGCTGCGCTACCCGGGTGCTCACATCCACACCCGACGAAATCCGAGACCATCTGCCAGTGATCGAGTTGAGATTCGGTTCCAGCCAAAGGCTGGGGTTACGTTGCATGCTTAATTAGCAGGGTGCAGAAGCATGCAGAAGCGCGTCCATGCGCGGTCATCAGCGAGATGACAGGTCAACGAGTGTGCTATTTCTGCCAGGGAGCATGCCGAAACGCGATCTAGGCCCAGTTGCAACCTATCCTCAACTACCTAAACACAACAAGGAGTGCCGCGCTTCGGGCTCACTGTGACTGACCGCTTTGAGATGGATTCGCCTTGGGCTTCGGGTCACGGACGCAGCACGATCGCAGTTGGGCTTTGCGGGCTTTAGTGGTGCGGGTCATTCTCAGACCCTGGGGCTCGTGGGTTTGGCTGTCTACAACGAGTGGCCGACATAATCATGTTAGGCTCTGCACTGCACTCTGGCTTAAAACGAACTGGTTACTGCTGTATGCGAGATTATGAAGTTTGGGGTTTGAGGGCTGCCATGTGAAGCACTCAGCAATGGGGCTCCAGACTTTTGCGGGGTTGTGGCGCTCTGGGAATCAGGGCTCCACTTCAAGAAGCTTTTTTTTGGCAACCATTTCGGATCAATTTAGTGAGGCTGAGGCTGTCTTCAAGTTCCTTTGATAAGGTTTTCACCATGCACACCAAACCCCGCTGCTGAGGCCTCCTCCTTCGTGGCAGCAGCTCACGCCTGCCCCGTGCCGCCAAGCTGGAGACTCCCGCAACTCAGGGCAGCCATGTGCTCGGGGCCAGTGTTGAGTTCGCGTGTGGCTTGACATCTATTCTTGTCACACTGCAGCTTTGCTTTCAACTTGCTCCATACCAGCCAGCATTACTCTCGGTTTTGCAGCGAGTGAGTTGCTGAAGATGTGCGAAGATAAAGCCTGGCTGCTGTGTACCTTGTGCATCTTGCTCCCAGAGGTAGGAAAAGCCAGTCAGGGCAGATATCGCGATATTCTCGCATGCTTTCAAGCCTACGCAGTTAGTGAGTCTGCTAGTTGCTGGCATTCTCATTACTTGGCAGTGGCCTTGTTGTCGTCGTCTTCTTTGTTGCAACTGCTCGTCCGGTCGCCTGATTGTTTGTTGCTGCTATCTAAAAATCTCAGCAGTGTTGCGATTGTTCTTTTCCGTGTTTCTGGATTTGAGAAGTTTTTTTGTTGAAAGGTGTCGGGTCTCGGGTCCAGCGGAGTACAGGCTTTGCAACAGGCGCCAGTCAGACGTCGGGCACAGGAGGAAATCGCCTTCGCCAGGTGCTCAGACTTGACTCTGCCATTGACGTGGTGCCCGGAGAGCACGTCCTGGTCATGGGGGGCGCTAGGGCACCTGTAGAGGAGCATGTACGCGCCTCAGAGGATCGTGCCCATCCACCACAAAGATCTGAGTTAATCCGTAACAAGTTTCACCGGATCTTTTGTGAGCCATCGCTCGTTGTGCTGTCGAAATGGGGCAGTTTCAAAGACGCCACGACCAGAAACCAAGATACCACGACCGGAAAAACGAATTAATCAGTCATCCATCCGACTGTTCAGCGAAATTGTGGTCACGGGATTTGTTGTTTCGGGCAGGGTTTTCTTCTTGTCAGGGCTGCTGTGTTTTATATCTGTCGGGGCTGCAGTGCAGCCTCGTTCTGCTGACACAAGCCCAGCTGCTCCGAATGTTTCGTCGACTGCAGGTTGTTTCAGCCTTGGAGGACGATGGGCGCATGCTCCTGCGCCTTGGTCACATAGGTTATGTACAGGGCTTCCCGCATGGATGGCCTATGCCGACTTTGACACGCAAAGGGGCCCACGGATCGAACAGACCCTGGGCTCCAGGATCCACCGAAGATCGACCTCGGGACTTTGGGACCTCTGCAGACTTCTCCCTAAGGCTGCAGACCCCTCTGCTTGCTGACCGTGAGGGTGGCATGAGGTGTCTTGGTTTCAGCAGCCTTTTGGACTCCCGGTTCGGGGTACGATTGTTGTTGTTCCAGCTGCCGGTTCTGGCCCGTTCTAGTGATGTGTGTCAGCATATGTAGGTATGCATGCAATCCTGGTTCCTGACATGCAGGAGCCTGACTGCCACTGAGCAGAACGTGATCCTCAATTTCGGAGAGGCCACACGATCGCAAGACTGAACCTTCGTTGAATTGTCGGTGTGTTGACCGAAGTTTGACATAAGAAGGCATGCCAGAAATCAGCCCGTCGATGAAGACCATGTGGCTTAAGTATACAAACATGAATAAATTAACCTAATGTCCAGGGAAGGAGGAGGCTGTAGAATCCGATTTACAACCAAAGCTGGATTTATGTTCTCGTTTTGACAGCCTTCAGAGCAAAGCTTCATAGCGGAGGTGGACTTGGCTGCCACGGTGGCGGCAGCCAGCTCTGGGGCCCACTTCTACGGCGACTGGGACGATCTTGGCGTAGCAAAAATGCAGTTCAGCTTGCACGGATCCTTCGAGAGCTCACTTCCTCTGCCTTTTCTGCTCGGCAATCGTTCTGGCATGCCGGCGGTGCTGCTCTTTGGCTAGTCAGTATTCGTACTCAGCGGCGCTGAGGATCAGCCGCATGGCACGGGTTCGAGTTGTCAGAAGATCATTCACAGTATTACGGCGCTGCCATAATTACATTAATTTGAATGTCCTGTTTCCATGACATTTCCCTGACCAACTTTGCAGTACATTGCCGTGGTGTCGTTTCTACTGGAGGCCCCCCTTGCCCTAAAACATAGCTTTGATTTGTACCCATCAAGAGTCAAGAGCCAAGAGCCATCAACGCCGCCATCACCGTCCCCACCGCCGCCGCCACAGCCGCCATCAGCCATCACAGCCGACACCAGCACCTTGCAGCAGCACCAGTGCCAGCGCCAGCGCCAGCGCCAGCACCACCACCACCACCACCAGCACCAGCACCAGCACCATCATCACGTTGCAACAGTGCATCGGCACTGTAGCAGCATGCCGAGGTGAAGATGCTCACAGTGCTCACATCAACTGCCTCCGATCAGGAGGAACCTGCGGCCCGGGTCTCAGAGCCGGGCTGAGGCAAAGGTCTGAACTTGCTGAGGCTGCGAGACAGTATGCGAGGAGGAGCGCTAAGCCTTTTCCAGACACGAAAGAGTTGTTTGCAACAGTCTGTTTGCCATGCATAGAATAGACGTTGAATAAATCTCCTGACGGACAACATCACCCAGATGAGCCCAAATCCGCGCCTGGTCGATTGTTCTATGACCAGGGGAGACGATATGGAAAAACACGTTTGATCAGCGTCATGAGTCATGATGATGGTAGTCGTTGCTACTGCTTGAGAAAGTCATCATGCTTGAGAGCTAAGTGGTACAATGCTGCATCGCATTTTCTTGTACTGCATTATGTTGTAGCGTGCAGTACAAACGCTGTGTTGAAATGCATAGCATAGCATAGAATTGCATGGTATGGCACTGCATTGCATTACTTGTTTCTGCAATGCTAGAAAGCAGATGTGAGCGCCCCTCCTTTCCTGAGGTCTTGAGAGCTTGACGTTTAGCGCCTGCGGCAGTGTGTCTCCAGGACCGGGGTGTCCAGCTAGGCTGAGCAAATTAAACTGTGAATCCCGTGTCCCTTATGGGCTTGAGGAAGCGGTGGCGTGCCCTGCGCAAATCTCAAAGCTCTGTACAAGCCAGAACAAGCCTTCGCAGCTTGGGCGCATTGGCTCCGGGCATTCGTTAGGCTATCTAATCGTTCCATTCTTGCCTTGTGCTTATCTGAGTCTGTGGTACAGCTTGTGGTGCCAGTATCTGTTACTTATGAGTAGCACCACTGCAAGGGTTCCGAGGGTCCCTGTGTGAGGTGCGACACTCCTTGGTCCGCAGACCGGCAGGACCTGGCTTGATCCTCCAGGCACTTGGGGGCATTTCTGTGACCATCATCTATCTTTCCATTGCGTGCCGTCTGTTGCGCCAGAGGCGGGCTTGGAGGAGACGTCCCTGGAGGCACAGAACATCTTGGTGATCTCCTCCGTGGGCCCAGCTATCACCCTGACAACGAGGCTTCGGGGTCGCAGTCGTGTGCTGTTGTTTTCGCCTTCGTCGCTCGCCACCTTGGGCGTGGTTGTGCTGGCACTCGTTCTGATGCAACAAAGTCGGCAGCAGCTGCAACAGCAGATCTCGTGCCAGTGCTAGTGAGTAGAGGTAGTGGCAGCGGCAGTGGCAGCGGAGCAGCACTGGTAGTCGTCGTAGTAGTAGTGCGTAGAGTAGGGGGTACTCGTCGTCGTCGTCACGTCGTCGTCGTCGTAGTGAGAGTCGTCGTAGTAATTCGTCGTCGTGGCAGTGGCTACCCCACCACTGCCCCGCCGCCCACTGCGCCTACTGCTGGCACTGCTGTTTTGACGACGCTGTCTGCGGCGACGACTACATGTTGCCACTGCGGCTACATAGCTTACATGGGAACGACCGCGAAACTGACGGTGACGAGTTCCGCTACTGGCAAATGAGGCTAGGTCATGCGTGCTACGATGCCGTCCTCGTCGTCGTCGGCCTCATCCCCCGCCTCATCCGTGTTGTCCTGTGCTGATGAAGCCATGGCTAGGTTGAGTCGAGTATGCTTTCGTTAGCTTGTCGGTCCTCGAAGGGGCGCCGCGGCTGCCAACAACACGGAGTCCTTGACGGTGCATCACAACCAGGTGGTCTCCCCACGACGGCCCTCCGACGGCAGCTGTCATTTTGGGGGGAGTTCCTAGGAATCGAAAATGTATGCAGGTATTAGATGTATTAGCTAACTAGCTAACAGCACCAGAACCACTTTCTGCTATATGGGCCTTGCCGTGCACTTCGGATCTCGCCAGGGCAGCTCTTTTGTCCGAGGTCCGCCGTGGGCTTGCCCTTCTTGCGGCAGACCGTGGGTTTCAAGATCATGACTGGAACTGCTTCCTATCGTCACAACTTCGCCACAAAAGCAGAGGCGGGGTCGGGACTGAGACCAACTTCACGGGTTGAAGCAGAGGTTGGAAGCTTGAACATGAAGCCCTTTGCGCCCTCAACTCCTCAACGCCAGGCATGTTTCAGCTTCGAGCCCAGAGAGGACTCGGAGCTCGTCCCTCGAAGCCCTCATTTGGTGGGCCGGGCGCCCAGGGCATCCCAGGGCATCCCAGGGCCCAGGGAGGCTCCGGTTGGAGAGTCCCTCTATAGGATCGCGTGACAACGTCCCGCACGCAAAAACCGACGTGACGCCTTCGTGCACTGTTCGGCCTTGGAGAGTCGAAGCTCTCTAACTTCGAGTCTGCCTAGGCCGGCAATCTTCTCGGTGGTCGTTGGTGGCCTTCGAGGGAAACGCCGCGCATGACTGCTTCTGGGTTTAATGGACAACAGGCTGTGTTTCCCGGCAGAAATCTCAAACAGCAGTAGAGGTTCGACCGAGATGCCGGATCGTGCAAACTCAGGCTTATACGGACTGCGAGTCCCGCAAGAGCTGCGTCAAGGCAACACTCAGGCGAGTTGTTGTGGTCTGCTTCCTCAGGTTTTGATATGTCATGCTGCAGCTGCACGAAATTCTGTGATCCGCTGGCATTAATTACTTGTTACACTGTTGCTTTGTTTTGCGCATAGCCTCACAGCTTGCTGCAGGGACATTCAAGGCGCAGCAATTTGTCATGCTCTGTTACACTAGATTGAAGTCTGCTTCTGGCACATAACCGACGGCGAGCTAGATGTCTCAACAGTGTACCGTGTCGTAGTGTCCGGCAGGAAATGTTTAGTTTGTATATATGGCGGTGTACTGTAGCATGCGTGCCTTTCGGTAGTGGGTTGCGCCTGATTTGTCGCGGGTCTCGGGGTGAGGGCTTCGGATAATCGGCTTTGTCTTCAGCTTGCGCTAGGCGAGCTGCACGCATGGTCGAAACGCCAGAAGCATGGAGGGCATCAGGGCTTCAGCCGATCTGGCACGCGTCAGGTCTTCACCGACTTCACGGTCTTTGCCAGTCAGTTTGCCTATTACGTTCGTGCCTGCGATCGCTGCCGTCTGGTGAACTCCGCGTGGGTGGAGACCACAGCTGGCGTCTACGATGAGGCCCGGGATTGTAGCTTGCAGTAGATCTTCCTTGGAATTGTCTCTGTGTGGCCATGACAAGCATGGAACAGGACTTCGATGCCTCTTTAAGTCAGCTGAAGTGGCCGGACGGAGCGTGTGACGACCCTGGCAGGACTCTGCACCTGTGGTCACAGATGACCCATGGATTGAGAACCTCGGCAAAGTCTGAAGCTAGAGAGACTGAAGGAGAGAAGGAGAGAGGGAGGGGGAGTGCATACCAGCTGAACGGGGCATCCCTTCCGGTAGTCGTGGGTCCCATGAGTTTCGGCAAGGAACGTGACAGCCGTGGGTACTCGCTTCCTGCCGCAGTGGGCCAGCGTAACCATGGAGCCGCAGATAACACTCAGCGCACGAGAAGGACTGAGCTGAGGGCGCGTCCGTTCCCGCCGCCTTTTCCCAAATTTCCGCAGGACGACATCTTCGCAACATCACCTTCTTTCTCTTCGGCAACAGCCCTTGCTTGCCAGGGCCCTTGATCCAGACTGAAAGCCCTTACTATCGTGACTCATGACCATGTTGCATAGCTGCTGGCTCGTGCTGTCTAACTACAATGGCTACGATCGCGAACACCCAGCACCGTTGCAGAAGCAGAAGCAGAACAAGCGGCTGCAGCGGCCACTGCAGCACCGGCACAGAATCAGAGTCACGTGAAAATCCATGGCGAGAGCTGACGGTGAGGATTGCTGGTTTAAGTGCAGTCGCATCACCAATACGTCGGAGACCACTGCCATAGCCACGGATGTCAGCACTGACTTTTCCCAAATTCATAGTGTTTCAATTGCGGGTGAAATACATGAGCGTAGGAGTGGTCATGAAGCCATCAGGTACATGTCAAGTGAACACAAAACATGGACATGCAGATGCTCAGATGTTGAAGAACTTCATGTTGTACCCTCTAGGTAATGGAATGACTTAGCATGACCCCTCATTGTAACCCATGTAGATTCCGCATGATTCCTTCAAAGTAACTGGCTGACTGCAGTGCCTGGAATCAGGTATGGGGGCGAGTATCCGGTGACGATCCGTGTGGAGAAGCTCCGCTTCTATCGGAGCCTCGTGGAGTCCTGAGCGGTGCGTCGACGATGCCTTTTGCCGCTGCTGTGAGCGTCTGGAAACTTCCAGTTTGATCCGAGGTCGAAGTTTACACGGCGGGCGGGGCTGGGTGGCTTGTCGGGGAACCTCAAAGTCCAAGCGGCGAAGTTGGGCTTTAGGGTCTTCGAGTCTTCGTTAAATGCGATCTTGCATGCCTTTTGGCATGGGCTGCCCAGGTATTCGATTTTTTCCGACCTCGATGGCTCCCTTTCCGGATATGTGGGAGGCGAGGGAAGAGAAAAATTGAAGACGTTCCATGAAGTCATGTCAAAGAAGTTATGGCGAGCATGGGTGCTTCGCATTCCTGTGTGGTGCGGTAGTGCAAAGGTTGTTGTTGCCTCCTGTCAGGCTCAGTCACCGGCGACAAGTTGTACAATCGCCACTCTGCCTGCCACAGCGTGGGAACGCAGGCATACCGATGATCTGCGCATAGTGAGTAACAAGGGGAAGCAATGACCCATTTGGGAAGCAGCAGACGGCCGTCGTTCTTACGTGCTATGCTTAAAGTCAGAGCTTTGACGCCATACATATGTAAATGTCTATACACACATACATGTGTATACATATTGTTGCACATGTATCTAATTTGGGATAGACATATGTTAGACAGAACTGGAAACATGAATACAAGGATGCAAGTACCAGAGATGCAAGTACCTGGGGGGTGCAAATTTATAGATACATGGATCGGTAGATTAGATAGATAGATAGACTTATAGTTGCATGTGTACATAGCATGTACTTTTGTCCCTTCTAGCCTTGGGGAGGATTTGAGCCTGCGACTCCTCTGTGACGCGAGCATCTTCATCAGGCCACTTCACATCGCAGGCAGGAGCTGTTGCTGTGGTCTTGAACTGCCTAAAGCCTTTGAGCGGCGCTTGAGGGTTCCGAGACGTTTCGAGAAAGGGCGGGAGCCTTCCCAAGCCGAGCTGCCAATCAGGAATAGAGCCGGCAGAGCTTGTGGGGCCCCTTGGCACTCCCTTCAGACTTCATTTTGTCGGCACATCATAAGGAGCTCCAGCTCAAACGTAGCACAACATTCCCCATCGCAGCGTAGCTCTGAAGTCCTGTTCTAATGATTTGGGTTCACATGTTGCTTCAAAGTCGTCATCTTTGTAACTTTGCCCCTCTGTTCAGAAGGACCAAAACAAAGGCACTTCTGGCCAGGGGTGCTTGTCTTCGAGGCAAGGATTCTGTGCCCGACGTAGCCCAGGAAAGACCTGACGGTGTGGACAATTTTCGGACACGGCAACGTGCCCTACCGCGAAGGCTGGCACATGGCAGTGCCTTGACTGGAATGCTTCTTGGCACCACCACCACCACCACCACCACCACCACCACCACCACCACCACCACCACCACCACCACCACCACCACCACCACCACCACCACCACCACCACCACCACCACCACCACCACCACCACCACCAGGACAAAACGCGAAGAATCTCACGAAGATGGATCTACATAGTCATGTGAAGTGTTGTAGCAAGCTGTCGTGGCAGGAAGAATAACTCTTTGTTTTGCGACGTGCAGCTTTGATATGGTGAGCTGGTCTGTAGCCTGTCTACAGCAACTTGCCCGAATTGCAAATGTCAACAACCACCCGCACCTGTACTTCCAGAGCACCAACACCCTCACTAAAAAACCTGAGCCCCAAATCCCTGAACCCCGATCGTCGAAGGTACCAAGTGTATAATCTTAAAGTGCTGAACCTTGACGTCCCTCGCAGCCGAAGATCCCCAAAGCCGTGCATCCAGGTCGTTTCGGCGAAGTTCCAGGATCAACTCGTTTGGCCGACGCGCCGGTGGGCCGAGACCGGGCCGACCCCCATCGAGTGGCGGATGCTGCCCTTCTGGTACACGCTCCTTGTCCTTTGCCGCCTTCGGGGCTTTATGGAGTTCAGCGTTTGGGGGCTTTCAAGTTGAAAGCTCAAGGTTTGGGATTTCGGCTGAAGGATCGTCTCAGGACCCGTCGCGACATTAGCCGCATTGTTGTGGTTGTGATTTTGATCTGACTGGAGCAGTGACTGGTGCATGAAGATGAGTAGGCCCATGATCATTGCCAGGAAGACGACCAAGGAACCCCAATTTGAAGAGGCGGTCTTGATGACGATCACGGTGCTGCAGCTGCTGCTCCATCTGCTCAGGATGATGATGATGTTGCTGATGCTGACGATGATGACGATGATGATGGTGATGATGATTCAGCGTTTGTTGCTCCTACCAAAGCCACCGGCAGCATCGTCGGATTTTCCCGAACTTTGACTATGCGGGTCGAAAGCGAATCATTGGCGCTGCTACTGTGTGACAATGTTTTGTACATCGCTTGCCATGACGAATCCTATGTCGGTACTGCTGCCCATGCCGGGGACCTCCTCATTAAGCCAACTGAAGCTTTGTGTCTGCTCTCGGTGAGGCTGCGCCCCGACAGTGACTTGGCAGTGCTGCACAAATCCTTTGGGTGATCTTCCGTCGCCCTCGGTTCAGTCGCCGGTTGGACAGAATTCTTGTTATACCTGACCTGGTGTTCGATAGGAAGTTTCTATCCTTGTTGCTTCTTTCCCGTGCAATCTTTGAACCTTGTCGCAGGCAATGTCGACTTTCAGAAGATGCGCGTCAGTTTCGGCTCGCCCGGCCTAATGTTGGCCACGGAGTGGGTGGGCATGCACTTCCCGTGGTTTGTCTGCGATTGGAAGTGAGAAGGGGAAGGAGCTGCCGTGTACTTCCTTTGCAGTAGTCCTGACGAGTCGTGAGCACGGGGAAGTGCAAGCAGTCGCTTACCCCGAAAATCAGGGATTGCATCAGAGCGCGGGGTCGTCAGGGTCAACTTGCAGGTACAGCTACTCACCTGTGCGGCGGTTTGAGTCCTCCGGCATCTCCGGTTCTTGCTTCGAGCCTTATTTTGACTGGCTCGACCGTGGCGGCTTGGCAGCATTACGGCTTCTCGCATAGTTCCCTCATTCTTTTTTCGCAACCCTGGGCTTGCCGCGGCTGAGGTGGGTACGGCCTGTGGATTCCGGAGGTTGTCTTCACATCTACTGTCACATCCACCACCTCCTCGAGTACCAGCACCACCCTCACCTCGATCTCCTTCACTTCCACCACAACCTCTCTCTCCTCAAGCACCTAGGCTGCAGCGGACAAGAGAAGAGTGGCTTTCTTAAGTCCGAACCCTTCGGCCGCTCACAGAGTGATTTGTGACCAGCTGTACAGTTCCTGTCTGAGGTACCAGCACAGCCACTACCACTGCAACCGATGAAGATGACTTCAACGACACCAACGACACGAATGACACCAACGACACGAACGCAACTACCGAGACGTCAACACAAACCACCACAACTAGCACTTCTGCGACCGCGACTTCCAGATCCTTGGTCGCAGTTGCTGTGTAAGGTGACTTTTGTCTCTCAACATCCACAGCAAGCCTACGTTACGAACCGTCCCATGCTTCCGTGAGTGCGAGCATTCTGTGCTACGAGCGCGTGCTGCATCTTGCAAGGCTCCACAACCTCGAGAACAGGAACTTCTACAACTTCAACAACTTCCTTGTCCACAACTACCATTACACGCACTACAACTTCCCGCACTTCAAGTACCACAACCACAACGTACTTAGGCGCCAGTGGGTGACTGGTGGGCGAATCTGAGTACTGCTGGTTGGATGGGAGATATTCGAAGGTGTGTGGCCATGCTGAGTGTACCGAGGAGAGAATCAAGCAGAGCTACATGAAGCTCCGTAGTGGTGGTAGTCTTGTAGTAGTGCATCGTGGAAACCTGATCCATCTGAAGTGCATCATCGGAAATAAGAACTTGGACTTTGCACCGCTGCGCGGTCCGCCTTGCTCTTGTTGCTATGATGCTGCAAGAGTTGGCAGGAGATACTCAGAAGCCGTTGCAGCTCCGTAGATAAGTTGTGCCAGTTCCCCCTGCAGGCACACGGACGAGCACCTCGACCGAGACGACGATTACCATGACGACAACGACTACCAGCACCTCAACAACAATCCCACTGGCAGCCCCATTGCGGGCCCTGAACATCTTCCCTGAGCCTCGCTTTGGCTACTTGGCCTGTCGGGTCATCTGCTTGGGAAGTCAAATCGGAAGTCTCGGCAAGGATGTGCAGCCCTGTCATTTCTCTTCGAGATGTGCGAGAGGCAGGCTGCCAGCTCTCTGCATCGGGCGAAGGTGTACTGAAGGCTGTAGATTCAAGAATTGCTCGAAGCCTCGTAAAAGATCTTTTGAGACCACGGCTGGACGATACGGAAGGCTCTAGATGTAGAGTCGAAAAAGTGCATCCATGTCTGGATATGACACGTCCAATACAGACCCAAGTTGAGGCCGGGAGGTCTGCTTGGGCGACTGAAGCCGTACCATGTTGACATAGGATCCTCATCGCCACTGCCTGGTGCACTTTGTTCCTTTTCAGCTGGGTTTGGCTTCCCCGCAGGGCTTCCGGCCTGAGCTTCGGCCCCTGCATGCCAAATGGGCCGGTGATCGGCTGGACCAACCGGACAGAAATGGCGCACTGCTTGCATAGTCCAAGCATTGTTGTTTTGTTTTGCTTCTGGTCGGAGAATTCATGCTTTCGCGGTACAGGGTGTTTACTTTGCTGTTGGAGTTCGGCGTTGATGCTGTTGCCTGGATGATCGGGTTAAGAGCCCTCGCATGCATGGGCATCTGCGTGGAAGTGACGCGCACGGCGTATCTCCTCGCGTTATGGGATACTTCGTCCTTGTTGGGAATCTCTATAGGCTGTGGGACAGGACCTTTAGCCGTCTCTTATCTTCAGATAGATGGATAAGACGTGCAAATTTGCCTAATTAGATGAAACAGAAGTAGGATACCAACGGTTGTGCCTATCCTTGTTTTGTTTCATATTAAACAAACATCATACATACATGCGCATTTGTACATGCAGACGATTCTCAAAGCAGAGATGTAAGTGTTTATCATCCAGGCCGTATGTCTCTCTGCGCACGTTGTGCCGAATTTGCTCTTGGGCACCTGAGCCACAGGTAAATGCATCGCTGTTCGCGAATGGAACTTTGAGCATGGTGCAGCTTGGCGTAGCTTTCGAGCTGCAATGCACGTAAGGCAGGTTTCTGCAGACACGCCTGGAAGTTCTCTGCGCTTGGCTTGTCCCAGTCTCCACCTGCTTTCGAGGATGGGTAACCGCGAGCAAGGGAACTACCAAGATCCGATGGTGGCAGACCTTGCTGCCCGACCGACAACGTGCAAGATTCGGGGTTTCTCCAGATCTTCGCTTCCTATCGCTTCGTAACTCGTGAAAGAGAAGAGGAAGACGTTTCGCTGAGCGCTTCTGAAAGCTCAGGTGAACACCGGCTGTGGAGAGGGTGGCTGTGCTTTCTTCGAGGAGGCCAAGGGCCCCATAACAGGGCCTAGAAATGTTCTGCAGCGTCTGACAACAGGGCACACAGAAATCTGCTGGGTCCAGCCGCTGGGTCTCTGCCAGGCGCGCGTGGTCATGGGCCCCCCTGGAAATTGGACATTGCCGGAATCATGGCCAGGCAGGGGTCATCGAACAGCACCTAGGACACGAAGCCGCACAGCTAGGAGACCTAATCTTGCTAGAATGTGTCCCTTGCCTGCCCTGCCCTGCACGAAAATCGTTCAAACCCCCGGTGCTGTGTGCCGATACAGCCAGGTCGGAACTTGCCACAGGGAGTGGAGACCCTTGTGGTGCCTGCCTCAGTGCTTTCGAAGCTCATGGTGCTTTCTTTCTCTCTTTGTTTTTTCTGTCCTCTTCGCTTTATGTTCTTCTTCTGTTTCGAACATCTTTCTCGCTCTATCTCCACCTACTCGTATCTGTCTCTCCCTATCGATCAAACTATTCATCTACTCAAGTTCTTTTGCCTCTCTCTCTCTCTCTCTCTCCCTCTATCTCCCCTCCATCTGCACTCACAGCGTTGGAACACGATTTCTTGGTGCCCGAAAACAAAGCGAATGGCCTGCCAGCTATGTGTTTACCATCCAGCCCTCAGTTTTGACAGTCGTACTTTGCCACCCTTGCCCGACAACAGCGTCTGACCGCCTGCCGTTTCCTGTACAATCAGAACATTCCGCCCTACTACCACATCGTTTACAACAACTTCACAGCCATTGGACCTGTTCCTTGGCCGCCATCTGGAGTTGCAGTGTTGCGGACTCAGCGGCTGAAAAGGGGGCCGACATCAGCCGTGCACGCTGAGTCTTGAGACCTGCCACATGCTCACATACGTGCTTCACAATCATGTACGGTCGTCTCGCATACCTCCGGGCGTCAAGGTTGGCGACCTAAAGATTCACGGGAAGCTGTCCTTGGCTGAATCTCGACCACTACCAGAAGCTGAGTCTTAGTCTTCCAGGGTGCTCGAAGCAAGGCCAAAGCTTTGCCAATGCTCAGGAAGAGGAGGGCTTGAAGTTGCTGGTCAAGTCCATCCAGGTCTTTGCTGGAGGCCTGGGGCTTTCTGATTCCGAGCTTCTGGTCGCTTGCTGCGCGTGAGGCCAGTTTCAGGTGGGTACCTCATGGGCGCCTCACAAGACAACGGCGATTATCTCCTTTTGGGGGGAGCCTCGGCTGCAGAAATGCATCCTTTGGACGGATGTGAGGAAGTTTTGGGGAACATAGCCGGCACGCGTCCGGATTTCAAAGCGAGACCTCGCCGTGTGATGATCCGACGCGACAGCTCCCAGAGGCATCACTTTCTTGCAGCATTGAAGCTCCGTTTACGACTCAGGCGAGCTTCGACTCCGACCCGGCTTACATTTCTCTAAACCTGGACTGGGGCAAGAAGGTCTTCGGAGTTTACGAGGCAGATTAGCATGCAGCCTTGTGCTGCAACTTCCCTGCCGTTCTCCTCGTGTTTCCACTCGCTACTTCACACAAAGCCTGGCTTGCAACAGATCTCATGATGTAGTGCCAGTGTGTGTGTTGCGGGGTTGAGGGCAACAAAGCATCAGAGCGCAGGGCAACGTGAGCCTCCACGGCCGGCCCTACACTCGCGTTTGGGGGGACCTCTTCGCCCCGGTTGGGCCAGGAGATCCCGGCTCCGATAAGAGAGTCGCTTTTTTGAGGCTTACGTTTTTGTTGTTTTTTCAAAGTTTGCCGGGTGGTTTTCGGGTTTGAGTTTCGGGCAGGAGCCGGAGCTGGTTTCTCAGCTCGGGTCGGACTCCAATCCTCTGCACTTTGGGAAGGTTCCCCGATGCCACCCGCAGAAGATTCTATTGTCTGAGTTCTGAAATCTTGTGCGACAGGAGACACATTCATTCGAGCCGGAAGCCCAGTACAGATTTCGCGAGACTTGCACTTGCACGCTGTGCTGGGGTCATTAATAAGAATCAGCGGGTAGACTGGGTCTGACGTGGAATCGGCGCAGAGTTTCAGAGTCGGCTGCTCGGGCACTTGTTCGATGTCGGCAGCTTGCAAAACAGAACCAATTGAACACCTGCCAGGTCCAGCAGGATGTGGCCGATTGGCCTGTGGGTGGCGAGATCCTCTTGACGACAAGCGAGTACCCCAACCCGGATGGAAGCGCCGACGGGCAGCATTCGGTGTACACAAGACCAGCCGTATCATTCGCTGTCATAATCCTGTCATGGTAACAAGCCTAGTTCGTGACTTGCGAGGAAGGCTCATAATGATGGCGGTGTTTAGAGCCTGTCTGTTGAAGCCGGACGTAAGGTAAATTCAGCCCCGCTAGCATCCATAGATTCAGAAGCCCTGTTTAGAGCAGCTGTATAGTCTATAGCCTCCGATCGAAAAGTGGTCCCACTGTCCCATACCTGAAGTTGTAATGCCAGCGTCCGACTCTGCTGGGCAAGGATACCTACACCGAGCGCCGCATCATCACAAGCATCGTCTTCTACGCGCCCTCCACGGAAACTCTGGATTAATAGGGCACGTCAGTACGGATGCAGGACATGCGTGCATGTTCGCGCAAGGGCAGACAAGATGCTGCTGCAGCGGGCATGTTCTGCACAAGCAGACGTAACGCTACTGAGGAGATCACCATAGACCGGCCCCTGGAAAAACATCACTTCGCGGGCGAGGCGACTTCGCTTGATCCTGGGTCCAGGGTCGATGTACAGGGACGTGACCCAATCGGACCGAACGCTTCACCCCAGTACACGAGCTATAACTGGCTTACCAACATGTTACGTTGTTTTGTTGGTTCACATTTTTCTGCAATACCTCTTCTAAACGTGGCGACGAATTGGGGGGAGGCTCGTGCGCAGGTCTGCACGGAGGTCTTTATCGATGGTTCCGGTGGTCGGTTTTGTAGCGCAAGCACTGCCTAAATATCTGTTCCAAACAGAACCAGCACTTTCTGTAGCTCCCATCCAAGTCCGGAAATAAAGCCCTAGAAGCCAAGAGTCTGAGGGCTCAGATTTATAATTTGGCGATCTGCTTGCGCGCAGCCCGAAAGGCTGAGAATGCGAGGACTCAGATTCTTGCCGTGAAGCTCTTCTAAGAGGAAATTTGTATGTGTTGCAGCCCGTCTGAAAGTCAAGAACCTAAGACCCAGATGTTAAACAAGAGTACACTGCTCATAGGTACATCGCAAGGCGACGGAAATATCAGCCCAAAATTCTGAAGCAACGACTTTTTAACCAATGCTTCCGCATTGTTTGGGTTCGAGATGCCTCCGCTTGCGAACTTTGTGTCTAAAGGGGATCGGATGCAGAGTCAGGTACGCGCATTAAAGAAGCTACAGCAGCTGGATGCCTCGAGCCAATAGGTGTGCCCGAAGCCTTGAGACCCGACTCTGCCGCAGATCCTTCAACTTCTCCTCATAGAGAGACTTTTTTTGTGCGAAGCAGGCGTTTCGAGACAGCAGTGGAAGCCTCACCGTCAGGACGATCGTTGCCCTGGTGACGCTGCTGTCAATAGAGCACATGATGCATAGAACATACTGACTGAAGAGTAAGGGCATGTGCAGTTGAGTGAAAGCAGTGTGACATGACAAGAACCTTTCCGAAGAGTCCCATCTTGATCCGCTTGCTCACAAGGTGAGCCGCACAATCCTCGTGACCACAGAGGAAGCTCTCATCGGCGCAGCTGCTTGGTGAAGATTAGTCCACCTGGATCCTTGGTCCCAGCCAGTCAGAGAAGGCAAGAAAGTACTCGGTCCCATGGCTTCTGAAAAGCACTGGCCTCACGGGCTTGAGCCGCCCAGGAGAAGTTCCCGGATCCGGAACTGGGTGTGCCTAATCCCGGGCATGGAGGTGACGAGGGGCTAGAGCCGGTTCCGACAGGCCTTCGATCGAGACAAGAACCCGTGACCGCCCAAACAAAACATAGATCAGCGATTTGGCCAAGTGTCATAGAGTGAGTAATCACACCAGTGTCACAGCTCAGCAGCAATTTCCAGCACAAGCACCAGCACCCACACCAGCGCAGCACCAGCACCGTCGCATCCCGAAACACGACGCCACTTTCAACACCATCGAAACCGGCACTGCCATTGCCACCACCGGCACCACCACCGGCACCACCCACCATTGTCACTGGTAGGGCAGAGCTCGATCTGTTCATCAGGGACAGAGTCATCGTCGGCATCATCATCAACCTCACACTCGTACCACGCATTGTCACTTTATCACTTTATATTCGTCACCATTCACCATCGGCATCAGTATACTCATTGTCTCGGTCGCCTTCATCTTGGTCGTCTTTGCCGTAATGACCATGGTGATGTTGATGAGCCTGTCTGCGAGATGCTGCGCCAGGAGAGTGGTTCGGCTTCCACATGCTGGCGGCGGGCTCCTCCTTCGTGCACCTGGGCTGCCCGAAGACTCCAAGCCTCAGGTTATGCGGAAAGTTGTCGTACAAGAGCATAGATAGGGAGTTCTCGGAAGTTTGACAACCATACAGATGCAAGAAGAAAGCTTTCGTTTCGGCTTCTGGTGGGCTGAGCAGCCACGGACCTTTTGGTGTAGGGGCGACTGCCGCAAACCAGAGAGTCTGACGCAGCCAGCACACTGCAACGCCAAGATCCGCATACCGAACACAATGAATACAAGCAACATGTACTTTGCCAGGTCCATGTCCTGGGTCCAGCTCGACCGGGGAGGACAGGATGGCATAACAGCGGATACTCGCAGCGTGGCCAGGATTTTCGGGGGAGTCTCAGGCAATTGCAGAAGCTCTCGAAGGTTACTTTGGGTTTAACATTCACAACGTCAAGACTGAAACCTCCAGAGCCGTAAAGATCGTTGTGAATGGTCTAGCAGAGTCTAGCATGTCACAGGGCGCGGGATTAGGACGTTTGATCGGAAAGCCTTCGTTTGGATTGTGGATATCGGTGAGACGATAATCTGTGTTTGGCTCGTGGCTCTGCTGAAGGATCCCGCGAAATTCAAAGTTTCTGGCGCAAGCCGAAAGGATAAGCTGCTGAAAGGCTGCCAGAGTACTCAGCGGTGGCTTGAGCAATGGAGCGTCGATATGTCCGGGTTAAGGCTGCCAGGGATTCAGGGGCTTCATAGAGAAAGGCCTTCAATCTTGAGCAGCTGTTTGCTCTTCTCGTGCTTAGTATTTGGTGCGAATTTTTGTAAATGGCTGTTGCTACCACTTCATCGCCTTCACCATCGGCATCATCATCATGATCGCCACGGCCCGCATGAGGGTCATATGTCATCACTCTATGATGCGTGCTGTTGCCTCCAAATCGACTGAGCCTGGCCTTTGCACTCAATTTTGCTTGCTGTCATTGCCTCGATACATAGAACCAGGCACCCCCGAGAGCCCACTTCCTGATTCGAAACCTCACCTAAGGCTTTCCCGCCCTTCAGTTCTATCACCCACAGAACTACTTCGGTGCGGGGCTCGGCTCGGGCATCTACCTTACTATTATTGTAGCATGTGCTGCGGCATCAGCAGAAACTAATCGCCATTGCCGGATTCGTCGTAGGTAGTAGTTGTGGTAGTAGAGATCACATTGTTGTGGTGGCGGTGGTGGTGGTGGGGCAGTAGTGACAGTAGCAGTAATGGTGTCCTTTGTGTCATCATTGTTGTGGCTTACATATGAATAGAAGTCGAAGTCGAAGTGGATGCAGAAGTTATCTGCAGAAGCCGAAGCAGAAGTGGCGTCACACCTGATTACTTTGATGGTTACTGTTGTGAGAATGCCAAGGCTAGGGCAGTAGCAAGGAGGAGTAGCAGGAGGAGTTGGAGAAGGAGTGGGAGGAGTAAGAGGAGTAGGAGCAGGAGGAGCAGGAGGAGCAGGAGGAGCAGGAGGAGCAGGAGGAGCGGGAGCGGGAGCGGGAGCGGGAGCAGCAGCAGCAGCGGGAGCGGGAGCAGCAGCAGCAGCGGGAGCAGCAGCAGCAGCGGGAGCGGGAGCAGCAGCAGCAGCAGCGGGAGCAGCAGCAGCGGGAGCAGCAGCAGCAGCAGCAGCAGCAGCAGCAGCAGCAGCGGGAGCAGCAGCAGCAGCGGGAGCAGCAGCAGCAGCGGGAGCAGCAGCAGCAGCGGGAGCAGCAGCAGCAGCAGCAGCAGCAGCGGGAGCAGCGGCAGCAGCAGGAGCAGCGGCAGCAGCAGCAGCAGCGGCAGCAGCAGCAGCAGCGGCAGCAGCAGCAGCAGCAGCAGCAGCAGCAGCAGCCGTCCCTAGCAATATCAATATCAATATTATGTTGATTGTTGTCATTATTGTTATTATTCGTAGTAGTACCAGCAAGTAGTCTATGTGTCCATTTCCCTACGGCTGTCCGCCTATCTTGTCAAGTCTGATGTCTATCTAACTATCTAACTGGTGTGTGTGTGTGTGTGTGTAGACACACGCACGCACACATATATATATATATATATATATATACACGCACAATACGCGCTCCTTCTAATTCCGTCATCCTACTCCACAATCTTGGGGGCAGTCATGGAAAACATGATCGCATCTATCTTCGCAGCGATCCTTCGAAGCAGCAGCCATCACAGCAGTCATCAGCGACCATGAGAGTGGTCGCGACAAGCAGCACTTCTACACTCCAAGCATGCGACACCGACAGTCTTGTCGCGAGAACGACAGTCATGAAGCATCGTATTCGGGACAGCATCGGGCACATTCCCCAGAAAATTACAGCGCAAGTCTGGACATCGCCAGATAGGTTTCGCATAGACATGGGTCGAACGTGCGGGAAGGCAGTTTGCATTCTCAAGCCAGGCCATTGTTGCCGTCAACGCCGCCAATAACAATAATTAGCAATCTTTTCTCCTACCCTCAAGCTCTGCAAGGAGGACTTCCGAGCCCTTACCTGGAGGGACTCTCGTTCTCGGATAGCCTCCTTGGCGTGATTTGCGCTTCGTTGCCGACTTGTTCTCTTCTCATGTCGCAGATGAGCAGCTGCCGTTCCTGCGCTGCCAGGCATCATGGGCGCTATTGAAGTCCTCGGCAGCTGGGGAATGGACTCGGTGAACGCTTTGTTTGTCGGGACGAGGCTCGGGTCAGACTGAGAATTCAAACTGCCTTCCCTCCACGAGCCTCCGCTCAGCAAACAGGGGGTCGGTCATCAAAGCCGACATGGACGTCGGACCTCTGTTCATCCTGCAAAACCTAGCATCTCGGAGAGCATCTAAGCCAAGCCGTTTGGTCTCAGTGGAAGGGATGCACTGCCAGGGCTAAGGGCGGCTAAGGCTGGGTGTTGACTGCGTAGCTGTGATGGCTTTTGGGAGTTCAGCTTGCTGGAAATCCAGGCTGTTAGCACGCGGCGGCCACCCGAGCGGGTGTCACTCGGGCTGCCCTACGACACTGGCCTGCAATGTGGGATCAGTCACCACAGCTTCGACATGGCGAGTCTGATCAAGAGCAGCTTGTATGCTCAGGAACCAATGTCTGTGTTCCAGCTTCAGGCACGAGAGTACGGTCTTTCCAGTTAAAACTGGTTGGGCCTGAAGTGTCGGAGGATTTCTGTCTCTTGTCCGATTGTGGTGTACCCAATTCTTCCTTCAGCTTTTTCAGTTCAGTTTGGGCACGACATGGCACGGCCGTCCATTCGCATCGCCGACACCGATTGAAAGACTGTAGCCAATCGTTCCCAAATGCAGGCAAAGCCGCCGGTCTTCGCCGGCAACATCGTTGCAGGCTGCGAGGACCGACCTTCAGGTTTGGCCTTCGGGCTAAGCTTGAGGCTGGGATTCCGAGTCGCTACCCGTTTCCAGCAAGGACATTGGCTTCCTTCTGCGGCCACATACATGCGAGGAAGTGCAGCAGCAGGACGGGACTTTGAAGCAGTGGTGACGGCATGGCAGCTGTATTTGGCTGGCATCACCGACCGACTGATATTGATCATTGCATGCCCGAAGCCCATGCAGACACATGCCTGGGTCTGGAAGACATCGTAGGGCCACGGAGTAAGATGCCAGCAGAAGGCTGCAGATTCCACTGCGAACATGCCGAATGAGGTGTTCGGTGCCTGGTCTGCAATGCCGGACTCGACATATCTCGCCGGGTTAGAACAGAAAGTTAGGATGTGCGGCCTGAAAGCTACCACGCGGCCCCAAAGACCCACTACTGCCATTTCCGGACGGCACAACGTTATACATGCCTCGCAGTTCCTTCCGGCGTTGCGTTTCGCAGTGGCCCAGGATGTGTCGTGGGCTTCTTCATGCTGAGATCCTGCTCCACTGCGGGGGCTGGGCCCAGCAGCTGCCCCGACAGCTATGACTGCGTGCACCTGACCCATATGAGGGTCGCTTGCCTTCAGTATCCAGGGGGTGTAGTGCTTGGCACCGCTGGTGCTTGGCACTTGGCAGCTGTTAAATCGGATCCCCAAATCCGTATGCATCCGAATCCGACGACGACAGGTGAGCTCTATGCATCAATGCTGCTCTTAAAGCTTGCACTGGCGGCACCAAGCTGCGTCGAAAGACAGAGTCTCACGCTCCCAACTGCTGAGCACTCAAGGCATGGAAGAATGCACACGTGGGAATTCTCTTCGTGGATGCTCGACTGATCTTAGTGCAAAGCTCATGAAGTTATGGCGGTACCGGTCACGAGAATCATCCCGCCTGCTTCAGACAGCACTCTTGACTCAAGACAGCAAGGACCAGCCTGCAAACATGGAGGTCTCGGACGTGTGGCTTTGTTGCATCTATAGCCGAAAATGCAGCAAGAGAGCTGACGTGCTTTGAATGCTTCGTTGCTCTGCATCCGACCAACAGCCAGGCTTCCTTACATTACTAACTTGAGGCAACTCTTCGACAACCACATCGGCATCACTGGAACTTTCCATCGGAAGATGGGTGACATGCTCCACTCTTTCACGATGCGTGACAGCAAGGTGCGCAGGAGAGCCTTCATCTGGAGCTCCGAGTTCAAACCTCCACGCAGCTCACTAAACCGCTAGTGCCGTTTCCACACCACTGTCGTGGGTAAGATCGCGCAGGCTTCTATAGCGCCTATCCTATCGGACGATGCAGACTACCGCTACTGCTTTTCTGAGAGTACTGCTGGCTGCGACACGGCTTTAGGGCATTTGAGTTGTCGATAGTTGCACTTTCCGCTCATCGAGCATCGCTTGCCATCTCACTTGTTTGGGCTTGTTCGCCGTTCGGCCTGTGCAGGGGTCTCTACCACTGTGCGCCTGCGCAGGTGTACGGCTCCACAGCGCTGTCCAACTGCAACGCCTCGCTCCAGTGCTTGGCAGTTGGCCCCGGGGAGGCTTCGCCGAAAGCATTTGAGAAGGAGGGCTCCAGGTGGAGGGTTAACTCCTGGCTCACGTGCTCGTGTTGCACGATCAAGTCTACCTCAAGCACAAATATGAATGAAGGCCTCTCCTTCCGGCTGCTCCTCTTTGCCGGGACCGGATGTGCGACGGGTGGCCTCGCTGGAATGCTGGTCGCTGCTTTTTCTTTTTTCATTTCGAAAAGTCCGGAAATGCAGGGGACAGGTGTGGGGTACTTGCAGAAGTCGGGTCCCTTTGCCCCACAAATCAGCTTAGTAAGCTTTACCCGCTGGTTTGGGAACTTAGAGCGATTTCTGCAATCCCTGCTCCGTAGCCTCATCTCTGGATGGGTTCCTCCATGAAGGTTGGCATTCTGTTGCCCATCATCACCAATCGCGGGAAGACCTGTGAGGCAGGCCAACCTTTCAGCAACCGTATAGCAGGCCGTAAATGTTCCCTGTACATCGGCCATCGCGAGACCTTCACGAGTTGCAGTGAGTTTCTTCCGTTATCCTGTATGCTACAGATGCATCCTGGCCAGTACAACAAGCATCTGACATTCGCCAGCGCTTTCGCGAGGACGGCCCCGTCTTGCGCGCATGTCCTTTGGCCAACCTCCCCGACCGCAACTGTGCTCTGCCCTGGGAGAGCCGCTACGGCACACGTGGTTCCAGGCGGCCCTAATCAGCCTCGGGGCGTCGGGTTCGGCTCATGACCCGACGAGTTAATTCAGTGATTCAGTACGGTGGTAACAACACGACATGCAGCAACAATACTCTCAGCAAAAGCACAACCTGAATCACCAGGCTCATTCTGGTCCTCCTCACCCTCGTCTTCGTCCTCATCACCGTCAGCCATTGTAACCGGCTTCATCCTCATCGCCATCATCATTATCATCATCATCAGCATCATCATCATCAGCATCATCATCATCATCATCATCATTACATTATCATTATCATTATCAATATCAGCATCGTCATCATGATCACAATTCTCGCCATCACCATAGTCACCGACCACCATCATCATCGTCGTCATCACCATTATCATCATGATCATCGGTAGCATGATCAACGTCATCATCATCACCATCATCATCATCCTCATCATCCTGGTGAACATCGTCCTCGTGATCTTCATTTTCATCAGCATCACAACTATTATCAGCATCATTCCCATCGTCGTCAGTCATCTGTCATCACATCACCGTCATCGTCAGCATCAATATTCATATCTTCTTCATTTTTTGGGCATCATGAGCGGCCAAAGAAGCAGTAACATCAACACCGCATCACCATTCTGGCATTTATCATCATGAGCCTGCCTCACGATGATGATGAGATGCGTGAGATTGCACTTGAGATGTTGAGGGTGGTGTTGATTTAGTCGCTTCTTCCGTTGCTGTCGGGGATGCGTCTTAGCTGTCGCCCCCGCCGGAGCGCATCCAGCAGCAAAGAAACAGGATTGGAGTGATCGCAAGAAGGCGCAGTGTAGCTCTTTCCTGACAGGATGTCGGTCTTCCGTCTCGAAGATGTCAACTTCGGGGCCTTCTATGCAGAGGCAGGGTGCTTAGAGTGTGACTGCGCTTGGGACTTTCTTCTGGACTTTGCCAGTGCCTTGCCAACAAAAAGGAGTTCTGAGTAGTGGATACGGCCCATAGATCAGATTCTTATGGACCTGAGCTCCCTGCGAGGACTGCGGAATGCGTTCGGTGGCAATTGCTAACAACCCCAGTTCTCGAGACTGGAATCCCATTCTCGTCTCTTGGCTCGAGCGTAATCTGGCATGACGGGTTCGGATCCTGGAGGCTGGTCGTGTTGGACAAGCGGCCTTCATCTTCCTGCTTAGACTTGTCCTTCCTTCGGAGGTTCGACATTGTCGATTCATCCATTACTTCTTGGTTTTCACTGTCTGGTTGCCTTGCGCACTGAGAGTTTCCGGCCAAATCACTTGATCCGAAGCACATGGTAGCAACCAGCAAGCTCCGGACATATTTATGAGCAGGCGCAAGGCTGCAAACAAAGCCCCTGCAAACCAGTGGCCAGCCAAAGTATTGGAACCATCAAACGTGGGGTGATAGCCTCGAAGAACTGAGGCAGGCATCTGGAATATTCTAAAGGACATCCCTTCTCTTCTGTGACGATCTGTGCATGCACACTCAGTCACACTACCACTTCTACCTCTGCTGCAACGACGAAGACGACTACTGCCACTTCTGGCATTCCTGCTGCTGCTGCTGCTGCTGCTGGTATGGCTAACGCTGCTGTCAATGCTACGGCTACTGCAACTGCTACTGCCAGTGCTATGGCGGCTACTTCTGCTGCCGCTACTCCTCTTCCTCCCGCCTGCTCCTCCTCGTACTGCTACTGCTCCTGCCCCTTCGCCTGCCCCTGCTACTGCTTACTGCTGGTTCATGGAACCTGAGGAAGTCCGTGGACTGTCGTGGGCACATGCCTCAGCGACTTTATCCCTTTCCGGATCCTCAAAGGTCGCGAACGTAAGGGCTTGAAGATTGTGTCTCACTTGGCTTTGATGATGGTCCGGTTGGGCCCTGACCATGTCGCAGCTTGCCGAACGTGACCTCATGAGTTGTGCAATCTTCCTCAGAGAGCTGGTGATGATGAGGGTACTAGTAGTGGCTTGAATCCAGTAGCCATGGGTGCTCAGGCGGAGACGAGCTTTATGCCAAAGTACTTGACAAATGCTTCAATGGGCTATACCGGGCCGCCTCCCCTGCAGCTCGGAGCAGCAATGCCAAGTTTACATCAGATCGAAGCCTGGATCTCCCTTCCCTCCTCCCTCACATCTCTGTGGAGGCAGGAGTATCGTACCGGGTCAACACTTATTCTCGACTTCTCCCTCTATCCCGAAAGGAAGTCTAAGTCTTGATTGAAGACGGACACGCGTTTCTCGTGATGCTTGGAGCTTGCCACATTTCAGCCGAGGTATGACCATGTTTACACCAACACGCGCATACTGTTGGAGCCGTGGTGGAGGCATCCTTTTGCTGTTGAGGAAAGCCTCGCTTTCGCTCGAGTACATGTTTCGGGTGGCTGTGTTGAGACCTCATTGCATTTAGCACCCTGCCCTGAAATTTTAATGATGCGCAGATTAGGAACATAGTATCTTCGATGAGGTTTCGAGAGACACAGAGAGGCCTCTCTTCAGGAAAAATGCATGCGAATCTCGCACATTCGCCGGTTCCGATCTTGCGGAGCACAGGCAGTGCTAGGATCGCGCACACGGGCCACTTCCCGAGTCGATCGGATGCAGCAATGCAGGTACCCCGGCGAGGAAACTTGTTCACGACATCCACTCGTTACTGCAGCTTGGCTTGTTGTATTCCAGAACATGTGATTTAGCTGCTACTAGTGGTCTGCTCCTCAGGAGACTGCTCGGCTGAAGCTGGGAATGGAAGGCCGCTTTGTCGAGTGAGCTTAGTCCGCTTGCTGCGTAGGTGTTTCAATTCACTGAGTGAATGGTTGCACTTCGGTGGAAGTGACGCGGTGCCTTGATCTTCAGCAGGCTCTCCGCCCATCTGCCCTGGAGTTCAACAAACGTGGCTGCAGCCCAAGCATGCTGCTGGAGATTTGGTGGAGTCGACAGGCTCGAGGAGCCACAACAGCCGGTAGAGAATCCCGGTGTTGACTCAGGGTCCGAGATCTGGATGGATCTCTTCTGCGCGAGAGTGGCGTCGCGCTGCCGACCGGCGGGCTTTTGCCGAGCTCCTGCGATTCGCAGACCTCGAGTTTCGTCCTCCGCTTACTGAGATCATATGGGATCCATGCAGCAACACTGCACGGTCAGTTGCTGCCTAGATGATGCTTCAGAGCATCTGGAGGGCAACTCGAACGTTTGCACTGTCACCCCATATTACTCATCTGGTACCGTAGCATCTCAGTGACAGTCTCTGAACATCAAGCCCACCGTTACGGCCATTTCTTCGTCCCAGTTGATGGCGACCTACGTTCCCAGTGCTTGGCCACGGCGCTGTGGCAATGAGACAACCGCGCAGTGTCCCGCAGGCGAGAGCTGTGGCCAAGCTTGGAGTTCTAGGTTCGGATGGGCAGAGCACCTCCGTTGTCGAGTCGCTATCCAAGTCTTCTTGCTTTGCATATCGTCATACATAGAATGCTGACGTTGATGAGATGGGAGGGGAGCATGGCATGAGTGCCACGAAACGCTCTTACATGAAATGTACATCAGCCTCCTTCAGCATAAGCTTCGCCAGCCTCCTTTGCTCCATGCCAGGCGCCCATTTCGCATACACGCTGGAGGGGGGTCTTACCGTGCTTCGCCTGCAGTCTGCCCGGTTATTGAGGGTGTTCGGTGCTCTTTGACTCTGTTTCGGAGTCCACAGCTGGAAAAAGGCGGAGATGAATCAATTTTCCCTGTGTCTGTGTTGCAACTCCGAGTAGCGGCCACACTCACCCAGCGAGACTCCGGTCCTAAACCCAAGAGCCGTGAAGCCGAGAGCCCTTCACCCTAAACTAAACTTGACAGCACAGCTCCATCAACCCCAAGGCCTAAACCCTCGCATGCACCCTAGGCTCTCAAACCATAAGGCCCGACAGCTCGAATAACAAGACAGGTCTGCCAAGACCGACTCCGGCTGCTGAATTGGGAGAACCTGGACCCCGACTGTTGCGGCCGCTGGGTATCAGCAATACAGGATACTTTCAGTCAACAAGCCCGCAGCCTAACGGTCATCACCATCGTCATCGTCATGATATTCAGGGTAATCATATCATCCCCATCATTTGGGTGACGACAAGTCATGACAGCAGCACAAAAGCCTTCACTCTTTGACTGGGGTGTGGAAGGTCTACGAGCTTTCCCCAGATTCGGCGGGTTGATGCCAAGCTACACAGACATTTGCGTTTCGAGCTCTTGGAGGCCTTGTGAAAAGTATTATTTCTGAGAGTTCTCATGGCTTCATTCGAGCTGGTGGTGGCTCAGCGACTCCGAACCGAACCCCAGACTCTCTCGCGACTTTGGCCATGTACGGGGCCAATAACGTCCTTCGTGGGAAACTCTGGACTGGTTCCAACTCTGCTACGAGCGGGGGGTTTGCGCTTGGCATGTATTCATTGAACTCAGTGTAGCTCCTTGCTGTGCTTCTTTGGCATATTGCCCATCAAGCAGAGGTTTTCATCGCCGCGAGTTGGGACTGCTCCGTGCGACACGGCTCAGCGATGGCATGTACGAGGACCAGATGGCATGCTTGCTGCTCTTGCGATCAGCTGTTGAATTGTGCGACGATGACAGTTGCATTTCGCAGCTCGGCGCAAGGAGTCCTGGCCCATGTTTGACGATGACTGCGCTCGTGGTTGCTGGGTCAGAATTGATGATTGAATTTGCAATTTGCGTGTTGGGGTCAGGGCCACATGCTATCAGAACTTTGCGCCGATGTTGCCAACATGGGCGGCAGTTCCTCTCGTGTAAGCCTACGAGTCGGAGCGGATTCTAGGCAGATCAGGCTCTTAGTCTTTGTGTGCCGGTGCAAGCAATCGTCTGAAGCAGCCATTTCAAGAATGAGACACGGACAGACACGCCTTGATACGAGCAAGCAAAGCATCCTGAGTCCTGAAAATAGATGTCGTACAAAATCTTTCGCACAACAATGGCAAGGTCTTGAGTACGGACGCAGCTCTTACGTGATTCGGGTGGATCCTGAGCTGCAACTTCTTGACTCAACGACAGCAGGTCAGCTTGTGTGTTGAAGGTTTTCAGGAAGGGGGAATGCATTCATACGTTCTGTTTGGCATTACTGCTTACCAGCTATTCCTAACATCTGGTATGCCACCGACGATTGCCAAGTTTAGACAAGGCATAACGGACATTCTCTAGATGCTCTTGATTGTCTTGGCGGTGATGTCCATGACGATCACGATGAACACATATGATCGGCCTCGTGATGATAGTAGTGACGCCGATGGCGACGATCACGGAGGCGGTGATCATGTTGTGGCTTATTCTTCTGGCGTCGATGATGCGGAAGCTGCTGTTGCTCTTCCGGTGTTTGGGGGTGAGGTTGATGGAGATGATGGTGATGGGAAGATGGGAAGGTTGGAAGACGGTGATGCCGGTGGTACCGGAGAAGATAGAAGTTTTGCATGGCTTCTGCTCTCATCGGCGAAATTGGTTGGTTCTGATGCAAGGTTGCTTTGCTCGTCTGCGCAGAGGTTCCTGTGTTTCGGGCGGGCAGGAGGAAGAAGTGCTAACCAAGAGGCGAAGTGCGTGGTTGCAACTGTGCGGAGGGTTGTCATGTCGTCGACCGAGTATCGCAGTCCGATCTGCAGGCAAAGTTGGACTGAGATACGTGCATTGCTGCGCTTGTTGGCATGCTCAGCAGCTTTCTTACGCGGATGCGTAGCCCGGTGAATGAGACCATCCATGAAGCTGCAAACTGCAAACCCTGCGTGTCAGCGCTTTCTTACGGTCATCTCCAAGACCCCACACACACACACACAAACCAAGAGAAGTCCGTTTTGTACCGTCAAGGAAGCCGGGCTGCCCCTGGAGTTGCGGTTCATGGGAACCTCCAGACTTCCGAGGCCAAGTGGTGTCCGCGTGGAGATGTCTGTGCTGGCAGGTAGCAAACTCTGAAGGACACCTGTTCTGCTTCTGATCGACAGACTCATCGGTGTCCTTGTCGTTGTCGTGATCGCCGTTGACGTTGCCACCCCTGTCGCGCATCGCACGCTGCAGCCGCGGTCGTCCTTTGTCCCATGCGTAGGTGAGCTCATAGCAGTCACAGCAGTAGACGATTGCTTGTGATGGCCTGCCCTGGCAGGCTCAGCCGCATCCATTTCTTTGCCGAAAGTTCAGGCCATGAGGTGCTCTTGCGCTTACCTCTGGGACGCTTGAGGAGGCTGGGTTGCGAGATCGAGCTTCAATAAGCTTTACATGTCTTAAATTCCGATACCGACGCCCCCTTTCCACCCGTGAAATCTCGTAGGTGTTGACCTGTGGCTGTTTGTCCAAAGCATTACATTCCCTTGAAGGCCGCGGCTGTACATCTTCGGAATCAACTTCGACATCATGCGGAGGACCTCCATTCCGAATGCAGGGGACAGCCATGGTGCCGATCTCGGACTATTTTAGTGTTTCGGTTCAGCTAAAGGTACTTGTCACGACAGGACTGTGGATAGTTGAGGCTTTCCGAACGGGATCCTGCTGTTACGGCCTTGTCATCTTGGAGAACCCAGGCGCGATGTACCTCGACCGTGAGCGGCTGTGGTTGCTGGGCTTCCACAGTCAGCCCACGACCACAAGAAGCCAGCGAACCATGCGCTTTGAGCCACGTAAACATCTGAGGCTCTACATCAATGCTCGAGGCATTGCGCGGTCAGTTTTGAGTGGAGTCTGGCTGGGGAGAGTGTGGTTGGTCTTCCGTATGTGGATCGAGTGCAAGAGTCCAACATGCTCATCGGCACACGGTTCTCTGTTGCTGTGACGACGTAATTTGGGTACAGTACCTTTGTCCTGTTCTGGCAGGCATGCCCGGAGGGAGTCGTGGACAAGGAGCCATTGTCCTGCAACTTCTTGAGGCCTGGTGAAGTCTGAAGCGGAGGGAGAATCCGCGTGACTGCCACTATTTACCGAACTAGTCAGACGAGATGTGGCATGCCGGGTTTCCGGCATGGCTTGAGCGGCAGCAGATCATGTTGCCCATCTGTTGGCATGTATCTCTTGGCTTGGCAGACGGTGCCCGCCGGCAGAACATTGCTCTGGGCCTGCATTGGTTTCCTGTTCCAGGCTGAACGCAAAAGGAGTTCAGGCCCCGGAACGGAAGATATGCCTGTGGATCTTACTCATTCCAAACCAACGTTAAGTAATCGCGCTTTTCGCCAGAATCAAGAACGCGGCGAGGTGGCCGCTTCAGAAAGAAAGTCCCGGCCGGAAGCCGAGGAGAAGCAGTTGATGCTGTTATGACACTGTCGGTTCACAGAAAAGACGTGTGTGACCCTGAAGAGAGACTTTGCAAGCCATGGACGCAGGTCTTCGTCGCTGAGGTTGCTCCCTGACGGCATTAGTGTTCTCGTCTTCTCTGATGCTTCGTTCGCAGTTCCGTCACGGGGAGGTGTGCTGTGAATGATGAGTTTGTGACCGTCAGGTGCCTAGGTTCATAGTGGTGATAAAGGGTCGCACAGGTCATGAAGACTGCTCACAGCATACGTGTACACCGGAAGCGTCCTCTCTAGGCCGCGAAATTGCCATAGCAAGTTCGGGCATCGTCTGTCTTAGGTCGTCTTCGTCCCTCTCGAGGAGTTCAGCCAGTTCAAATTCGTGGAAGACCTCGCGAGGCAGAGTCCTCGTTAGATTACGGCTTGACACTTGACATAGGTTCGTTCTTGTTTAGTCTTAGTCTTAGTTGTTTCTGACATGGGCTCTAGCGTTTGCTTGACAAGTCTTCTTGTGATTCGGCATGTACTGTCTTGTCATGACTGTTTCATTCCTCAGTTTTGCTATGCTACTATAGATCTTGCACATAGTGCTAGTCTGATGTTCATTCTCATTCTCCCGGCATCCAGGATGAGGCCGCGACGACAACCACGACTCACGGTAGTCTTTCTTTCTTGGTCTCTTCTAGAACCCCTTCTTTTCGACGTGCTGTTGAGTTTCCCTTGGACAGGTCTCTCAACGTCTCGGAAGACCGGGTGTCACTGGTGACTCTCGGACTTGGCTTGAGGGCGTGCCCCGAGTTCCAGGGCGCGGAGGGCGCTTGGAACTTTCGGCCGAGTTTCCCACGTTGCTGCGGTTGGGGCGGCCGGGATGCCGAAGTTTGGAGCCTGGAGCTGAGGAACATCACTTACGATGGCCAGAAGTGGCTCGAGGGGCCTAACGGCCGGCGACTGCGGATGGTGGCCAGAAGCCTAGAAGTTCAGGGATCCACACCTGCAAAGAGTCAAGACAACTCCGAAACGTGAATCAACAAAGCCCACCTCGTGTCTCCCTCGTCATGATTTTCCTCTGCCTCAGGATGCATCCAAGAGGGGGCCTTTCCCGCCCCAGCACCACAAAGCTCAATCGTTGTAGTATTTGGACTTCACTGAGCAAGATCTTTGCATCGGCTGCTGTTTAGACTCTGAAATCCATGCATAGTTCTGTGAAGTCAACGAACAAGGAGGAGCAACAGCAATGCCGGGCCTTTGCGGGTGGGTACAATCAGCAGTAGCAATACCGGCAATACCCGTTACCCAACGACGCGACCGGTGCGTGGCCCAGGACACCTTGCGGATCGAGTTTGAAGTCTCTGAGGACCAGTTCTGCAAGATTAGTCGTACCCGTAGCAGGCAATGTCTGCCGTAGTCGTGGTGAATAGCGAGCGGAGATAGCGACCAACGATAATCGCAGCAGGAGTACAAGTTCGCAGCAGCGGCAGGGACAACACAACAGCAACAATAGTAATTACTCATCCAGGACCATACTCATCCAGGACCATAGTGCCAGAACCCGTCAGCTCGAGCATTTTTTCTAGAACTTCTATTGCTGTATTCATGTCTTTGATTATTACGCTTGCCATTATCCTTGCTGGTCGCTGCGAGCCGATGACTCGTACTTGCGATTACTATTCTCATTCTTACTGTTGCCAACATGATGTTGGCAGCTGTTGTGCTTTCCACTTCGGCCGATCACCGCTGCTTTCGTTGTCGCAACAGGGTTACTTCAAGCCAGCGAGCACTAGGGTCGCTTCTTGCCTCTTGTGAAGACGGTGGACAGCACTGGCAGGACCCGGATATCCTAGACTTGGCCGCCATGGACTCAGTGCTTCACATCATGCTGTCTGACCGCCATCCTTGGATGGCGAGTCCGACTTGTTGCGCAGTTTTTCCCAAGCTCCTCCTGCAGCCTGAACTATGGGAACCCAGCAGAAAGCCAGAAGTCCGCACACGAGTTTCATGAGCGTTGGTCCAGAGTCTAGAGCCCTCTCTACACTTCGTCTGATCCGACTGGTAGAGTCACAATGGTTGAGTGCGGAGCAAGACGTAGCACCGCAGGTACTTCAAATGTAGGTTGTACGCCGGCGAAGCTCTTTGTTGTTTGCACGTCTTCCTCAGTGGTACAGGATGTATAGTGTATGCCTCTGCACGTAAGCGATATGTCTACAGGTACTTCTGGATGCGCCCTGGGAGTCCATGGGAGCCAACGATGCTTTCTTTGAAGATTCCGTGGCCCAGGTACCTCCTGAGGCCGCACTACAGGGTTTCAAGGGGTACTACCACTAGGGGCTTGAGCCTGGTTCGGGGTCAGGATGTGGGGTCCCTGCTGGCGCAGTATAGTATAGGGTTTGGTGTGAAGGCTTCGTTGAAACCCTGAATTCTGCTAGCGCTTTGCAGGTTCAGAGTCCATAGTCATCAAATGCCAGAATATTTTGTTATGGTGCCTGACCGACCGAATGCATTGAAGTGTGTGGCCAGCGTGTTCCCAACCCTGGTGTGGTTCCCGCTGCTTAGACAAGCTGCGAGGCGCTGTCGGTCGCCAGCATCCGCAACCTGTCCACAACATTCCAGGTGCACCCGCAACGCCCTCCGAGCCGGAAGGGGTTAGATACAGTTCGCAATCAAGGGATTCTGGGCCACGCCATCTGTAACCCGGCTTTTGCAGCAGAGCCTTGCAGTGCCTTGTTATGTCATGCAAGTCAAAGTTCGCCGCGTCTCGCCGAACGACTGCTTTTCAAGTGACCTTCCCGAGCCGAGCTGGCCAAGCCACCGGCTTCCGGGAAGTTTGTGGTGACTGTTGTCATGCATGTAAGTTTTAGCGGAACAACCAGGAAGTCAGAGCTAGTAGTTTATGGTTTGGTTTCTCTGGGCCCAGACTGTGCCCCATGCCTCTTCAGCAAGGCAACAGCCAGGAAGTACTCCAGGGAGCCTAGCGGCCTAGCCTAGCATCTACCTCTCCTCACGGGTCCTGCAGCCCATGCGTGGAAGTCCATGGGCAGCTTTGTGCTGGCATGCTAGGCTGCCTTCCAGGGTGAGAGTGAGACGCTGTGAGGGTTTTGGAGTCGGCCAGAATCACTTTACGTAAGGCCCACAGGCTGTTGCGGTGCCACTCTCTCCTTGGGTAGTTATTTCTCGAGTCCATTCCTTCTCGAGTCCATTCCCTCGGGGTGCGAATGCCACGGCGATCCTTGTGACTTCTCCGAGTTGGAGCTCCAAGTCTCAGGGAACCTGCTTATGTCCGCAAGGCAGAGCAAGGCGCCTTGATATTTCGTGCGGCTCTCAGCTTTATCGGACTGGTCCTCATCCGAGATTCACCAGCTGGCATCGCATTGCTCAGCTGTGCCTCCCATACTTTCAGCCAATAGCAGTGCAAGCGAAGAATCTCTGTGACTGCCTGGACGAAAGGCCGACTCTTGTAAGTTGTTTTGTGACTCCAGGTCTCGAGGCGCATGGCAGAGGCAAGGGCATATGTAGGGCCATCGGAGTGAAGTGAAGACCATTCTCAGGGAGAGATAGCTACAGGGGCGCCGGTCATCTGGTTCCATATGTCCCATCCGCGAGAACATTGAGGTTTTAGTGCAGTTCTGTTGGCGATGCTCGTAGCTCGTCAGATGTTGTCAAAGCTCGGAGGGCGTGCATGGCACTCGGGTTCTTCTGCTTCAGAGACGTGCGAAGCAGGTGCCCTGGAATGGCTACCTATCTATCTGTTTGCCTGGGTGTATATTAATGTAGGTCTGTTGTGTTGCAGGACGTGCCTGGTGCAGTGCCTGGCAGGTGACCTTCGCAGAGGAGTTGGTGGAGGGTCACGGCGAGCGGCAGAGTGGCTCAGGCTCAGATGCCGTGAACTTGAGAAGTTTCCCCAGTCTGGTCCGCCAAGTAGACGTGGATCTTCTGGTTGCCTTTTCAAGGCCTGTGTGGTCTTTTTGCAATCTCGAAGCTGCAGCACTCTTCGTCTTCAGCTCCGAAGGATTCAATCCTTTTTTACCCGGGAACTTCTGAGGATGGCCATGCGCGGCTACGAAGATTCCCACTTTCAATCTTACATTCGAGAAGCTGTGAGCATCCCGTGCAGCTTTGGAAACTAACTTCCCGAAGCATTCTAGCAGGAAGGGTGACCCCTGCAGCCCGTCCCTTGGAGCGTATGTCTACGCCAAACCTTGCACCAGGAAGCACATCGAGTAAGTCGGAGTTCAGCTCAGAGGACAGTAGCGACTCCAACGATGCTACTCGGCTCTTCTTCACGAAAGTGTGAAAGTGCAGTGTTCGGCTTGACCTGACTAAGCTTTCGCCTCTTTGCTTTAAGAGTTTCTGCGTAAACCTTCGAGCCACCCGCAGCCGCAGTGGCTCCTGGTGCTTGTGGAAAACAGTTGCGCGCCTTTAGCTTCGGATGAGTTGCGGCGCGACTTTGCGGTTTGGCTTCTGCATTGGTTAGGCGGAGCAGGGTTTGCTCGATGGCGGATGGCAACGCTGATCATCAGAGCACCCAGCAAGATGCTCCAGCTGATGATCAGTGGCAGCAATGGCAGCAAAGCGACCAGCGAGATTCCTCCTCCGATGCCTGGTGGGGATATCGCTGGCAGGCCACACCGTGGCAGTGGCAACAGCAACCGGCATGGAGTTCCTATAGCGGGAACAGCTGGACTGATGGCAGCAGCTATACATGGCAACCCTGGAAGAATTATTCCTCCTGGGACGCAAGCACATGGCAGAGCGCCACCTGGGGAGACGATTCGAGTGGTCAGCGCAAGACTGGCTACAATGAATCGTGGGAAGCTGGAACGGAGAATCCGGTTTCGGGTGGCGAAGATGCGGCAAGGAGAAGTTCCGTCACCTCAACGGCAGAAGGAGATGGATGGATGGGAGCTGAGCCCACGGGGTCTACGGAAGAGGACCGTGCTTCAGCTTCGTCGTCTAAAGAGACGGCAGGGGCGAAATCCAGTGGGAAGGATTTCATTCCTGAGTTCGATGGCTCGGGGCCGATGCGTGAGTATCAGCGTCGCGTAAAGCTGTTTGAGTTGAGCACAAGCATTGACCCGAGTTTCAGAGCTCAGAAGCTCATGGAGAAGCTTACAGGAAACGCCTGGTTGGCGACCGAGTCGATCCCTTTGGAGTCGCTCAAGCATCCGGATGGAGTGACTCGCCTGCTGGACCACCTCTGGAAGGAACTCGAACCTTTGGAGTTCTTGAGGGTCTTTCAGACTTTGGCGGACTTCTACAAGAATTTCAGACGCAGCAAGGGCCAAGAGTTCGTCGCTTATGACATGGAGTTCCGGAGGCATGGACAGCGGCTGGAGGAGATTGGAGCGGGCATCACAGGCGTCACGCGCGCTTTCTGGTTCCTCGAGAAAGCTGGGTTGTCCCAAGAGCTGAGGAAGCAAGTGGTGGCTGCAGCGGGAGGCGAGTATGACTACGCCAAGCTTCGGGCCGCAGTGATGGCGATCGTCCCCCAGGTCCACAAGGAGGAGGCAGAGTCGAGCAGCCACGCTCCAAGTGGTGCGGGAGCGCATCGCCAGTGGAGAAAGAGCCCAGCAAAGGTCCATGCGACGATCGCTGAGGAGCCGGACATTCCGGAAGAGGAGGCCGCTGTTGAGGGCGATGACCAGTTGATTCCGGAGATGCTCGAGGAGGAGTTACAAGTGCTGCTTACCCAAGCAGCCAAGAAACGTGCACAGGTGGAAAAAGCAAGAGGCTTTACGTCCAGTGGCGGAGGCAAAGGCGGTGGAAGGGCCGAGACACCAGAGGCACGTGCACGAAGGATAGCTGAGCTCAAACAAAAGATGCCATGCTCGGCATGCAAGGCTCGAGGAGTTACGAGCTACGGGCACTGGCACTCGGATGCTGCCTGCCCATACAACAGTGCCAACAAGAAGACAGGTGAATCTCCAGGACAGCCAGTGATGGCCGTGACTGAGGAGGAGCTCTCAGATTCCGACGAGGACTATGGACCAAGTCCCGGCGATATCTTCATGGCAGTATGTGATGATGACCGAGAGTTCTGGTGTGCAAGTGCGGTTTCCAGTGACCATTCGGCGGAAAATGACTGTCTGTTGGCCCTCTCAGACACATGTTGTGCTCGGTCGGTTGCTGGAGAGCAGTGGGCGAGTGCTCACATGGACCACTTGCATAGGGAAGGACTGGATGTGTACGTTGTCGATGAGGCCCGGCCTTTCAGGTTTGGAGCTGGACCGCGCATCATGTCCAAGTATAGCATCGTGTTCCCTTTGAACCTTCCTGGAGCTTCGAGTGTGCCCTGGCTGAGGGTAAGTGTCGTGGAGCAAGCAGTTCCACTGTTGCTGAGCAAGACAGCCTTGAAAGGGTTGGGCGCCTGCTTGGATTTGGGCCAGGCTCGCATTGGGTTTGCGCGTTTGGGCACTAAACTGGACTTGGTCGAGACTGCGACGGGGCTGTGTGGTTTCATGATCAATGAGACTAGGAATGACACCCTGGAGCAACCTGAGTTTCCCCCTTCACAGATGATCGATGGTGAGATGGAGGTATCTTCTGCCGATGACAATGGGGAACTAAGAACGAGTCCTGATGCTGCCGAAGTGAACGTGTGCCCCAAGTACCCTACAAGCTCACAGGAGGTCCGATCCGCATGTGAAGATCAGGCTCGGAAGCTCCTCAAGGCCCAGGATTTCTCCTATGCGAGTCTGGAGGCTTTTGTGGCTTTGTTGCCGTTCGTGAAGGGTGAGCAGCGTGAGATCAATCATGGGAGGGATCGACGTACCCAAGGGCTTATGGCTGGCCTGTGGGCTCATGGTGGCTTTCATGGAGTTACAACAAACGCCTGCATGTTTGAAGAGACAATTCGTTACTTGAACTCCTTCATGCGGGATAAAGTGGGCTCTGAAGTCACATGGACCTCCCTGGTCATTATGAAGAATGTGAAGATGGCTCTTCATAAGGATCGTCACAATGCTACTGACAGTAGGACGGCTACTCTGACTTGTGGAGATTTCGAGGGCGGCCGGCTTTGGGTGGCAGATCCTGCTGCTAAAGCAGGCGACAGTGGAGTGGCTTGCCGAAAGGACGCGCGTGGGAAGCTTGTGACTGGGAGATATGTTGACACGAGGCACCAACCGCGCCTCATAGATCCTAAGGTTTCCCATGCTACAGAGCCGTGGAAGGGCAGTCGGTGGTGCTTCTCTTGTTTTACCTCGAGGGCCGAGGAGTCTATGACCGGAGATGCGCGGAAGGATCTGCGCAGGCTGGGGTTTCCAGTGAGATCGAAGTCCAAGACCAGGACCTCTGGGGATAGCAAGGTTGTGTGTAGCACTTCGTCCAGTCACCAGGAGCCACAGTTCAACAGGGATGAAGTGCATGGTAGCCCAGACGCATGTACTCCGCATTGTTCGGTTGAGACACCTGTGGCTCAGCCGAAAGCTAGATTTGTCAGCTCGGACTCCCGATCCCGTGGAAACGATTCAGAAGGTCATGACCAGCAAGTACACAGCGCCCAAGAGGAAGGAAGACTATGTGGCGTCGATCAGTGCCAGGACAGCCTTGGCCAAGGAAGAGCTCCGCAAACACGACTGCGATCGCTTGAAGCAGATTTGGACCATGGTCAAGCCTCGGAAGCCGAAGTCCCCCCTCCCCACAGGGTGGAAGAAGTTCGACGTAACCGAGCTGAAGAGCCTCTATGCCAACGAGGTTCGCGAAGACTTGGGAAGGCCGGACGACGGTCACTGGGTCAAGTGGCGTCGCCCGATGGTCATCACCGAGATCGAGATGTGGTTGGCTCAGGTGATGGGAGAAATGCCCGAAGAAGACCTCTACAGCGAGACCCCGCTTTGCGGGGACTGCAAGATACCGATGGTGCAGAGAACGAACAGGCTGACTCGGACGGACTTCTACGGCTGCATCAGGTATCCGCTGTGCACGCAAACCCTCCCTCTGACTTACGCCGGCAAGCCGACAAAGCAAGTCCAAGACGCGATGAGGGAGGAGGAGCAGACCCACCGTTGGCAGGGCACGAAGGGCACGGGTCGCGGCTATGTCAAGACGCTGGAAGCTCCAATGTCGAGACGGAGGGCTTCGGGATCACACGAATACCGAGGGAACTCATCCGATGGTTCCTGGGTACGCACAGGGAATGTCTCAGTGGAGGAGACCTCCGACAACGATCACGAAGAGGGAAAGACCTACAATACGAATGTCACGGAGGAGGAGCTGGAGATGCTGAACGAGCTGAGGCGTGCCAAGGCGGACGCGAACAAGTGAAGACCCCCTCCGACGCTCCAGCCACCGCAGGCCGATCATCACGGGTGGGTTCTGATGCCATATCCGAGGAAGTGATTTGTAATGAGATTTGTAAGCCAGACGCTGTCCCAAGAAGTCCCAGTGAAGTGCGCCGGTGTATCGTTGAAGGGAATCAGCGTAGGAGGGCTGCGAAACGCGGTCTTGTGAAGAGACTTCTTGGGAATGCGAAGGCAATCGCGGCCGGAGTGATGGTTACCACTTCTGCTTACCTCGGGATGGCCGTGCAGTCTGTTCCCCAAACATCCGTCGTGAGACCGGATATCCTGGAAGTGTTTGCCGGAGAAGCATTGGTAACTAGCAATTTCAGTAGGTGGGGGTGGAATGCTGCACGTCCTATGAGCCTGGACCTGGGTGATGATTTGTATGATGCGAGTGTGAGAGAGAAGATTCTGGAGTGGATCGATCGCAATCGACCGCGTCTGGTGGTCTTGTCGTATCCGCGTAAGGTTTATGCGTATCATGCCGGCATGCAAGAGTCCTCCCAAGAGAAACGTAGGCGGTATCTGAAGTACTGTAAACAGAAGAACATTTTTGACTTTGTTGAGATAGTGTTTCAGAAACAGTTGAATCGCGGAGACGACGCACTTGCCGAGGACCCTGTGGCACAAGGTTCACTCAGGCATGGACCTCTTCAGCGCGTTCTTGAACATCCAAGTGTGTACACTGTAGTGGCGCAGGGACTGAGTACCAGTAGCGCGAAAGGTGCTTCCAAACTGCTTGAACAGAGGCCAGCTCTCTGGATGAGCACTGCAGTTGAAGTATGTCAAGAGATTGCGCTGAGGTGTCCAGGATTGCCAGGTGATCGGATCCAATCCGCGAAGAGTGTTGCGGCAGCCATTTGTTCGGGCTATGTGAAAGCTCTTAGGCGTAAAGATCCTGGACGTATCAGACGTATGCTCCGTCAAGTCGCGGCTAGGATCCGGAGTGCTAAGAGTCCCGAACTGGTTCGAGATTTGAGATGGAATGAAAAGAGGGTCGCCAAGGCACTAGCTCGGTGGAATGCAGTCTTTGCGGTTGATTCTCCTTTGGGGGGTCAGCCATCAGATACTCCTATGTCGCCTCCCCTGGAGGACTCAGATGGAGACGAGGAGATGATTGCTGATCATCCTGGCGATGGCTCCGCAGTGCCACTCAGGAGTGGTCTTGCGCATGACGGCATAACATTCGAGGTGCCTCCGGGTAGAAAGTTGACCACTGAGGTGAGGGAGGGTCTTAAGAAGGCTCACTGCAATCTTGGTCATCCTAGCAAGAGCGATCTTCAGAGGTTCCTGAAACTTGGAGGTGCCAAACAAGAGGTCGTTGAAGCGGTAGGATGGATGCGATGCATTTCATGCGCACACTCAGCGAAGCCTAAAGCCCATCGTACGGCTAGCATTCCACCATGCTCAGTCACTTTTGGAGATGAGGTGCATTTGGATTGCATTTGTGTTCATGACAGTGGAGCCGAAAGCCATTGGTACCTGTCCATTGTCGATCGGGCAACTAGCTTTCATGTTCTTGAGCTGTTGAGGGACCATACTCCTCTTGAATTCAATAAAGCTTTTGACAGAGCCTGGTCTAAATGGGCGGGACCTCCCATCCGAGTCTGTGTTGATTTCGAGGGAGGCTTTCGAGGCTCAGAGTTCTGGCAGCAGGTGTCTGAAGCCGGATCTTCCCTGGTTTCGATTGCCGGTACCGCTCACTGGCAGGGTGGCAAGGTTGAACGACATAACCTCACGGCCAAAGACATGTTGCGAACTGTAATACGCCAGACTGCCGCGAAGGGAAGAGAAAGCATGAGGTCCATCGGGCGCGAGGTCGCATGGGCTAAGAACACGCTGGTTCGAGAACATGGTTGGTCCCCCGTTGCTTTGGTGTTCGGTAAAGAGCCTAGAGTCTATGGAGAATTGTACGCCGAGGGGGAACCGATTGCTTTTCATCCTAGGGTTGGCGATTCCGGCAGTGAAGTTGCGAAGCGGATGCAGTATCGGTACCATGCGAAGCTCGAGTATATCAAGTGTCAAGCTCGTGATATGCTGGCAAGGACAGCTCGCAACCGTGTCAGGAAGATCGCTCAGCCACAGGTAGGTCAGTTGGTGTTTTTCTGGCGAGCCGAACGCAAGAAGGAGCCGAGCCGGTGGGTTGGTCCGGGTTATGTGGTAGGATTGCAAGGACCTAACGCCTGGGTTGCCATCGGTGGCAGATGCTTCCTTGTTGCCGGGGAACACTTGAGAGAAGCTTGCGGGGACGAGAAGCATTTTGGGGATCCTCAGATTCAGAAAGCCATTGCTCTTTTCAAGAAGGTTCCAAAGGAGGCGACTTTTGAAGACTTGACGCTTCAGATAGATCCGACTGAGGAACCCATGGAGATAGAGGCCCAACCTTTGGTTCAGGAAGTGTCTGAAGAAGCTGGCAATTTGCAAGAAGGGATAAGCGAGTTACCAGGTCCTCTCCAGAAGTTGGTTTCCAAAGTCGGATGGCAGATTGATGAATCGGGAAATCCTGCATTGATTTCGAGGCAAGCCTGGGCTTACCGTACTCCTGAAACCAAGTATGAACTCCATCGGTTTCCCTACCGTAGTACTTGGGCTAGATACAAGGGTGAGTGGCTCTGTCTTGAAAAGGAGGTTAAGTGGTTCGATTTGGAAAATCCCAACGGTTTCCTCCCACGTACCCCAGCTGAGCTCCTCATTACCGTGTTCCAGGGTCGAACCAAGAGAGAGATGTGTCTGGAAGATGTTCCTCATGGCATTAAGAAACAGAAGGCTGCGCATCATGTTCACAATGTCGTGTACGGGAAGCCAATGGGCAAGAATAAGTTGAAGCGGATGATGGACAAAGAAATCCCGTATGACAAGATTCCTGTTCATGAACGTGAGCTTTATCATGAAGCTCAGGAGAAAGAGTGGAACAGCTGGAGAGAGTACGAGAGTTGTGAGATCTTGAGTGAAGAGGAGAGCGAGAGGATCCTTCGTGAGTGCCCGAGTCGTGTCCTCCCTAGTCGGTTCGTCTATAGAAATAAGAATGCGGGTCTTGTGGACGAATCGGGCAAACCTCTTCAAACGAGAGCCAAGGCTAGGTTGTGTTTGCAAGGGCATTTATGCCCAGATGCCAGGACGGGTCAGGTTCAAGTGGATTCCCCAACGGTTGAACGGGTGTCTACCATGCTTTTCCTTCATGTGGCCGCTAGCTTTGGGTGGATTGATAATTGGTATATCGGGGATATCAGCAATGCCTTTCTGCAGGGAGCTCCACTTGTGGGAAAAGAGCCCATGTACATGAAGCCTCCCAAACAGGGCCTCCGGGATGTCAAACCTAACCAACTTCTCAAACTTCTTAAGCCAGTGTACGGAAGACCGGATGCTCCACGTGCTTGGTATGAGGAGTTGGCTAGAGTGTTGACGGGAGAACTGGGGTTCGCCAAATCCTTTATCGATCCTGCCGTCTTCATGCTCCGGAATCAAAGCGGAACTCTGTGCGGAATTATGATAGTCCATGTGGATGATCTTATGGTGTGCCACGATGGATCAGAGTTCGCTAAGGGAGTTGTCGACCGGCTGGGAAAGCGTTTTCCTTTCGGAACCTGGGATAAGGTTGCTGAAAAGGCCAGTGGTGTCACGTATTGCGGGAAGGAGATCCGTTTGTGTGACCACCAAGGGGAAAGGTGCATCAGCCTGTCCCAAGACGGGTTCATCGATGGACGCTTGGAACAAATGGAGATAGCCAAGGAGCGCAAACGGACTCCCGAGCTGCCAGCCTCAGAAGAAGAGCGGGCAGAGTTCAGATCCATTGTGGGCAGCTTGCAGTGGATCGCGACCCAGTCTCGTCCTGATCTGAGTTTCGAAACGAACCAGTTACAGAAACGAGTGTCCGACCTCAGGATCAGCGACTTGGTCAGGGCTAACAAAGTAGTCAAGGATGCGAAGACGAACCGGATGGAAGTCATCTTTCGAAACTTGGGTCGAGATGCTCAGTTGATTGTGTATTCAGATGCTGGTTTGTACTCTAGCGTTGGAGTGGAGATCGATGAGAGAGAAGCTGATGACCTCCTTCAATCGTCTTCGGATAAACGTCTGGTCTTTTCGCAAAAGGGCGCGATGGTCGGATTCGTGAAGCGAGGGTCGACTGATGTCCGTAGCATACCAGCTCATTTTAACATCCTTGATTGGCGCAGTAGCACGAACAAGCGAGTCATCGAATCCAGTTTTGCCGCTGAGACTCACGCCGCTTTGATGGCATTAGGGATGGGTCATTTTAGTCAGGTTCTTATGAGCGAGTTGAGGTTCGGGTCCGAGATCATAGGTAGTGTGGATGATGACGGATGGAACGATCTTACTCCCATGACGTTGGTGACGGACTGCAAGTCTATTTACGACACGGTTCATAAGGACGGGCAGCACATCAGTGACAAGTCTAGTGTCATCCATGCGGTACTTCTCCGTCAGATGCTTACGACACGCCAAGCACAGAAGACGAAGCTCCTGTGGGTTCCTACTAGGCATCAGATAGCCGATGGTTTGACGAAGTCTGACCGATCAAAGGAGCTTCGCGAACAATTAAAGGGCGGTGTCGTCTTTCGTGAAGAGGCATGCAAGCGAGGAAAGTCAGGTCAAAAAGATAATGTTACCAGTGTGAAAGTGCAGTGTTCGGCTTGACCTGACTAAGCTTTCGCCTCTTTGCTTTAAGAGTTTCTGCGTAAACCTTCGAGCCACCCGCAGCCGCAGTGGCTCCTGGTGCTTGTGGAAAACAGTTGCGCGCCTTTAGCTTCGGATGAGTTGCGGCGCGACTTTGCGGTTTGGCTTCTGCAGAAAGGCTTTGAGCGGCTTTCGGAGGGCGGGTTAACCGGTAACTGATACCGCTGGTCATGGTTGTGTTGATTCGGCCACGCTACTATGACTACTGCTGCCTGTTTCATCATCATGCTCTTGTCGCTTCTGAATGCGTTTCAGATCGCATTCGTTTCATGGCACGCTTCTGTCCACAGCCCCGATATTGATCTGACAGGCGCGTTTGGGCTAAGTTGTAGGAGCTTCTCGGCCAGAGTAACTGGAGAAACTCTGACCACATAAACAGCCTTTCCAACCTCAACACTTCAAGAACCCACACAGACCTGCAGTTCATGCCATGATCTCGCTACTCGCTGGACTCAGTCATAAGCCTAGCATACCGCCATGTCATTGTTTTACATCTTGCACGGCTCCGATGCACTGCGAACGTAAGTGCATGCAGATGCTTAATCCTCGTGGGGTAAGCTTCCTGATGCCTTGCGCTGTTTCTACCCAGGAGCAGCCTGAGGCATGGAAGGATGGAGATGAGGCCCGCCTATTGCAAAGAATGATTCGGCTTCTCATTGTCAGAGCTATTTTTGCTTAAGACTCTCGTGCAAACCAAACAAGCCGAAATACATGTGTTTTAGTTCTAATCGTTCGTTGCGTCGTCGAGCAGCTGAGCCTGGTTGTGATGGTAGCGTGGTGATGGTTGCGTGTTGCTGGCAGGATGTGAGTTGCTGGCATTACTGCTAGCTGTAGCGGTACTCCTACTACCCCACGACTACTGAAGCGACGACGACTTTGTGACTCCTGCTGGTGGTGGTGGTGGTGGTGGTGCTGCTGCTGCTGCTGCTCGTGCTCGTGCTAGTGCTAATACTCTGCCTCCGCTACTAGATACCACTGTACTACTACTCCTGCTGCCGCAGCTATTGCTACCGCTTGTGCTACTACTACTGCTGCTGCTACTACTACCACTATACTACTACTGCTACTACTACTACTACTACTACTACTACTACTCCTACTCCTACTCCTACTCCTACTCCTACTCCCTACTCCCTACTCCTACTCCTACTCCTACTCCTACTCCTACTCCTGCCTCCTACTGCTCCCACCGCTCTAACTACTCCTCCTCCTCGTCCTACTCTTCCTACTCCTCCTACTGCTCCGCTGCTCCTACTGCTCCGGCTCCTGCTCCTATTCCCACTCCTACTGCTAGTGCTACGTGCGCTGCTACCACTGCTGCTGCGCTGCTACTGCTACCGCAACTGCCAACTGCCATCTGCGACTGCAGCTGCAACTTTCAACTGCTGCTGTTTCTGCTTCCAGCAGCGCTTGTACTTGTAGCAGTACGAGTGCGAGTTCGAGCTTCACAGCGAGAGGTTTGACTTGAGGGTTGAGGACTTTTGGAGCCGGTTTGGGTTCAGTGTAGGGTCTATCCTTCAGCACATGTTCGTGTAGCTACGCCATGTGT